ATTTATGACATAATCCATCCTACCAACTGGCAGATATAATTATTAAATCAAAGTGATGGATCGGGAGATCTTACATATAACATTGCAATAGACAATTTAGTTATGTTTCATTTCTTTTGGGTTAATTGATACTTCTGACTCCTGTCAGATGACTGTTGGATTTGAAAATGAATTAATTCTGCTCACGAAAGAGCTTTACGAGATTTATGCAAATAAAGTACAAGTTCAGGGATGTGTCTTTGTAAGTTTTATTGGTGACATGCATCAAGAAAAGAAAAAAAACTTTTGAAGTCATGAAAAACATGGACTCTCAACAAGACCTTCAAATGGTGGTTTAATCAATCCTATGATTTATCACATATCTAAACAATAGTATCATAGAAATGTTTTGTTTTATTTTCCTGGAAAATGCCATTCCTCAAATCGTATGAAAATCTAATATGTGATCTGTATACATCCATGTAGGGTGTATATTGAATGTTCTAAATGTGTTAGTGCAATTTACCACAACATGTTATATATCTGAAAGTCTACTTTCAGCTCTTATGCATGCTGTCGTGTTTGGTAATGTGACAGCCATTATTCAGCGCCTATATGCAAGGCGCGCCACCTATACTCAAAAAACACAAGACCTTAAAGACTTCTATCGTACTCATCATATTCCTAAATCACTGAAGCGCAGGATGCAAGAGTTCTTCCAGACTACATGGTCAATGAACAATGGGATTGACACTGTAGAGGTGAGTAAAAAGTGGGCCACAGAACGAGGTCACTGTGACCTATTTTGAAGGAGAAAGTTGGCCAAAATAGTTATTGTATTGTTTTTTTTGTTTTCTTGATGAGACTGTGTGTCCAAACCTGAAGCATATGATCTGGGACCATATTATGTAAAAGCGAAAAAGTAGGTCATTACAATTTTTTTCACGAATAAATTGTCAAGTCACCACCAAAAAGTCAATAAACCTTGTTATTAATAATTCCAGCAGTTCGATCCCTGGATTTTGTAGAGGTAAAAAATCACATTTTAAGAAAATGCATGTGAGATGCATAAAATTCATAAATATTGTAATTGGGACAATCCTAGATGGCATAGTTTTGATGAAAAATTGATAATAAATATGCTTATTGAAGTTATTATGTTTACAATCGAATGAAATCATTTCGAGATGGCCATATCAACATACATTTGTCTAAGAGAGATAATAACTTACGAAAACTGCAATTTTTCATGAATGAATATCAATAAAAAGGCATTTGAGAAATTGTGTTACAATTCTTGAATATTGGAAGGAGGACAATCCTAGTTAGTTGACATAGTTTTGATAAAAAATGAATGATAAATATGCTCTTTAAACTTATGAGGTTTACAATTGAATGAAATCAATTTGAGCTGGCAACATCAATATTTTAATCTAAGAGATAGGAGTTCATGGAAACTGTAATTTATCTAGCTTATATTTTATACTGGAACATTTAGTGCATTTGATTTCCAATCTGCTTACAGTTGAACTATTTTCCTCCATACGGCATACAGCACTATCATATAATACCAGGCATCCAATTTCCTTTACTTTTTCAACATTATAATCTTGATATATATGTCAGCTTGATTTATGAAATCAGACATATGTCACACTCACAATGTCAATGTTTTCCAAAGACAGGCATAAAGGAGATTTCCTGATAAAAATCATTAAGGAAAGTTCAACTGGATCCCAGCTGAGATGACATAGCTGTTTTAGAGTATGAATTGCCAATAGATAGCAATGAAGGCTCAGCTATGACAATACTTTCAATGTTAAAGCACCCTTGGGAAATTAGAATTCAGTTGGTAGTGTCTGATGTACTAGACACAGACAACTCCCGGTACAGTGATACTACCAATTGGAGTGATTGTTAGTACATCTTCAGTCTTGTTAGTGTGGATCATCAGTTCAGTGATATGCTGATAAATGTGTAATACTGAATTTCTCTTCATATAACGAGGAATGGCTGTATGATGATTATTTTTGTTACATCACTGATGACATATTGCTATTAGTACTATATAGTCTCCAATATTTTGTGGACAGTGTTTGGCTGTCGGTGTTCGATTTCTAACAAATGGCAGGTGGTGACACTTTGCATGTTAATGCCTTGTTATTATTTTTTCATTGCATTAAGTATTTTGTACACAGGCACGCGGTCCTAACTTCGACCGTTAATTTCAATTTTTGACCTACCAGGTGCTTGAAAATCAAGGATTGCGAGTCTCATACTGCACCGTTTTTCTTCAAACTTATACCATTAAAAGCAGAACAAAATTGCCTTTCTGTCGGTGCATTACTTTATTGTAAAGAGTCCCTTGTTCTAGCAGCGTTTTGGTCCCCAGCTGTTAGAAGCTTGAATGGAACAAGTTTGAAGAAAAACGGTGCAGTATGAGACTTGTAATCCTTGATTTTCAAACATCCGGTAGGTCAAAAATTCAAATTAAAGGTCGGAGTTAGGACCGCGTGACAGGGTATACCTAGCCATCTCCTATTAATTTGCTATTTTTGATTAGTTACCCTGTAGCTGAAAGAGAATATAAACATTTTAAAAATTATCAAAATTTGTCAAAATGATATTATTATCTTTCAAACACTGGCTATTAATATACTCAGTATGATCACGCATCATGAATTCAGGTAATGTAATATTGAAATTGAATGTGATAAGTGAACGCATCTTGCATTCTAAGTGTGCACACTTATTCTCGTCCTTATCGCATAAAGTGAGGTCTTTGACATATGTATATGATTACATCAGGTAAAATCACAATGCCTGGGGACATCATTACGCTTGTAATTGTTTTGCGCAGATTGTCATTCTTTCTGAAAGGCTCAAAGGCAAATGATTGCAATTTCATTTGAACTCAACATAAAGAAATGACAAAAGAAGAGAAGTTGAGAAGCTAATAGGAGAATAAATCAGCATTCCTCTTGTTAAGTATTATGATTAATTTAGAATTGATAGCGTGGAAATTGTGTCCAAAATAGCTGTCTGATTCAAGATGCTTGCGGGTCCCCAGTTGCTCATCATTTTCAGTACACATAGTTGAGTAACTGGCCTGAATTTCTCATGTTCTCCTAATTAGAAATACCCTTTGAAAGAGCATAACTACTCTCTACTCTGACCACTCTCTACTCTTTGATTAACCGACTTACGTAGACCGAAGTATTTTTGCCCATAAGTAGATTCTTAAGCTACATTCAGATCCCATAAAATGCCATGAAATGTGTACCTACATTTCAGATCACTAAGCTCTTATCAGCTTCAAAACTTTGAAAATCAGCTATAATTTTTTCAGTATTTTTTTATGTAATATATAAATACTATGTGTAAATGCAACATATTGAATGCAATAATGTCAACTGTACATTACAGGCATATCAGATTGTATTCACTTATAAAAAACCCAGACATATTACAAAAACTTGACTTCAAGAGGAATGTAAGAGACATAATGGTGACAGTGATCAGAAAAATGGATGAACATAAGAGATATTCAGCTGTAATTATCATCAGAGGGTATTAGAACTTGTCAATCTGGTTCAGGGTTGGTCATTGGCCAAGTTGTCTCATGTTTTACTTATTAAACATTCTCTGGTTTATTTGAGCAGAAGGGTTGATTTATCAGAATTGAAGTCTTAATTCCTTGAGGTTAGCATACTTTACTTATGGAATATTAATTTTTCTTAAATAATTCTTATTTTTGGGCATTCTTGTCGAGGCATTTCATGCAAAGGCCCATCTTCTTAGTGGAGGGATGTTGATCCGTTGATTCGCTTATGGACTGCGAGACTTGAATTAAGGAATAAATAATGATAGGCCATTCAATATGGTGAAATTCAGCACGAGTTGGACAGAATGTTGTACAAAGCACGAACCGAAGGTGAGTGCATTTGTACTAACATTCTGTCCAACGAGTGCTGAATTTCACCATATTGAATGGCCTATCATTATTTATTCCGATTCAAACATAAAAATTAGTAAAAGCCGTGTCTGTGGAACGGGCATGAAGGAAGAATACGCATGCTGTCAAGATTCTGAAGTCGGCCGGAAAAATTTTAGAATTTGTTTGGGCTGTTCTATTTTACTCCCCGTTAAATAAGACTAGTTCACCGACTGCAAACTTGAAGTCAGCCATAGTAAAATAGTTACAGTAGTTACGGAGGGAGTAAAAAAGAACAGCTATCCCCGGACAGAGCCCCAGATGTGCAGCTGAGATGTGACGTCACTCAAAACAATGCAAATTGCAGATTGAATAGAGCATGGTCGTGCATCTATGGAGAATTAGAGAACGTTCTATATTGGCTATGCTGCATTCTGATTGGTTGAGAAATTCGAATAGAGCACGGTCATGTTTGAATATTGTCTATCCCACATCATTTAAGACTGAATGCTATATCTTATATGAATACTTATATCTACAACTATGTTATGAATATTGGTTACCAATTTTAGATTTATTCCTCAACATGCATTGTAATGACTTCAGTAAGAATAAAATGTCCCTTGGTGTTATGGTCTGAAAATGGATTTAAAGATTGGTTCTTGAATTCTGGAGGAGAGGGGTATTGGACACTGTTTCTTTTTACATTGGATTATGATTTGGATAGTTGGGGTTTGTTTTCCTTATGATTTATTTTACTTGCTGTGTTCTGTATCCATTTTTGGAACTTTCCCATTGGCACTTGTACATATGTATTCAACTTATTGGTTCATGTGTATTTTGATCCCATCTTATTCAATCATTATTATATTCATCAAAGCATCGTGACCTAGACATATGTTTGAACAAGACTTGATCTTTGCATGCCAAAAACACTTTCCTTTAATAATTTATGTCCTTTTTAACCTTACCTTTACAAAACTACACATACAGTATATTTATACCTCACTAAGTATTGGCGATATTTTTGTCATTAGTTTTAATACTACTAATAGATTGATATTAAAAGCCAATCTGTATCTCTTTCAGATTATGCGAGATTTTCCAGAGGACCTCCAGGGAGATATTGCCCTTCACCTTCACCAGGAGATACTCTCTCTGCCCATATTCAAACCTGCAAGCCAGGGATGCCTCAAAGCTTTAGCATTACAGGTATTGACTCATTCTCATTTGCCAAACAATCTCTCATTGGTTTTATTGAAGGTTTCATTAGCAGCAGGAAGCATGTGATTCTTTATAGTTGTTTTTACCAGAATCATCAAATTATATTACAACAATGTCAGCTATTGTCGGAAATTTTAATGAATCTTACTAGCTGTTCTCTAAATAATGCATCAGACATCTGTTAAAAGTTGCCAACTCTAAAGCTTGTTTTATCATGTGAATAAATATTATTGAACCATATTAATTCATACTAATCAGGCCCATAGCCAGGGGTTCAAAATTGTTTCCAAAATCGTGCAGTTTTCACCATTCTGAGCACTTTTCCAGTGATTTGGGCCAAATTTGTCATATATGAATCCCTCCCTGATTTTTTGAAAAATAAATCCACCTTGAAAAGAAGCTGGCTACGGGCCTGCCAATATAGACACATGATGTATTAGAGCAACTTGTGCTTCAAGACAAGAAGATGGAACTGTGATTGGTATGAAAATGACGGCTTAATCCATGTTGGTAGAAAACTTGTCAGAATGAGCATTCATTTCATTACTATGAGATGTTATTGTCAGATTTGAATGTTAAGTATCAAATTTTAAGAGAACTGTAAAGTCATATCAATATATACATGTATCACAGCATAGATCCCGGCCAGATTATTTTGTAGTAGGATCAGTAGCTCAATAAATATTCCTCAAGATGAGACACCTCAGAAAATTTCAAGCATCGCTGGAGCCATTTCTGAAAAATATGAGACAAATCATACCTCATTCGAAGGGTCTTACTATTCTTTACCTTTTTATCACCAATAACCGTTATTCAAGCAATACTGCGTTGATAAGAGGCCAAAACAGTGATATTTTATCGCCGGACTCTTGTCTGTCAAAATCTGAATGGTGCTCCCGTGGTTCCAGAAATGTTACGTCATCAGTACAATGATATTTGGACACACAAGAGTCCGGATTTCGTGAAAAATATTCACCGCATTAAAAGTAAAATAACTGCATCAATAGATTATTTACTCGAACCAAACAAGTAGAAATAGAAAGATGAAGATCTCAGCTATAAAATAAGTGCAAAATCTGTCACAGGGAAGCAGGTAACATTTTGTATAAGCAACGTTTTGAAAGGTGGTCACTTTTTTTTGAAATTTTCCAATTTAGTGATGCATCTTGTGTATTATTCTTTGAGCCTATGAGATCCTACTGCAAAACGATCTGGCCAATATCTGTGTATCACAGTTAGTTCTTTGTACGTTATAAGCCAAGCATCGATAACATTGTAAAATAGAAATCCAGAAACTGGTTTTCACCTGGTCTTCCAGTTATATTAATTCATGTCAGGAAATCAGATTCACCCGAGTTCAAACTTGTTTAAAAGGTTGAGCTCTTCAGTCGAGAGGTGAGAAATTGTTTCTTTATAATAAGGTCAATTTTCAACCTCATCAGTTGTACTGAGGTTGTAGTTAAATCGTTAAGATTGCAGATGTTGTTATTTGTTACAAGTTATTCATAAACCCAAATATTGGGTGATGAAGTAAACAAACTTTACTAAATACCCAATATTTCTCATAATGTATTTTATGAGAGAATAAATCCCAACTTCCTTGCTCATAGAAACATTGTTTGTCATCATATTTTCTATATCAGAGATATTGTCATCCTTGCTTACTTGTTCTGATGAATTGTTTGTTATCTAATATGTTGCAACATTGCAGAGTGTACGTAAGCATGCAGGAATGGGAGGCATTTTTTAGCCACGGTGCCTAATTTGCTTGTCACTGCTTCAAATTTTTTCCAATCTTTTTTCCAATAGCTAGCTAGCTATACATATTGTTTTTATAGTGTATATTATATAAGAATTATAAAATAAATAAATTGAATTGAATACATATATGATATAAATTATTGTATACCATACATACTTTTGTACTGTACTATATATACCTGCAGGAATATATAGACTATCAAGGGAATGGGATGGAATTTGTGACCCACTATCACCAAAATCTGGGACATTCATCAATGTCTATCCCAGCCCCGCTCCATGAAATGAAAACTTTTTTTAATATTTATATTAAAACTTGTGAATATGAAAATGTTGGCTATTTTTAAAAGTATTTTTTAGATTATTTTTGGTAAACTTTCAATTTCGAATCAAATTTGAGCCTTTGAAGGTAGAATGTACCTGGAGCATGAGTAGGATGTATGGGGATATACATCTGTTAAGCTGTTATGTGTGTTTAGCTGTATGCAGTTTATCAAAACCTTTGCAAATTTAAAAAGGTATCATTCAGTTAATTTATTCAATCAAGTGTTTAGAATATGAAGAAGCAGCAGTTTCATTTTTATCTTCACACAGTTTATTTTTCACTCGTCACATGCGATCAGAATAAACTAACTGCTTAATAACCATTGCACGATTTGTTATTTTAAAGGTGCAATTACATTACATTATACTAGTCTTACAAGACAAGTTCAATGAATAGGCCTTCACAGTTATTTATAATCCATTGATTTTTTGTTGAATTTCTCTTTCTTTTTTTCAATCATATTTTATCATTTCATTATACAGCTGTAGTCTCATTTATTTGGCTCTGTCTTAAAATCGTCATAATCTTCTATCCATCGAATGATTTGAACCATGCATTGTGACACTACTGAACCTTTGATTGTAAAAGTTCTGTTCATCTAAGGCAATATTTTTGCAGACAAAACTATTGATTTATTTTTAATTTTTATTTCTTTACTTTCTAGGTGAAAACCTCATTCTGTGCACCTGGGGAGTGTCTGATTCATAAAGGGGATCATGTTTCCTACATCTACCTTTTGTGTAGTGGCTCCATGGAGATACTTAAAGATGGGATGGTCGTAGCACTACTTGGTAAGTTATTTTAGTGTCCGTAATATTATTTTAGATTATATGCTAATATACTGTAGTGTGTTGTACACATATAGTTACCTGTATTAATGTTATGCTTATTTAATGAGACACCCCTCGTTTCTGTCTACCGTGTAATCTGTACTAACTTCACTTATTTATGGGACACCCCTCGTATCTGTCTTTTGTGCACTAGCTGTAGGTTCTAGATCGTTTGTAGTTGTTGATTATTATGTATGTAAGTACAGGGTGGGCCAAAAATGGGACACTTACATCAAGTCTAGTTAAAAGATGGTATATGAACTAAATGAGATCTATTATGATTACTTATAAAGGTATATTATGAGCATCGTTTATCAGACTTTTTCATCATCAATGAGCAAAATCTAGGGTGTCTTTATCACTGATATATATATATATGTTTATATGATTTTAATAAATCAAAAATTATCATTTATAACATCTATAGCATTAACAATTATGACATTAATACATCATTTTAAAGCACATTGAATATTTAATCGTTGTCCCATTTTTTGACCCCCTTGTATTGCAACTGTCATGTCATTGAGATGTATGGATGGTCTGTTATAAATAATTCTTACAATGTAGTTCTTTGCTATTGTATGTCTAATGTCTGAAGATTGTTTGACAGGCATACAAAATCGGAAGTATGGGATAATCTTGCCGACATTTTGGCGTGAGATATATTTAATTGAACATCTGGTCTCAATATATGTTTTCAAAAAAAACCTTGATGAAATCAAACACACCTCCCAAACCAAAAATTCTGTCAGATCCTGCCATAACTTCTATTGTTGTACGAAGTGCATTCTGATACTCATAGCATCTTTCTGATTCACCTGAGGGCTGAGAAGAAATGAGATGTCATGGTTCATCATGATGTTCGATGTGCGCTTTCATCCCCTGTGCCTTTACATTTTGCCTAGCCACAAGGGGTGTGCATCAAAGCCCATAGGCTGTCTATATAATTAATAAGATAACCATTGTATGATCAGAAAATGACTTGATAAATGGCATTGACGGTGTGCCCCAAGAGGCAATCTTCAAACATTAGACATTATTATTCTATCTAATAATCTCCATATTGCATGCCTGCCCTGTTGTAATCTAGTTTAAATGTATATGTATGTTGTTACTCAGATGGCGTTGGGGAGAATAAGCGTAAGTTATCACACTCTGTCAGACCAAGTCCATGAGAAATGACATAAATCACATTGATTACTTCATCTTCTTGACATTTTTTATTTATTTGTACTGTAGTTCAAATACAGTTGTTATCATTTCAAATAAAACCATTTTAGTTACATATAGATTAGGGCCAGATTATTTGTAGTAGTAATGTATGTGGAATCTCTAACCTTGTATTCGTGAATGCAACTAACGCCTGTCGGCTACCAGATTTACCTACTATTTTATGGCCAACTCATTTAAATATGAACGGAATAGTGGCAGGTGCTAGTTATATTTAAATGAGTTACCCATAAAATAGTAGGTTAATCCAGTGGCCAACAGGTGTAAGTTACATTCTCGAATACAAGCTGAGAAATTGTCATCCATTTTAATCACAAAGGATACCAAGTTCACTACATATGTAGTAGCTTTTACAGTGTTGGGCCAAATAATCAAATTTTATTTAGATGGAGGGGTGATAATAGATTGTTGTGTCTGTTTTTAGGTTACCTTTTATATCTCAATAACTTGAACTAATGATACCACTACATATGATTAGATCTTGCTTGAATCTGTGCAGTTACAGTTCAATTTATTTCTTGAAGCTTCACTCTCAAGTCAATGCCCCATCCTATTATTGGGTGCCAAGCACAGAGCCATCTATAGTATAATATGTATAATATACATGTTTATAATTTACAACTGCATCTCAAACTCACATTACACAATTCTATATGTAATTCTTATATGTTTGAAATATATTTATCACATTGCATATGTAATTGCCTTGTATGTTTTTATTATGAGATTTTTATTCATTTTTTGTAATAAATATTCATCACTGGCAACTTTCTCTAATGCACCACTAATAGTTCATTAACATGAGGTATCCCATGAAATAATTGGATGTGCAAGTCCCCAGTGTGTTAACACACATCATCACATAACAGATGAGTCGATGGAGCCAAGGTTGATAGATGAGGATAACTGGGTCACTCAAGACCTCAAGAGACTAGAATATCAATTATGTGCCATTCCAACAGAGGGAAGCATTCCCTTAAAGTGTCAGGCAACTTAATGAAACTTAATGAAACTTTCTGCAGGCCTGTAGCTAGGATTTGCCAAGGGGGGGTTCAGTTTTCAAAAATTTCGAGGGGGGGTTCACATTTGACAATTTTGGCCCAAATATGACTAAAATCACTTGAAAAGTGCTCAAAATGATGAAAAACTGCATGATTTTGAAAGAATTTTTGGCCAAGGGGGGGGGGGGTTCGCCCGAACTCTGCGAACCCCCCCTGGCTACGGGCTTGTTCTGTATGTTTCAAACAACACTGTTATTTAATGCCCTCTGAAAATATGAACTTCATATTTCAATACTCTGTTCTACCATAATAGTTTTAAGCAGATCTAAAATACATGCGACAAATTACAATCAGCTTAAATGAGTCAATAGAACGAGCCTGAAATGTGTGATCGTGTGAGATTTTTCTGTCTGAACTAACAACGAATAAAAGAGTCTTTCCCTACCAAAGATATACTCAAAATGTAATTAGTAAACCTAACAAGAGAGACATCAATTCTATTATGAGACGATCTGAGATTTCCTATCTGGATTGGACTGTCACATGACTAAAATTGACCAATTGTATACATGGATTCGCAATAACTTGGTGAGAAATATATTCTTGAAACTACCTTTTATCTTCGGTGTGATGTCATCGTATGTAAGAATTAAAAAATAGAAATGCATAATTGATGTATTTGTATTCATGAAACTATATTCACTAAGGAGATATTTTCGTGATACTGGTGTGTAGTTTTAAGTTCTTAAAAATAACTACAAAATCAGGGATGAAACTACTTAGCAGACAGGTATATATTGTATATATGCCACATATCATAAATATTGCAAAAATGTACATTTAAAAGCCACAAGGGGTTTAAATAGATAAAGATGTACCTCACAACCACATATCTTTAATATGGTAAAATATATGGTATTTAAAGCTCTTTATTCAATACTCTTTAAGTCATTTGAATATGTCAATGGCACAAATCGTGCTTTTGAGTATACTAGCGATTTCCTTTTGCTATAGATATTTCTTATACAAGCTTGAATCTGAGATAAATTGTGATGAAATTATGATTGCTGCTTTCCTATGAGTGTTTACTAAAAATGAACTTTTAAATAATTAGCGCTTATACTATTTCTGTTTCAGCAGTATATTATCTTTTATTTTCATCATACTTGAAAGCAAGTGTGACCCTTATATTGCAGGACCATTCAAATATAAAAAAACATGTCCATAGGAATAGGATAATGTAGATTAGATGTTTTATATAAGGTTTGAAAACAAGGCCATGGGTTCTAAACCTATTAGTTTTGCAAAAAGTGTTGATTTTGCTTTATATTCTATTTTCCTCCCCTGAAGCAACCAATAGCTTTGTATAAGACCTTTGATTATGTTCCAGGTAAAGGGGATCTTTTTGGCACTGACCTGGAGGTTGATGACCTCTCTACCATCAAGTCCAGCTGTGAGGTGAAGTCTCTCACTTACTGCGACCTCCAGTGCATCAACATAAAGGGCCTCAAAGATGTGCTGATTGTCTACCCAGAGTTTGGGGATTGCTTTAGACAGGAAATTGTACATGATCTAACATATAACCTCAGGGAGGGGTATGAGGCGGAGGTATGTTAATTTGCCAAGAAAACAGAAATCAAAGGTGGAAGGAATTTTTTTAGACAGTGTGATTTAGTTCGTAATTTTAATTGCGCTTTGTAAAGAACTAAACAATGTCTACATTATGTAAAACAGAAGTATAAATAGACAATGCAATATTTCCAGAAGTATAAATAGACAATGCAATATTTCCTGCTTGATTCTTAAAGAAATCAAGGATTGATAAAACTGTTTTTCTTTTTATTTATTCATTATGAAAAAGAACAATTTTTATTGAAATTGTACAAGGGGAGTATTACCATTTGTTATAACATTGAGTTGCAGGTTTACAATTATTTTTATACAGAGTGGACCAAAAAAAGTTATTATTTATTTGGTGACAACCTTTTCAGCAATGCATTTTGAAAAGTTTTTGCTGGTGATGCAGAAATCATTTCTGCAATTGTATACTTTCTAAATAGCTGAATAACGCTGACATAATAGATGTCACCCTTGTTTGTCTTTGATTTTCTTGGGCCAGACCTCCATTCACTTCAATGCTAGGAACTTGTAATAGTCATTGAATTTAATGATTTATTGAAAAGTGTTGGTTGAATCTCTCCGAAACTCAAATGACTAATACTATGTACATATTGTGATTAAACATGAATATGTTGGTTGTCATACAAATAAGCCAAGGTTTTAATGAATTTTAGCAGTGCACCAATGGAGATTTGGCCCAAGTTTTTTTAAATGTCATGGAAAATGATTTAAATGACATAACTGTGTATTGGAGAAAACTTGTCACTGAATTCAAATATGCTATCAAAAATAAAGAAAAGTCATTAGAGGTAAAATATGCAAATCTCTTAAAAACACATAAAAAACGAGAATTGGTGAGATTTCAAAGCTATTAAGAAACTCCTCTATTATTATTATTATATCTTGGTTACCGCCATATTTGGCGAGCAATACCTCATTGGTATATTCCGTATTTTACGTATTTTACACTCGAAGATAGAGCCAGAAACCCCTCCTTGGAGGAGCCCTGTTTTCTTTTATGTGCACAGGTACACAGACATACAGGTACACACCACAGCCTTTTATACGAGTCATGAACGACTCAGTCAAACACCCAGAATTACATAACGCACAAACAAACTTGTCTGAACCGGGAATCGAACCCGGGGCCAAGCGATATAGGTTACCTTGACTCTCTCTGCCACTGAGCCATAGCGGGTGGACTATTGTTTCTTAAATGTAATAAAATAAAATGAAATGAATTTTTAGAGCAGTTTCTGAAATCTGTATATTTTCACATTGTCTGTGATTCAGAAACCCCTGAAGCTTTATTTATCCAATTTCATGACAAATTGCAAAATTGATTTCTTGCAAAAATTATATAGAAATTCATGCACTTTTAAAAAATTTATATTGAATTAAAAAGTATGGACATTTTTTGGCCCACCCTTTACAATAATTGTGTATTTTGAGAGAGTGGCTTGCCAACAAGGGAGTGGAGTTTGAAATTAGGGCAATACACTGTATATATTATAAATAGGTCAACTTGGATCAGAATTAATGGTCTCCTATATCCACTGCCTATATGACACAACTGAAAAGGAAGAAAAGCAATTTATTCAACATAAGAAATTTGCATTGGATGGTTGATTAAGTCATAGATGAGATATTCATGCTGATTACCACTTTAATAAGGCAGGCGTATTTATCTTCTAAATGGCAAACCAAAGTGATCAGAATAAAATTATGGGTCATGAAAGTGCAATGCAATGTCTCTCCATTCCCTTACTAATGCCTCACCTATTTATAATTGCCTCGCTTTTTTTGTCATCCTGGCTGTAAAATTACAGTAAAACCTGTTTATGTGGAATACATTTGGTACCTCTAAAAGGTGTTCCACTTGGAAGGTGTTCCACTTATAGAGGTCCATTTATCATTAAGTCAGTTGTTCCGCTAACAGAGATGTTCCACTTCTAGAGGTGTTTGTTTCTCACAGGTTTCACTGTTTAATAAAACTTTAAAAACCTCATTAGGCTAACATTGGTCGATTTTTTTCCAGGAAGTTGACATGAACGGTCTTCCCTCCATGACACTGCCATCTATATCTGAAGATGATGAAGAAGACGAAGACAGTGAAGAGGATCAGAAGGGTGAAAATGATGAGAATGAGAACAAGAAGGAACTTGTGTCATCACCAACTCTATTAAGGAACAGTATGTCACCTCCAAGGACATTTGAGAATCTGAAACTGCGGCTTGAAGATAGGTATGCTAAACATATTTGTAAATACTACATACAGTTGTATAAATAAATATAAGACAGCAATCTGCACTGAACATAGTCAAAATATTTCTGGGTCCAAGAAATTTCACCAGCTATGTGTATTTCAACCTGTATAACAATAGTACAATGATGGAAAGGACATTGCATTTGAATATTGAAAAAATAAAACCATCTCTGTCATTTAATAGGCTAGTTGGCCAATAAGCGAATCAAATCTAAACAAGTAGGGTTAAGAAGCATATGATGTTTAACCACGCAAAAATTCAATCTGGTTGTGTAATTTGGTTTAATTCAGTTGTATGAAGAAGCAGAAAATCCCTTAACATAAAATTTTTGTATGACACTGCAATTAATTATCACTATGACATACAACATGACATTAACAAGCTCAAATTAATCACATATATGTGTGTGTGTATTATTTTTACGTTCACTGTTAGATTCAAGTGTCATGTTCGATGATCGATAGCTGATTGTTTTGTCCAGCATAGTCTATGTTAAAATTAATGTGCTTTTGATTTTGTATATTGAAATGTCTTTCAGAGTTGATAAATGGAGAATTAATAATTGAGGATTAATAATATATGTAGTCGCAGAAGGTCTATTTCTTGAAAGTCTCATGCATTTGTAAAGGCCAGTTGTCTTGCAATATATTGTTGCCATAGTGATAACGTGAAGGACAATTGAATTTTAAACATGGTGACCCCAAATAATTCAACCCATTGATTAGAATTAGAGGGTTGTATTCTTTGGGTCACCCTGTAGAACGTAATTTGCTATATTTTCAAGGAATAGTCCCACTCTTGTTAACCATATTTCCACATTTCATGACATTTGCTCTTCATTGTTACAATGCTATATATACCAGACACATTTTTCAAATATTCATCAGACCATAGCAAACCTCAAAGCAATGATTTGCAGTTTGGATCTGCTTTGGAGAATGTATAGGTGTTGCCATGTGTAGAAAATGTTTTAAAACTGTATTCTGTCTCCATATGCAGTGGAACACGCGCACATCCTAGCGTTCGCAAATCTAAGTCAGTACCTGCTAGCCCGCATAGAGCCTTTGGAAGGTAGTGAGCTTACTTGTTGCATGATTTTATTACCCCTAGCTTTATATGTGTGTCTTCAATGTGTGTCTTAGTGAATATAGGTCTCATGTTGTGGAGTAGGGATGGTGTCTCCTGATTTCACATTGGAATATCAATAAAACTTTTATATTTCATATCCACTGTTCCACTGCTGGATGACTCTAACTGCAGTTGGTATCATTCAAGATGGTGGCCAAAATTCTTTCGTTTTTGATAAACCAACGATTTCAGCTAAAGTAAGTTGAATCTGGAATCTAAATATTTCGCCATGCAAACTAATAAAGTAACAATTACAGCCAGGAAAAAATGCTCGGACAACCATAATAGTAGAGAATTTTAAAGAAAACAGCTTCACTTAGAATGACTCTAACTAAGTTGATGATACACTCAAACATGATAATCACCATTGACGCTAACTCAGATGGTCATGCGTGTATTCATCCCATAGAGTTAGTGTCATGCACCATTTCATTTAGTGTCATTCCTTTGTCATCATCAAGTTTAGTTAGAGACATTGTTAGTGAGGCCGTTTTTTTTAAATTTCTTCAATATCGTGGGTGTTTGAATGTTTTCTTGTGTCTGTTTACAATCGTAGGTTCATTAGTTTGCATGGCAGAATATTTGGAATCCAGATTCAACTTAGTTTAGGGGAAATCTGAAGTTTATCAAAAGCCAAGAATTTCAGGCCACCATCTTGAATGATACTAACTGCAATTAGAGTCGTCCTACTGTGGAACAGTGATATCATACTATACACTTTTGTTTTAATTCAACCATTGTGTTTTCTGGCTTATGTAAAATTGTTTGTGAAAAACATGTAGTAACCCTAGTTTTCCGATTTCTTAAAACTTTTCTGTAGAAATGGGTCTAGTTAGAGAGGATCACTTAATCCCACAAACCAGTCAGTATTTCTCCTCCAACATTTTATATTTCTTCCTGTATGTTCCCTTCCTGTAGGAATATGGCCTTATTTCTTTAGAAATGGTCTAGTTAGGGAGGTTCACTTAATCCCACAAGCCAGTCAGTATTTCTCCTCCAACATTTTATATTTCTTCCTGTATGTTCCCTTCCTGTAGGAATATGGCCTTATTTCTTTAGAAATGGGTCTTGTTAGAGAGGTTCACTTAATCCCACAAGCCAGTCAGTATTTCTCCTCCAACATTTTGTATCTCTTCCTGTATTTTATTATGTAATATACATGACTAAACTTATCAATAATTAATGAAATGGTCAATATTTTTGTTCACATTTTATGTGGATATTTACACATAATGGCTGAAGACATAGCTTAGAATCTAGTTCAAATCAAAATCTAAATATTTTGATTAGTGGAATTGAAATCATAATTTTGGAAAAGGACCATCAGTTGTTTGTAGAACGAATCAGGGGAGTTTTTTCATGCATTTCGCTTGTGTTTTTCATCTAAAAAACATACACTTTAAAACATTTTATTGACTGTAATATTGCACCATATAGTCCCACATTTTTTTATGACATGTGTGAAACTACCTTAAAACATTTTTATAGCTTATGGATAGAAAAGTGATTTTTAATATTGAGTAATATTTTTTGAAAAAAAACTTTTCGAGAATTTTCTGTATTGAAGAACTGATAAACTGTAAATGTCTTTAAATAACTGTTGTATTTTAAAAGCTGTGTAAATAGTGCTTTTGATCATTATTCATTTATTCATTTAGAGGTTGTGTCCTAATGTTGATAGTCATAGAAAGAATCCCTTTCCATTTCTTTGACTCAGCGTCTTAAAAGATAGCTTATCAAAATTCTCTTCTATTATTCATGACATTTGGACACAGTCTCTTAGATTTAGCAAGAATAATATTTGTAATGTTGTGTATGCTTAAGTATAGCATGCCTGTTAAAGTGACAATGTCTTGAATGTAATGTATTACAGATACCATAGATTGGTTGATTGTAAATATAGATGCATATGGTGTATACATAGCTGTGAAGCAAGTAACAAGCCCTTGCAACATGCCCTTGCATCAGGCCCTTGCATCAAGCCCTTATGTATATCCCCTTCTGGGCAGCTGAGCTCGAAAAATGCAATGCTCTGTCTGGAGAATTATACTCCAAGGGGAGTGCTGAGACCTGATTCAAGATAACTTGAATCATCATTTCATTCTATATACATATGTCTCTTTTCAGGCAATTGCTTAATGCATTTGCATCATACCCAGAAAACCATTTCCAGTAATCCAGTTATACCGCCTTCTAAATTGTTGTATAATGTAGAATATTTCAATTTTTGCCACAGGAGTGAGATGTTCCCTGCAAACCGGCCTATCTATGACAATATGCAAAGAAAGGGGTCAGCTCCAGCCCTTTTACCGAGGCCACGGAGAGTCGGCGCCCCTTGGGTGAGCCCATTTGAATCCAATTTGAGGTCAGCAGTTACTGCACCTTCACTTAATGGTAAGTGCAGTACATTGTAGTTGATGGTAAAAATGTTCGTAAAAATGTAAAATCATATGAATTTTAAGAATATTTACATACCATGGTCTAATTGTTGTTGTATTGTAGTGAGGCTAAGTGGCGTTAAAAGCAATAGTGAAAGGTTAGGATATAGTATAAATGGCTAAGTGGCGTTAAAAGCAATAGTAAAAAGATAAAAATGCAAAAGTAGTTTGTTATAATTATACAAAAAACAATCATGTTCTATTTCAGTTACAAGTTTTTGCATTAGATTTCAGAACTGCTACTAACTATAACTATAATTAAGAAACAACAACTTTAGGGTGTTCGGAAATTTCACTTTTTTACCCGGGAGCTAAGCACATTTGGGTTCCCATTCCTTTTGCCATCAAAAATAATCCTGCAAAGTTTCAGATTGCTAGGATAATGTCTTGGTTCTTGGAATTGCACCTCAAATATCAGCCATTTCGGACCAAAATGGCATTTTTTATGAAATTTGTTCATTTTCAAAGGAAGTTAAGACATACTTTACTTTTTGCTATCCCACTAAATATTGGATTTAATGTAAGATATTACCTTATATTAATTGTATAACAGAGTAATATACTATGATCAAGAGGTTTTAATACACAAATAACAAACAAAAAGGAACAAAACACATCCGTTTGCTTAAACTAGTACATGGTAAATAATTAAGATACAATGATTTTTAGGACCAAGCTTCTTGATTGTAATGCTGCAGTTATGAAGAATTTAATTACATGCCAACAAAGCTAAATTTAAAGAGTATACCATCCTAAGAATTAACTCTTGGTTGGAAAAATCAATATTTCATCCCATGCTTCAATGTATACATACTTCAAGACACAACATTCAAAGAAACAACAAACTTATTGACAAAATCAGCAAGACTTTAATAAGCAACATTACAAGAAACAACAAACTTATTGACAAAATCAGCAAGACTTCAATACACAACATTACAAGAAACAACGATCTTATTGGAAAAATCAGCAAGACTTCAATACACAACATTACAAGAAACAACAAACTTATTGGCAAAATCAGCAGGACTTTATCCACAACATTATTGGAAACAATAAACTTATTGACAAACTCATCAAGACTTCAATACACAACATTCCGAGAGACAATAAACTTATTGGGACAAAGTCCCCAATAATTGACAAAGTCAGCAAGACTTTAATACGCAACATCACAAGAAACAACAAATTTATTTACAAAATCAGCAAGACTTCAATACACAACATTACAAGAAACAACGATCTTATTGGAAAAATCAGCAAGACTTCAATACACAACATTACAAGAAACAACAAACTTATTGGCAAAATCAGCAAGACTTTATCCACAACATTATTGGAAACAATAAACTTATTGACAAACTCATCAAGACTTCAATACACAACATTCCGAGAGACAATAAACTTATTGGGACAATCAGCAAGAATTCAATACGCAACATTCCGAGAAACAACGAAAGAAACATAACCAACAATCAACTCCCTATGACATATAATGATAGTAGAGTAAAGATATTACAGCTAAGGAACAGCCTACCCCTGAGCTGGTAGAAGTCAAAGCAAGAGCACAGATGATCGCAATCAACAAAGTTGTCGTTGCAATCACTATGGTTAACTAAATGAAGACCAGGGGTCAAACTTAAATTACAATGCTCTTAACTATCATGTTAAATAGGTCCAACTTATTGCTAGCTTTGTTGGGGTTCAACATACCATTGTTATTGTTTGAAGTTGATGATGTGTGGTTTGCATCACCGTTTCCACTAATTCACAGTCTCTCTTACTATGATCTGGTGGGAGCGAAAATTGCAACCACAGAACAAATAGCTGGAGGTTTTCTATTCATGCAACCCACTAAAGACACATTAAATGTATTTACAACCGTATCAAATGAATTACAGAAATATCTGGATAAGTTGACTCTCTGCAAGTTGTTAATGACTGCGCAGAGAGAGCGATAAAGGACGTCACAGAATTTGTGAATTACGCAAAGGATGCTGGCCGAAGAGACCGTGTTCAAATGGTGGCAAATCATCATAGACAGCTTTTAGATTTCAAGAATGTAACTAAACAACAGATTGACAATATGGATGATTTCATTTAAATATGGACTTCTATCATGGCACCATGAGAAATGATAACCCCTAATACTCCAGTGTTGCATCTATACATGTAGCCCTATGGCCAATTGATGTTTTTCTGTGTATTAAAATTCTTGGTCATAGTACATTATTCTGTTATATTATGAATATATAAGGTAACATCTTACATTAAATCCAATATTTAGTGGGATAGCAAAAAGTATAGTGTATCTTAATTTCCTTTGAAAATGAACAAATTTCATAAAAAATGCCATTTTGGTCCGAAATGGCTGATATTTGAGGTGCAATTCCAAGAACCAAGACATTATCCTAGCAATATGAAACTTTGCAGGATTATTTTTGATGGCAAAAGGAATGGGAACCCAAATGTGCTTAGCTCTCGGGTAAAAAAGTGAAATTTCCGAACACCCTAAACAACTTATAAATGAACAGAGCAAGCCATAAGAGTCAAAGTAAAAATATCAACCTTTATTCATTACATCTGTTCGATGTGTTCCACTACATTAACCATTTATTTAAAAATGCTGTTAGTTGATGAATATTATTGATAGAGTCAGGCATTTTAAAAAGATCTTATGTGTTCATTCGATATCAATGATGCCTGGCCTCATAATTTTGATCATTATTATGTCACCATAAGTGTTGAAATATTGTTATAGCTTCAAACTTTTCTGTGGATGGTGTATGGCATCTGGCGGTGTTCAGAGTTTGGCATCTGTAACAAATAGCATCCGCATGCAACAAATGGCAGTTGGTGACATTTTGAATGTTGATGTCTTGCTGATCAATTTGATTTGATTTCAGTATATAACCAGTTAATATATTGATTGTTGCAGAGATTCGAGGAAGCAGACGACTCTCTGCTGATTCTATCGGAATACCAGATATCAGGGAGGACCTAGATCAGGCCAAGTCTGCTATTGAAACTATTGATAATAAGATGAACATTCTTACTGAAGATGTCTCCTCACTAAAGCAGGATTTACGCATGGTGCTGAACATATTACAGAGGACTAATATTGTAGGTCTAGGGGGATCTAATAGCCCTAGGGGTCCAGGGGGATCTGGAAGCCCCGAGGAGGGCTATGGTGATAAGGGGTCAAGCCCCCATGCCAAGTTGAGTCCCCAGTTCTTCTTACCCACTGCTCAGGACAGTCAGCCCACCCAGGGCCAAGAGGGTGACCTAGGGTCACCAGTGGGGCCCCAACCCACAAGAAGAGGCAGCAGAGAGCCATCTATAGCTCCACTAGTAGAGGAGGAAGAAGATATCCTAAGTTCTAGCTCAAATACAGAATTAAACAATACTCCTAGCATAAGACAAAGATCAGAATCTGCTACTACAGAATCTCTACATTCTAATACAAACAGTCCAACTGGTTCGCTTAAATCGAACACCTCAAATCAACATAAAGCACATCCCTGGGGTGCTCAGTCTGGTGGTACCAGTCCTGGTGTACAAGTAGGTCCGCTAAACACTAGGAATTTGTTACAGCGGCCACATAGTGCTACAGATGTTAATATAGACGTTGAGAAGCAAATCCCAAAGCACAGCGGTCCTAGGCGGAGATCAGCTCCACATGAGAGCTCTCCTGGATTGGAGGGGAGAAATAGCAGTATAGAACACATTGTAGACGTTGAAAAACTGGCTGCTATAAGGAAAGTCATGGAGACGACTGATCTCTAAAATATGAAGAATATGGAATGATATGTCAAATTGAACTAAGCTGCTGCTACTGTGTTACATCGTACACTTTCTGTATATGAACATTTTGTACTGTAAATGTGCTTGTCATTTTCTAAACTTTCAATTGTCCTTCATGTATAGTAACGTATATCCAATAATATCCTCCAATATACGAGATTTCTAGTATTATACAGTCATTGTATTATATCAGCTCAGAGGGTGCTATGATATTGCCAGATATGTAACTCCAATACTTTTAGTCTGTAAATTTTTATCTCAATATTTAATAATATTTAACAATTTCTAGTATACATTGATGGTCTACGTTTTAATCCTATTTTAGTTATTACATATTGTACCAGAACTCCGATCAGAAATGAAGTTTTATAGGCTTTTATTTGTTTAGCTAGAATCTCGTCACGTTTTGTTTGTTTGAAGCACATGTAGTATATGAAGCGATCGTGGATTGTACCACCAGTTCCAGCAACTCCACATACTGGAACACAGCTTTTAAAATTCCTTAAGAGTTGTTAAACAAGAGTTCTTGAGGTGAAAATTTTTTCAATCTTAATTTATCGAGATTAAAGTCTTAGGATCTTAACTGATAGAATTCATTCAGAAGTTATCCCATAATCCCTCTCTGTAAATGGCTTGGGATTAGGATAAAATTTTACACTAAAATGAAGCATTTCCAGATTTATCTCATGATACATTGTTGCTTTTTTATATGCATGGAGCCCCTGGTCTTTGTAGTAGGCACATGTTGGAACCAATTATGTACTTACTAGTCAAGATGCAATAGTTCATACCACTGAACAAAGTTTGAGAAGGGATAGAGAGAAGTCATTCACTCATTCACTTGTCATTCACTCAAGTATTAGTGTTAGAGCTCTATGTGAGAAAGGTAGATGAAATTATGATTCGATTGATTTTTTTGATTTTTATTCATTACTTTATTTATTTATATCAGTAAAATATTTTACACAAGAACTCCTCGATCGGATTGATTTGATCAAATGTTTTGTTTGGTGGAATTTTCTCTGGTACAGCTGTTCAAGTACATCACTTTTTCTCTCTTTTGAATTGTTGACAAACCTCTGCTATTGCTTAGTCATGACTGTTCGTGTAAATTGAGTAAGCATATTAGTGTAGCTCTGCATTTCACCCATAAAATGGTAATAATCATAGGGTGGTACCCTGAACTATGAGCATGGGCTATTGCTCATATGAAGACATATCTGGGATGGGGCATGATTTAGATTTCCTATATTAAAACACCCTTAAATTGAAATTTGCATAGCCTGTTTCAGAATCTGATTTCAACCTTGGAAGATGTCCATATCCAATTCTACTTTTCTGGAAATACTCACATTTAGCAAAATAGCTTAATTTATCAGATAATATGCATTGTTTGCAGTATTACTTAGAACTACATTTTATGTGACTTCGAATCAGCTGTGGAATGTGTGATACCATAATATTATATGCCCAATGTAAAATTTAGATTCTTGCCATTATATATTAACAGTTCTGAGGGTCCCATCTTCACATGCTTAGTCTTCACATGTTTGAATGTAAAGAGCCAAGTGAATGGGGGAAAGAAGTTTAAATTGCCAAAAATAGATTGAATGCTCCAGTTGGGCTAGAACCTTGCCAGTGCCACTTAAATCAAAAATAATGTTCAATAATGTTGTGAGTGAGAGAAGGGGTCAGTCTAAATTGTCATTGGATTAATTTTAGACATCAGCAGAGTATTGACACGGCCCCCAAAGTGTGATATATGTAGATACACATGTTCTTTGATATGAAGCAATTGTGTATGTGGAGATATTATTGTGCTAGAATGTTTAAAACTACTGAAAAATTATATAACATCAGGGAGTGAGAAATCAAAGAAAAGTTTTATAAAATGAAACTTTGGTGTCCTTTACATAAATATATAGATGTATGTAAATGGCATTGAACTAAGAATTATTTATGAGTTATATATGTGTACTTTAATGTCAGTTATGTAGTTTGATGTAATTATTTATTGCATCAGTCATTAGTGGGCTGTATAGCAAGGTTGGTCGGGGTCGGGAGCTGGGGATAATTTTATTGCTTAAATATAACCATATCATCATCCTACATTAGAATCCACTCAGTCTAACATCAATTTCTGGTGCGAAAGTTGTCATTTTTGAGTTTTACCCCCCTTTAAGACAAATTCTTGGGGGTACTATGACAAATGCTTATAACTAAATAAGTATTTATGTGATCATCTTCATTTTTGGCATGGGTAATTAACAGGTATGTAAAAGTAAAATTTGAAAAATTCATACAAATCGGGTTATTAATCCATCCTAAAGATAATAATTCAGGTATTTTCAAGGGTCAATTTCAACATTTTCTGAATGTCGACATGAAGAAAAAATAACATTATGACCCAATGACATATTTATTGAATGTTTTTAGGCTTTAGAAAATAATTTGACTATATAAGCTAAATAATAACATAAGGATTGTACCATATTGATAATTCTTCATCGCCATCCAGGCACAAATAAACCCCACCCCCTCCCCATTTTCGATTATAAAGGTCTATACATGAAACTTCCTCAAATAGCTAAATTTCAGAAACTATTACAGCCTACATTCCAGAATTTCTCATGGTGATTATACACATCATACTCTGCATAACAGACATATAATTGAGATTTATCCATTCTATAGCTAATAATTAAGGTATTTTCAAGGTTCAATTTCAGCATTTTCGAAATGTCGCCATGAAGTGAAAATTACATGACCCAATGACATTTATAAAATGTTTTTAGGCTTTAGAAAATAATTTGACTATATAAGCTAAGATAATAACATAAGAATTGTTTGATATTGATAATTCTTCATCACCATCCACTGGCATCCAGGCACAAATAACCCCCCCCCCTCCATTTGCGAAAATAAAGTTTTTTTACCTGAAACTTTCTGAAATAGCTATATTTCAGAAACTATTACAGCCTCCATTCCAAAATTTCTCTTGTTGATTATACACATCGTACTCTGCATATTATACATATAATTGAAGTCTTAACACTTTTTGAGGGTGTAGCTAATAATAATAGTATATTTATTAGACATCTTAGAAATCAAAATATATGTTTTAGAAGGTTGTCACAACACTACAAGAGAGATATTTTGGATTGTCATTATTTTTGAGAATATTACAAAAACATATCTATATTATGCAATAATCACCTATTTTCATTTACCATAATTGAAATATATTATCCAGCTAGTTTTAATGATTTCAGTAAATGCATTTAATCCTGAGATGCACTTAGGTTTGATATCCATGAAGTAATCATTTCTTTTTTGTTTGTAATTTAGTTTCTAAGCATAAAACTATAAGCATTAAATCTGTTTTGCTTTAGGATATACATCATCAATACCGATGACTAAACATTCAATTGACAACAGTCAGTCAATATGCTTGACAACATTCAATAATGATTAAAATGTTCGACCAATATGTTTTTGAATAACTTCACTAATACAATTTGCTTGAGTATTTACTTCAACATTTGATTCAAGCAGTTGAACATTGTTAGCTATCAATATCACCTGAAAAGATTTCATCTATGAAATTGTTGACTTCAGTATCTGTCATATCATCATCAATTTTGTCATCTGATTCTTCATTATAAATGTCTACCAACTCTTGTGGGAGAATGGCATTTGGTTTTTTTCAGCTCATTGTATATCAAGTTTGCCATCTTTTAGGATCCATCCATTTTCCGTTGATAGAGGCTCGAGGTTGAAATCTGTTGGCAAAATTTATGTATCGTACATGATTGATGTCTGTTTTTTTCTTTTCCCCGTACATGATGCACACAAATCTTTTGAGTTTTTGAAGATGCCTTTTGTCAAGAACTATAAATTTTCCAAGTTCTTGAAAGATTGCATGCATGTCCTTCCTCTTGATCAGCTGTTTGAGAGGGTTTATTTTTCCCTTTCTCATGAAGGCACTGGTGGTATTACACCCTGTAAAACAGTGGATACCGATCAGGGTGGCTGTGATTGGATCACCCAAACCTGCTGCAACTGTCTTCAGATCAATGATCAATCATCCCAAGGTTACATATGGAAGCAGTCTCACAAAGCCCAAATGGATATACACTCTCCAGCAGAAAATGTATGGATCCTAAAAGATGGCGAACTTGAATAACTTGATGCCATTCTTCCACAAGAGTTGGTAGACATTTATAACGAAGAATCAGATGACGAAATTGATGATGATATGACAGATAATAATGTCAACAATTTCATAGATGAAATCTTTTCAGGTGATGTTGATAACTAACAATGTTCAACTGCTTGAAGCAAATGTTGAAGTGAATACTCAAGCAAATTGTTTTGGTGAAGTTATTCAAAAAACATATTGGTCGAACATATTAAACATTATTGAGTGTTGTCAAGCATATTGACTGGATGTTGTCAATTGAAATCATTAAAACTAGCTGGATAATATATTTCAATTATGTTAAATGAAAATAGGTAATTATTGCATAATATAAATATGTTTTAGTAATATTCTCAAAAATGATGACAATCCAAAATATCTCTGTAGTGTTGTGACAACCTTCTAAAACATATATTTTGATTTCTAAGATGTCTAATAAATATACTATTATTATTAGCTACACCCTCAAAAAGTGTTAAGACTTCAATTATATGTATAATATGCAGAGTACGATGTGTATAATCAACAAGAGAAATTTTGGAATGGAGGCTGTAATAGTTTCTGAAATATAGCTATTTGAGAAACTTTCAGGTAAAAACCTTTATTTTCGCAAATGAGGGGGGGGGGGTATTTATCCCTGGATGGCGATGAAGAATTATCAATATCGTACAATTCTTATATTATTATCTTAGCTTATATAGTCAAATTATTTTCTAAAGCCTAAAAACATTTAATAAATATGTCATTGGGTCATGTAATTTTTACTTCATGGCGACATTCCGAAAATGCTGAAATTGAACCTTGAAAATACCTTAATTATTAGCCATAGAATGGATAAATCTCAATTATATGTCTATTATGCCAAGTATGATGTGTATAATCACCATGAGAAATTCTGGAATGTAGGCTGTAATAGTTTCTAAAATTTAGCTATTTGAGGAAGTTTCAGGTATAGACCTTTATATTCGAAAATGGGGAGGGGGTGGGGTTTATTTGTGCCTGGATGGCGATGAAGAATTATCAATATGGTACAATTCTTATTTTATTATTTTAGCTTATATAGTCAAATTATTTTCTAAAACCTAAAAACATTCAATAAATGTGTCATTGGGTCAAATTGTTATTTTTACTTCATGTAGACATTCAGAAAATGTTGAAATTGACCCTTGAAAATACCTGAATTATTATCTTTAGGATGGATTAATAACCAATTTGTATGAATTTTTCAAATTTTACTTTTACATACCTGTTGATTACCCATGCCAAAAATGAAGATGATCACATAAATACTTCTTTAGTTATAAGCATTTGTCATAGTACCCCAAGAATTTGTCTTCAAGGGGGGTAAAACTCAAAAATGACAACTTTCGCACCAGAAATCGATGTTAGACTGAGTGTATTCTAATGTAGGATGATGATATGGTTATATTTAAGCAATAAAATTATCCCCAGCTCCCGACCCCGACCAACCTTGCTATACAGCCCACTACATGTATTAAGACATGAATCATATATCAAGCCATCAATTATGTATCAATACATCAATCATATATTGTAACATCAGTCATGTATTATGACACCACTCATGTATTGTGACATCAGTCATGTAGCTTGACATTTATATAATAACACAAACCTTGTATTATTATTGGGAGTGATGATTTGGTATGCAATTATGTAATGTGACATCATCTGTGTACAGTGACATCAGTTCTGCATTTTGACATCAAAGAGATGAATCATGACATCAAATGTGTAGTTTGATATGAATTTATTTACTCTGACAACATCATATAAAATTGCATGGTGGATATCTGAATTGTATCAATGAAGATTTATTATGGTGTGAATCATGTAAAATGACATCAACCATTGTATCATGATATAAGTTACAGTTTTATGTTAACTCTGTATCATGACATCAATTGTAAAGTGAAATACTGGGTATTTATGAAAACTGTTATAACATTATATAGTGACAAATGTTATTATTTTGTTTGACATCATGATGCTGAATATTTGTTCATATCTAAAATATTAAATATGACATCAGTCATATTAATATATACATACATATACATATATACTGTATAAGTGGTAATTTTGCCTAATCATTTAAATTGCCTATTTCCTAATTTTTTCCAGGTTCGGAAAATTAAATGTCGGAAATATTGTCTTTATAACGTTATCCAATGGGAGGTTTCTTGTCATTAGGAAAATTAAAATTAGGAAAATGATGAAATTTGACCATTCGGAAAATAAACCATTCGGATTAAATACCACTTATACAGTATATATGTACATGACATATGAACATGACATCATTTGTTTATCCATTCTGCTTAATTTTGATGTACCAATCCATAAAATAAAGTTTTCAATTTGAAAGTTAGAATATTTTGCAATATTCAGAACACAATTTCAATCTGTTTTAGTTGTGATATTTTTATATGTCAGTTTGCTAGATGCTTTATTTGTAAGAGACTATTTCTTCTACATCTGTTGAGCTGTACATATTTCTTAACTTACATACCTCAAGTATGATTATTGTTAATAAAGTCTTATTTTTATTGTTCACATAAATGTGTTTGTTCAGAGAGTGGTATTCTGTTATTACATTGGACAGACCCAACGCAACCTCGCCATTAACAGTCGTAACTTTGACCAGACGCAACTTGGCTTGTATTTGTGAATGCAACTTTTGGCTATCAGATTACCAGATAAACCTACTTTTTTATGGCAATATGATAATATGAATGGAAAAGTAACGGATACTTTTCATATTTAAATGAGTTGGTCATAAAATAGTAGGTTAATCTGGTAGCCAGAAGCTGTTAGTTGCATTCGCGAATACAAGGTTAGTCAATAACAGTCTATAGATCTTTCCATAAAACCTGACTCCTGCACTGTATTTTTGAATACCTGCAGTGTGAATTGTGTAATGTTTTAATAAGGGTTTTTCCCCAGGTATCACTTAAAAGTTTGGATGAACTGCTTTTGTTGAAAAATGTATGAGCATGTAATTTGCAATGCATGGGCTCATTGTTCTTTTTCGTGATACATGGGGGGAATACATATGCAATGCACTACTCTACAGGCAGTTCAAAAACGCAGCATTTGTGAAAAAGAAACTTGAAACTTTGTTTGAATGTGTTAATTCACGTTTATTGATATTGATAGCTATATAACACAACAAAATAATATATTTACTCGAGCATGTCTCTGGAACTTAAACGAGGAAGCGACATTCAAGTTACACCACTTTCACAATTAATAGACTTAAAGTTCATTATAAAATACTTTACTGAATTAAGTATACATAAACGTAACAAAACTATAATTAAACAAGATTTGACAAAACAAAATGTTCTTCATACAACAAAGAGTTTCCCTTTTCTCCAATATTTTTTGGTGTACTAAAACCTACACAGCCTTGTATCATGATGCAACAGTTTCAATTTCATAGTGCAGTTACTTATTTGTATAATGTAATTTTTTGTATCTTACATTCAATACTAAAAGCTATTCATAAATTAAGTGATCAAAGATATTCCACAGGTCCCTTTAAGTCTGGCATTATTATGCCAAGCTATTCTTTGTAGCTACATATGGCAATAGTATGTCAAACTGTTCCACTTTATGTCTATATATGGCCATATTCTGTCATAGTTTCACTTTATGCCTATATATGGCAACATTCTGTTAGATTCCCTTTATATGTCCAAAATCTGTTCCATTTTATGTCCAAATACAATGAAATATAGCTTTATTCTCTCCTCTATCAGGTGAACTGCTGTAATGCTGTTTTTACCCTGAAATCGGTCAAACAAGATTGTATAAATATTCCCATAAATGTGAGGGTATGTGCCCCCAAACCTCTTAACAGAACACTAGATGCTTGCTTGAATATAGGGGTAAAATGTGACTAAAATATTTGGTGCAGGTTTGTATCTGTAAAGTTGCTGTCACATGTGGGCACACTGATTGCCACTGTGTGGCTAATTTGGGGTATTCATTTTTTAATTATACCCTTCTAAAACTGTCCCTTGTCTCTGAAATTAATTTCATTCTCAAGATGTGTGAATTTCTTCAATGTTTTGTCATGATTCATTTTCTAATATTTCCATTACTAGCTATCGAGTAGCTAAACACCAGGCACCATGTTACATCGGAAATTCACATGAGTAAGTACACTGAAGAATTTAATATGCAAATTTGAATTTTTCAAGAAATCCAGCTTTTTGACAGACGAGGTACAGACTATTTTGATAATAATTAATAAATTGATTATATTTGATGTCATGGGGTATATTGTTGCAATAAAACTATTTGTTTCACCAGCCTTGTTTCCATGACGTGCCCTGCCGTTATCCCCAAAGTATTCACAAGGTGATCCTACACGGCCTAAGTGTGACAGCTCCATAATGTACAGTATTTGTTGGTTTGTTTTCTTATTCCAATGGGACTTTTGAAATAATACCACAACACAATGATTATTAGTTAATACTTACTTATCAAATAAAGTTGTATCATTTGTACTCAACAGCTGCTGTAATAACTTCTGTACTCCCATCTCTCGTAGTTTGGCCTGCCTCTCAAATGCCCCACTTTCTTCACTCCATATTAAGTTTGATATGCAGAATGTGGCTGCTATTTGTAAGCGAACGTTTGCATGGATCTGTAGCAAAAAAACAAATAAGAATATTTAAAACAGTGGCAAGTTTGACCAAAATCTACACAAGGAAGAATATAATAAGGCACCATATGTGGAACTGACAAATACATGGGGCAAAGAGCGATCACATTGGTAAATGAATGAAACCAGAACAACGGCAACGCCAAAGCGTAGCGAATCCCATCGAACAGAAATAGCTGGCATTTTTACAAACGAAATATATAGCAAATATCATAAAATAACACACATAAGAAAGTTGTCATCAGAAGAAGTAATATGCTTTTTTATAGTATTCACATGCCAAATATGAACAAAATCGCTCCACTACTTTTCGAGTTACAGCAAAAATTGTAAAATAACGAGTAAAGGCCGAGTAAAATACGTTTAAATGGCGGCCATTTTTCAAATTCCATTTTTTGTCATCAGAAGAAGTAATATGCTTTTTTTTATAGTATTCACATGGCAAATATGAACAAAATCGCTCCACTACTTTTCGAGTTACAGTAAAATACTTTAAATGGTGGCCATTTTTCAAAATGGCCGCCTTCTACCAAAAGTGTCATTAGACAGTGTGCCATGCTTATATTATTCACATACCAAATATGAACAAAATCGCTCCACTACTTTTCGAGTTATAGTAAAATAGGTTAGAATGGCGGCCATTTTTCAAAATGGCCGCCTTCTACCAAAAATGCCATTAGACAGTGTGCCATGCTTATAGTATTCACAAACCAAATATGAACAAAATCGCTCCACTACTTTTTGAGTTAAAGTAAAATATGTTAAAATGGCGACCATTTTTCAAAATGGCGGCAAATTTTCAAAATGGCCTCCTCCTACCAAAAGTGTCATTAGACAGTGAGCCATGCTTATAGTATTCACATACCAAATATGAACAAAATCGCTCCAATACTTCTTCAGTTACAGCAAAAATCGTAAAATAACGAGTAAAGGCCGCCATTTTTCAAGATGGCTGCCATGTGCTATTTAATTTCTACATTTCTAGCTTTATCAATGTCCTATATAATTTTTTTACATTTAAAACATAATGCTATCACAGTTTTACATATTGCACCTAAATAACTGTAAAATCGGCACTAAAATGGCCCCCATTTTTAAATGAGCGGCCATTTTGAAAATCTTCTACTCCCATAGGGTATATGTGTACAAAATATGAACAAAATCGGGCCAACGGTATTTGAGTTATTGCCCGGACGGACGGACGGACAGACGGACAGACGGACGGATGGACGTACGTATGGAAGTACGTACGTACGTACGTACGTACGGACGGACGGACGGATGGAGGCGTTCCCTATATCCCTCCGAACTTCGTTCGATGGGATAAAAATGCAGCTTAAAAAAAGTTGGCCCCATTTAGAAGAGACTAAAGCATGCTATTTTAGTGTGATTTGAAATCATTTGCGTATAATCACTGATAAATCCAAGGAAACTTCACAATATAATTCATCTCTGACTGATCCTAAGCCATAATTTGCCCCCAAAAGAGTTATAATACCTCGAATAAGGAAATTAACCCTGTGTTGTAGTTTATATTGACTTGGATTAGTCTCTTATGAACCTCAAATCACATGAAGAGAGGCGGCCGATAGATGGTGAAGACTACAGGCATGAATGTTTTGAGACAAACTCAATTTAAATCTAAAAGTTATGAATTAACTTAGTAAACTTACCATATAAGTCATAAGTTTTTTCAGAACATCTTCATTGCTCATGATGAAGTCTTTTGAGTTGACACCATCAGCTACGTTGGCAAGGATGCATAATGTCTGCAGGAAAATACAAAATATAAGCAAGAGTCAAAGGGGTGATTTACAGAAACTTCATACAAGGCATTAACATGTAAAATGTCACCACCTGCCATATATTATGGACGCTGACTGCCAAACACCAACAGCCAAACACCAATTACTGAACTCTGTCCACAAAAAGATGGAGACCATATAACAATTTGTGGTACAGGTGATGACATCAAATCAGAATCCCTAAAGTCCATTGTTCTCCTACAATTATGGCATTATCCATGTTTACTGTTGATTTAGGAATTCTTAATTTAACGAATTTTCTGTCAATGAAACCTATTTTAAATGTGTCCTGTGACAGTGTGCCCTTGCTTAACAAAATCTAAATGAAATGAATACAAAACCGAAATTTTTAGATAAATATGCAATAAGTGACTCATCTGCATGTTGAGTGTTAAAATTATTTCCTGGCAACCGATATCAACACATACTCAATTTCAAAAACGTTCCATAAAAAATAGCACAAAATTTGATGATTTATTCCAATTTAGAAATATCACAAGTTGAGTCTATACTAATTTTACACATGCTATTGATCTTCATTTTAATTGGAACATTAGATCCCAGTTCAAGGCCTTAAACATAAATCATAGGTATTTCTCCCCACAGTTGAGAATTTAAAGTGGGTATTTAGCTGTACCTGTTCTTTGACGTCTATAGGGTGGTCTCCTTCTAGTATGAGGATCACAGCTTGCATGATGTCATTACCATGTTGTCTCATGATGTCATCAATATCTTGCTAAACAGAGAAGAATAACATGATATAAAGGAAATACTGTACACAGGGTGATCCAGAATTAATATAAACAAGGCATTAACATGCAAAATGTCACCACCTGCTATTTGTTACAGAAGCTGAACCCCAACAAACGAACATACAATGTTACAAAAGGATCATGGAGATCATGACAATATGCCAAAACTTTGGTGGTGACATAAAAATGCTGCCATTTTAATACTGATTCAATCTTGAAACTTGGTACATTGAGAGACATTTCCCAAATGTTATTGATTTACTGTGAAGGTCATGGTTATTAATCTTAGAATTTACTATGGTAACCCAATGTGATGTCACCCAGAGCAAATTATAGTAAGAAAAGAAATGAAAATTCTCCAAAATATGATAAGATGATAGAATTGTTAAAGAAATCAAACTACATTTGGGAAATGAATACAAATGACAGACTAGTATAACTAACTTCTGGATATACAATTTTTAGCATTTAAAACAATTGCGAAACTAAACTAGAATTAGTAACAATATTGTGTGTCACACAGGAAGTACTTACACTTACTGACTTATTTGAGAGAAGGTTTCTCAACAATCCCAGAGTCTTCATCAATACATCCACATTAGAGTCAGATAACAAACAGAACAACTGGTCTGTACCTAAAGCATTCAGGATCTGAGTCTTGATCTTGTGGTCAGCTTGGAACGTCATATTCTAAAGTGTTTTAAAATGTTATGAATTATGTATATTGTATTATATTGTATTGCATTGTATTGTCTTGTATTGAATTGTATTGTGTTTTATTGTCTTAAATTGTATTGTGTTGTATTGTATTGAATTGTATTTTTTATTGATGTTTTCTAAAGTCATCTGGACTTGAACTAAACTACCCCATTTCTAATTCAATTGATTATGACATTTCTGCTGATATACTTTAAATCTACATATAAAAAATCTGTTTCTATATATTAGACTCTATACCTTTGATATAGAATAAGATATAACAATTACCATTAGTGCCCATATGCCATTCACCCTCAGTGCAGGGTTCTCTTTCTTTGTGAGGTTTACTAACAACTCTACAGCTCCTGATTCCAGGATAGGCTGAAATAATTGTAAAATATAGAAATAATTGTAGAATATTGAATAATTGTAGAATATTGAGATAATTGTAGAATATGAAAGTCATACAGTACACAAACAACATCAGCACTTGTTAAGTTTAATTATGGTGTTTACTTTAATTGACTAGATTAGAAGAATCACTGTGAAAATGCAGAAAGCCAAATGAAAAACTGAAACACGGAATATGATTTGAAATAAGCACATTTTTTAAATATGGAAGTTAGCAAACTTTTCCTCCTTGTTCAAGATGTGTCCACCTTTCCATTTAAATCCCAGTTTACTATACCATCTTGAGTTGCCCCCTAAATGTATCACAAAGTGCGTAAACTATACACTGAACATTTATATTTTTAATATAGAAACTTCACACCTTGGCAATGTAAATGTGTATTTACCTTTATATAATGGACAAAATACATGTAAAAACTTGTAGTGACCTATGTTACAAAGACACTAAATTGATTAAGAGTCAATATATGACAAATACAAAAATAATTTCTGTTCACCTCTTTGCTAGGTGAGAACTCTAAGAGAAGATTACAGAGTGTAGAAGAGGCGACTGTCAGGACTTCCTCAGAGGCATTCTGTAGAAGCTGCAATAAAACTAATGTTATGTATTAACAATGCACTACCTCACTATGGTACTTTTACATGTATACAATTATCTAAATGCCCAATTTCTAAGGGTGTCGAGTGCACATGCTTTGTACATTCCATTGTTATATTATGATAATAAAAAAAATAAATAAATAAAGCGTAAGTGCAATGGACGCTATTAACTTTGTTTAGGACTGTATGTTTGTGACATACAACTGCACTTTAACAGGTATGACAACACACAACCTTTATTGTAAAGCTTTTGTTGGGAATATACACTTTTTAAAATGCACCCACTCATGTATTGTAAACATTATAAAATAGAGCTTTACAAATCAGATGGTCAATTGTAATTCTTCATGGAACCATTAATTAACAGAAATTTTCGAACAAAATCATCATCAATTAGTGAAATTTTATGGTAAATTAGAAAATTGAGCCAGTGTTGACTGTTGAGTAACATGACAAAAACTGAGGAGAAACAAGACTTAAAAGTTGTAAAACAGAATGCATTCCGATTTTTGTGAACTCGACTGTTTGCCTAATAGTATATATCTCCACTGCATCAAAGCTTTATTAAGAGCATTCTTTCAAAGATCTTCAAGAAAGAGAGATTGTTTTTCTAAAAATATTTGTGTATAAAAAACATTCATAACTTATTGATCAGTCCTCGTATGTGTTTACTGTTTACCTTCATGAGTGGTTTCCAGACAGTGTGATCTGAGAAGCTAGTTCTGAGTTGTTGTACAGATCTAGAAAGACTATGCATACACCGAACTGCAGATAATTGGACTTTAGTACTTTCATCATACAAGCCTACTACTAAGTGGTCCATCAGATTCTCAGTCTCAATAATCTAAAAATAAAATGAATATACAAGGGGCGATCCATATATTCTGATAAAAATGCTCTCATTTTGTGATTTTTTCACATATCCCTTTCATTTTTCAGAATATGTAAATTATGTAATTACACATACAATGCTAAAATATTATAGCTATATCTTAAATTAGTAAATATTCTGAAATAAGGTTGCCATAATAGTTTCTGTATTATGGATATTGAAAAAGATGAACTATACAAGAATGAGATTTACTAGTTATGTTATTTGAAACAGATGAATATGATGGCATATTAAGAATTGAGACCTACTCATCAAAATCAAGTATGGGCTGTCAGGTTTACTATGCATGCTGGAAAAAATCATCTGCCCTACCTGAAGATCAAAATCAACTGACCATGGAAGTCTGAGCCTGCACTTGTGCCACATGCTACTAAGATATGCTAAACATTATATTAATTTGCCATTAACTTTACTAGAATTCAGTGAAATATTTACCCTTTTCCTGATGTCCTCATCATTAGCGCCAAGTGATGCAAACACTCTGAATGCAGCCTGCTTCATCTCTCCAGATACCTCTTGCTGAACCTCCTAAAGTGGTAGAAATAAATATAAAAGCTTTTAATAGAAATATTTATTACAGACACTTAAAGTCTTGATGCAGATACGATCTTAACAGTCTCAATTCAAGTGTAGACTTTATAGGAGTCTGAATAAGCAATGAATATAAGGTACATATTAGCATGAAATTCAAAGCAGTTGGATTAGAGAATTAAAAAAACCAATACAATAAAATAGAAGGAAAAGGAAACCTGAAAAATGCATCGATTCTTGAATAAAACATAGTGGTGTAACAGGGAGAGAACAAGTTAAGAGCTATATGACAGTATTGAGTAAGAGCAGCAAGCCAATTATCTTCAAGGAGCTAACCACATAACTACCTAAAATGCCAGATCTAGTTCATTGACACCAAGGGATAAGTTCTGTTTTCCTCTCTGTACTCTGGTCAATAACATTGCGATCACATTTGTGTAAACAATGAATATAAGGACAGGTGAAACATAAGGACAGGTGAAACCCATTATTTATATCATAAAATATACACCTTTATTTATGATAGTTTTGACAGAAAAGGTTATTTCAAATTTTACCTTTTTATTGCTTCCATTGCCATTAGTTTCTTCCGCACTTTCCACATATCTGAGGTATTCTGCCATAGTTAGGATGAGATGATCTGACCAGGCAGCTATACGCTGTAGCTCTATGTCAACCTCTATAAGGTAAGCCAGAGTTTCTGCACCTGCAAAAAGAATACGGAGTATAACACCAAAAGTTACACTTGTCATGACAGGTAGGACATCCTGTTCAGCCATCTATCCATACTGCTGTTAATAAGTGCAGGGGTCTTTAACCTTATTTGGGCTTAATATTTTGTAGATCGTTTTACCTTTTAATTTTGATGTTCTTATATTTTTATGTTTATACCTTATGTCCATTTAGTATGGATTGCATCCTAAAAAATGTCCAACCTACCTTTTACTCTCTGTGTGATGTCTTTATCTCTCTTACACATGCGTACCAGGGTAGGGAGAGACTTCAAACTGATCATGGGATCACTGGCATTCAAGGCCCCAGCACGATAGATGTAGGCCAAACTAAAATATAATAAAAATATCTTCATGGATAGAATTAAAAGTAAATGAAGATACTAATATCAAAGCTTAGGAAAGGTGAACAATTGTGGGAGAATTTATAGTTTAATTTCGTGCACACATAATTTAGTACTCCTCTTGAGCTATTGAGTAAGAGTCAGGCTGAGTTATTAACAGTTAATCTGTGAAATTGACTGACAACAAGCTTAATTATATAAATTATATTGAACTAAAACTAATAACAACTAATCTATGAGAAAATTAACTGCCAATGAGCCAAGATTGTTCCCAGGCACTATAATTGAACCCCTTGCACTCAGGCCAGAGGTCTTAAACAAGGAGGGAGGGGCATTCTTATGGTGACATGCCTTTCATCTAAGCCAATGAAGTGTACAATTATATTTCAGTTTTAATTGCATTTACCATGTTGCAGCTGCCATTTGCATCTCAAGTGGCTTATCCCTGGCTAGCAGTTTTACAAACATATTGGGGAGGCTCTGACCGTTATGCGTTGCTGAAAATGAATGGCATATAAATTACCAGTAAATCATGATACATTAAACACATATCTCAACTTTTAAACTGATCATTGCAAATAATATTCGGGACAATTAGAATAACTTGTATCGTACTCAGATGAAAGTTTATATGTATACTATTTCAAATGACTTTTCAACAATACTTCTGAAAATGTCTCCTACCCATGGCTACATTTAGAGAGACATGTTGATTCTGGTAGCAAAGTTGAGAGAAGCACTTCAATGTTGGCATCTGCACCTATAAAAGAAAACATATTGGGACATACTGAAACATTTTCTTCGAGAATCCAGTGTCAATTTTTACATCAATCAAGATATCGATGTACAATTGACCTGCTTACTTAACTTTATCTTAGCTTCATATTAATACTCCTTATAGTCAGCCTTTATATAGGCTACAATAAAAAGCCAAAAATGAAGAGTAACATGACCACCTATGCCCAACACTAATGAAAAGTTTTGAGTATTTTACTTACTCTGTATATATCAGAACAAAGCAGAGGAGCCAAAGCTGATACAATCCCATTGCTACAGAGCACACTTTGCTGTAAGGCTGACTGAAAACATTCAGAAAAAGGGTGAAACATTATTTCAAATATTGAAATTGTAATTTGAGAAACATTGCATTCTTGCCCATGATCTTCATAAATACATAATTAACTTGGTTTATAGTTACCAGTAACAACATCTATTTGATATAAAATGGGCCAATAAGCCCCACGCAAGTTATTATTGTCTATTTGGACAAACTGATTTTCTCCATGTGTAAAAATTGACAATTTTACCGGGAGGTCCAAAATCCTTTTGATACAACTTTTCAAGACTATTCTGACCTACGGTATAGATTACATAAAGGCAATACTCACTGTACAACAGTTGGCAAGGATATTTGTGATACATTCCTGAGTACAGGACGACTTGGATATAATACTCAACATGTGTGGTACAATGGTCAAGTCCTGAAACAATAAATGGCATTCTTGTTAATATACAGAAGATAAACAGGTTTCTTGAAGCAGTAGCACGTTTTCATAATGCAGGAGAGTCGAGGATTCTGGAGGCTTACCAAATTTTATTTACTTAAAGATCACAAAACAACAGAGATATAGTATTAAAATTAAAAACGAGTTGAAGAAAAAATAGAAAACACCAATACATAGCTCATTAAATCGTAATAAACAAAACTTTTCTTAAATCCTTGTGGGATGAATCTTCCGAATGATTAATTCTGTACCATATTTACATGTATTAAACTTGAATAAAGAAAATAATTAATTTTGAATATTTCATCACAGAAATAAATAGCATAAAGAGACAGATGGATCATGGATATAACCAAAAGAACTGGTACTGACACACTGACAGGTGGTGGATGACTTTTTGCATCAATACTGAATGTTGTAAATTGGGGTAGTCAAAAAAAGAAAAAAGTTGTTCACGTGAATATCTCGAAACATTTTCCAACTACAGGTTATAACTTGTGCCATAAAAAACATTTATATAAAAATGTAAAAAATCACTTATATCTCTCCCATCATTTTTAAATGGTATACAAAGCCAGAAAGAGGCTAGAGTTGCTTGCTTGAAAGATTAAAGTCAACACAAAATTCTTACCTGATAAATGACATCTACAGAGGCAACCTCACTGGTGAATATAGTCCTCAGGCAACGGAGACAGGCTTCAACATACTTCAGGTTTGGATGAGAGATGTCTACAAAAAACAATATTTTAAAGGGTGAGATCACACTCCTGTTTATCCAACCACAGTGACAAAGCTATGAACACTTTGCACTTAGTTTGTACATTTTTAAATGCCCCGGCCCCATGGATAGTTTTGAAAATATTTTCCATAATCAATATTTTTCAATGTTAGTCTTTTAATTTTCATACACATTTATATCAATTTCTTAACTATAGCACCGAAAATTTTGGATTTCTAAAACATCAAATATAACTATATAATCACACTCGGTGATCGGAAGAAATAAACGGAGGGGAGAGTACCTGATATCACAGGGGTTCTTATTGTTCAACTATATAAGCCTGGTATTATACCTTTTAGTAATACTGAAAGACAACCATAATCTAGCAACATTTCTATATCTGCTTTAGTGCCTTTTGCAAAACTGCCCAAGACAACTGCACTCTCAATCCGTAACTCAATGTCTGAGGTTTCATCTATCATAAACTGCAATAACCTAAATAAAAAAAACATTAAAATAATTGTTAAAATGTTAAGCAGTTAAACTACAATACTTTTTCATATGTGTCTATATCTACATTATATATATCAAATTAAGCTATAATGATTTAGATGTACATCATAATATTAAAGAGATGTTTCAAAAATTATCATATTTTTCCAATGGGATCAATCTCTACTTTAACAGTGTACATGTATTTTAGTAAAGCCAATTGGAGTGTAATATTTTATAATACCTTGGTACAATTCCACATTTCATCATAGATGTCTTCTGTTTATTATTGCCAATTGAAGCATTCTTGATCTGTCTTACTGACGGCAGCCATTGTTGGGTCTCAGTGGTAAAGAGACTGTCAACAAATCCAGGGTTACCATCAACCTCCTGTAAAACATATGTATAATCCTATAAAATAAATCTAATACTGATCTATGTCGAATTTACACTTGGAGGAAGTGTAAGTTGTCACTCATTCGTTTTAACATGGGCTTTGAAATTCCCAACAAAATTTCCTGGCTCATCACCGCGCTCATTTGACAAACAATAAAAAGTGAGGTGTCAAATTACTACAGAAATTAAACTGTGAAGTGCGGACATGACTTCAAAATCACCAAAAAGTTGAGTGACATTCTATTACCTTCTTCTAAGGCCACTTTATCGTGGCCTTCGTCCAAAGATAAATCCCTTTCTAACGGGTCATGTCGTAATCATAAAATTTGAAATCAAATGTTCGCCATTTTTCCACATCACAATTTGAATTGGGAGTTTTGGTCTTATTACCTCACCAAAAATTCCAAAGCACACATGAAGTGATCAACGTATTAGTTCACATCTTCTGGATCGCTAACTTAGAATTTGCAGCCAGTTACTTATGTCAAACGATAACGACATTTCGTCCAGCTTTCAAATATCGCCATTTTTCTTGGAGCAGTTTATTTTATTTTTTGACGAAATCATGCAATATATCAAGGAGCCCAGCCAGTTCCATTTTAATTCATGATTTATTTCTCTGGTGATTTTTAAAATATTAATAAATTTATAACACGACGGCCAACTTTTTACAAATGGTTCACGGTGTTCCAGATGAAATTACTAGGCAAGAATTGGCTAGATACTCGAGTAAACATTCTAATTTTCCTCCAAGCTTACAGTAAAATTTTAAATGATTGGAACTACTTTGAATTCAAAAAATAAGCAATCAAATGACTATATTGCAACAGTATATTGTCGCGCGTCAGACTCCCACCCAGTACCCGTACTCCCTCGGAGAAGGTCTGGAGGCGATGTTAAGGGATTCGGAGGTGTTTCTCACAGGCGCCGAGCTGGTTTGGTGCTTCGGCTGTCACTGAGCTAGAAGATGGAGAACACAGGAATTCTATTCTATATGTCCACATGTGTAGCTCAGGGTCTATCTTCCAGGTTAATTACGTAAATTACGACCGTATATATACGGGATATACCCAAGAGGTATTGCTCACCTTCATTGGTGGTAAACAAAATACAATACAATACAATCAACACTATAATAATCACAATAAATTTCAAAGTGTCCTTTAATAATGCCTTTATGGTCAATAACTCAAATACAAATGTCTCTATATATAAACAAGAGTTCGAAACACTCTGGCTCTGAGTTGTCTGTCTCTACTCTACTCTGCCATACTCTGCTCTGCTCTCTACTCTGCTTGTCTGCTCTGCTCTGGAACTTGGTTCTACTCTAGGTGTAACCTCTGCTTCAGGAATCATCTGACCTCACAAATAATCTCAGCTCACTTCTGCTTGAAGAGAGCTCTCCCTCTTGAGCTATCGTCTCTCGGAAGGGGTCCTGGCTCCGGAAGTAACCTCTGCTTCGGGAGTCGCTTCGTCACAGTAGTAATCACCTTAAAACTCTCCTCAAAGGAGTGCTTTCACTCTATGAGCTACACTGTCTCTTGGAAGGGGTCCTGGCTCAGCGAGTAACCTCTGCTCTTCAAGTCACCACTTCTCAGGATATACCTCTCTACAACCTCTGCTCAATTCATTCTTGAGCTACACTGTTTCTTGAAAGGGGTCCAGGCTCCAGGAGTAACCTCTGCTCTTGGAGTCGCCACTTCTCAGGAGAAACCTCTGCTCTTGAACGAGATCCACACACTGGGAGTACCTTCAGCTCCGGGAATCGCCTCGTCTCAGGAGTAACCTCTGCTCTTGAACGAGATCCACACACTGGGAGTACCTTCAGCTCCAGGAATCGCCTCGTCTCAGGAGTAACCTCTACGCAAAGAGTGCTCTCACTCAATGAGCTACACTGTCTCCAAAGAGTAACCTCTGCTCTTAGAGTTACCACTTCGCAGGAGCTACCTCACTACAACTTCTGTAGAGAAATAACAACTCTAGAATGTCAATCAAAGGATGAGATTAGACAGAGCTGTAATCTCATGTCCTTGGAGCACCTCAGTTCCGGTAATGTAACCCTGGCTCCGATGAGAGTAAACCTTCCTCAGTATGCGACCCTGGGTGAGAGTCAGATCCCCTCGACAAATTATAAGCTTTAATAGCTAGGAGGGGTAATGACTTGGAGCCACCAATATTCAAAGCAGAATGACTCACGAATATCGATCAAGGAAATGAGATTAGACAGAGCCAAATCTTCTCAGAGCATCTAGAGCTCAAAATTTCTCAAAATGACGTCACTTCCTTCAAAAACAAAGATGGTCGACCGCCGGGAATTGTGGGAACAAGAAAGCAAGAAGGGGTACAGCTAATTACCCATTGTATGTCAACCTCAATCAAGAAAATGGCTAACTCACCAAAAACAATGGCTGTTGTTTTGTCTTTTCTCCTACAGTTGCAACAAATACAATCTGCATCTAACAATTACTGTATCTAATCCAATATATCCAAAATAATGTTCTAATAAGTCCACAAATGAAATGAAACACACTGGCACATAAATAACTCCAGACTGACGAGGTCTTTTATATTCGAGATCTTGGTTTACTCTGATTCACATTCACAATTTCACAAGGTCACTTTCAGAAAATAAAATCCAGACATCTCAAGTTGTGTCATGGGAAAACTACAACTTATGTTGGAGGGAAATTCAAATAAAAGAATCTGATTGACTGATCCTGGTTACTGGGTGCCTAATTATTTAAATGTATTCCACTACAGTCTGCTGCTCCAGTAAACATCCCAGTGCCTACGTGACATTCTGCATGTACAGTGGGGAACATAAAGAATTACAAAAGCTATGAAAATTACATGCTGTTGCACACGTGATAAATTCTTACCTCAGTGTATTCAGTGCTCTATTTTCTCTGTCCTAGTAAGTCCAGTTATAGTGGAATTTGTGTCCATAATGACAAATTAGAACTTAAAAATTTGAAGTGGATATTCACAAGTTAATGCCGACTCTTCAAATGTTGAGGTTATTTTGGAGCCCGATTCTGCCGCAATGTGGATTGGCTCCCAGAATGCAAAATGACACGTGCCAGCTTTCAAAATGCAGTTCCACCATTTTGAAATCTGTCACAAGAAAATAAGGTTTCTGATGTTGCATTCTGGGAATCAATCCTCCTTGGATCACAAACATGGCGATTGAAGACATTCGTTCGATATGGTAGGGATTTATCCATCATTTGCAGGTATGAAGCTTTGGATTCATTTTTTGTGCTACTTAGAGTGAATGGGAATTATTTTTCTACCGCTTGGGAGAGTTTGAGAAATGAAACTTAGAATTTAGCCCATTGTGACAACTTTTGATGGTTGAGGTTTATTTTTGGTCAACACTTAAGGTCAGGGTGCATGATGCAGGGCTGTCAACTTGGGACCACCTAATATGAGTGACTTCAAAATGTTGGACACCTAAGTCCAAATCTGAACACTTTTGTCCAAATTTTGAACACCTTTGGCCAACTTTTAAACACCTTTGGCCAAAGTTTGAGCACCTTTGCCAAACTTTGAACACCTCAAATCCGAACAAATTGCGTTCGGTTTTTTCCGACGTTCGTATTTTTACCGTATCGTAAACATATTTCGAAAAAATTTCTACAGAAATATTTTTGCTTGACAATTGCCAGGTAAAATGCGTATTTTGCGTGACTTTTTCTGTCACGCACAAAAAACTGGCGTGACTTCAAATTCTTCAGCAAATGCGTGACAAATACGCAAATTGCGGGACAGTTGACAGGCCTGATGATGGGAAATTTTCTGCATTCCTCAATTGAGTCACATGTTATTTTTCAAACAAGAATCACTCCTTCTCTTCATTGTCTTTATCTTCCAGTTTTGCACAAAGAGTGCACTTATGTGCCTAGAAAAGACTTGTGAGAAGAATGTTTTGATAAAGTGTATAAAAAACAAGAAAATTCAGTGAAAAAAATCAGAACATTTTCAGAATTTTTTTTCACTGAATTTTCTCATTTTTTATACATTTTACAAAACAAACCTTCTCACAAGGCTTTTCTAGGCACAAAGGTGCACTCTTTGTGCAAACTTGGAAGATGTAGACAATGTGGGGAAGGAGTTATTCATGTTTGAAAAATAACATGTGACTCAATTGAGGAATGCAGAAAATTTCCCAACATGCACCCTGTCCTTAACACATTTTACTAAAGAATCTGTGAACTACAGTGAACAAAACATGTAAAACTAACATTTATAGAATCAAAAATTCGCCACAATATAATCTCATGGCCTAATCTAACTGATGTGGTGATATATATTGAAAAAGGTCTAACAATGACTCGGATTTGAAGGATTGCATTTCCATTAGAATGGATATCTAGTCCATCTTATACCAAGATCTAAGGATAATGTAAAGAAATTACCATATCTGCTAGAAGCATAGTGAAATACACACTGGAACTATATTATGAGATATGTGAAGATGTTATCTTTCTTTGTGAGATTGACGTACTGAGCTATCTAAATTTTCTGAGGTAGTCTACGCCGAAATATTTATGAGCATATAATTACGATATCATATGTTTTGTAAGTATCTTGAATATATTAGACCTATATAAAATAGTATATGAATACTTTTTAATATTTTACATAAATCAGCACTCAAACAAAGGTGACATGTGCGTTTAAACTGAAATACGAAAACATTTTAGAATATTGACCGTAACTTTTTAGGCGCCATATTGTTTCTTTTTCTGCAGTCTGATCTGTCTTTGAATATTCCAGCTTATCGAGTGAGTATGCATCATAACTAACATAATATCAATTCCAATATAAAACAAAGATTCTTTAGCTATTTAAGGCATCTTAATTATTGGACTATAACCAGGGAAAATTTATTCTTGATACCGAAATCACATATTATCGCCCATACCCATGTTTTTATGAGATTTTTATGGCACTTTTTAAAGTACTATACATAGACAGGGTAGGAGACCGAAAAAAATCTGGGGGGGGATACACCATGGAATATTCTGGGGGGGGGGGTATTTGCAAAGGAATTCTGCGGGGGCACTAGCAAACCTACTAAAAAAATCCCAAATGTTGAAATGTCAATTTTTATCCAAAAACACACGCAATGGTAACCAATTACATATTAATTATACAAAGAAATACTTCTACTTACTTATTTTTCTATAACTGGTTCACAGAAATTTATAGCATGAGTCAACAAAACGTGTAGAAAAATGAAAGAAACATTTCGTTTTCAAAGTCTGCTACCGGCTTACGCTCTACCGAAGGCTCTTATTGGTCAACTAGAATTTGACCTAATTAGAAATTGCGCGAAAATTGAAACTTTTGCGGAAGTGAAGTGGTTTTCATTTGCTTCGTGTGAACAATGTTCAGTAAGTAAAATAATATTTCTCTCTCTGTGATTGCAAAGGAGGAATGATGTATCATTTCCAAATTTTTGTGGAATAAAAGATATATTGATGTTCAGAACGCCATAAAATGCAAGTATATTTGTAAATTGTGTCAAACATATTGTTGCATTGTAAGCACAACCAACAGTACAACAGGGGTTATAAACCAAGGTCTGGAGATAATGTTCGTCGTCCATATTTTAAAACCCTTTAGTGTCACACAATATCTAATCAAACATGGCGAAGAGTGATTGAAAAATGTTGAAATCGTAAGTTCATTTCTTGTTTTAAACTATATATTGTGTTTATATTTTTGCTAGATATTATACAAATAGGGCATTTAGATGTGAACTTTAGAATGAAACTGATGACAAACCGGGTCAATGACAAGAAATGTTATTATTTTACCTTTTTGTATGCAAATTTCTCAGTTTCTTGGTCTCAAAAAATGTTTGATCATCAACCCAAAACGTTATTTAGTTTTCAATTGAAAAACACGGAAGTTTTATCAAAAAGAAGTACAAAAAGGCGACATAATAAGAGCTTATATTAGGAATGTATTTGGCATTTATGTCCCTGTATTAATATTTAGTGAATACTTCAACATGAGTAGAAGCGTTTTGCATTGAGATTTTATTTAGGGTAAAGGACAGGGATCACTTTATACAGAATTGTGTCTATGTCTATGTAATGTGAGTGTGCCCAACATGGTAAAAATATTGCATTTTTTCTCTGAATGGGCGGCCATATTGGAAAAGTCATCCAGCCAATCAGAAGAGTCACTGGGAATCATGGGAAGGGCCATTTTGAAAATGAATTTTGACATGGGAAGTTTGCTAGTAGGGGGGGGGGGGGGGGGGGGGTTAATAATAGGGGGGTGGTGGTGGTAGTCTGTGGGGGAGTACTCTTTAGGGGTATAAGGGTGGAGTGTCTTTCAGTCTTTTAAAGGCAGTAATTAGTCAGTTAAAGGGGTATTCCTTGCCAGACCATCTCTCTCCTAATATGGTAGCTATAACCATATACATACTTTGCAAGTTTATCAAAAAACAGAAAAATGTTTTGAAATGGTCAATATTGATGACTAAAAAATGTAGTGCTCAATTCCAGTAAGCTGCCATCTTTTAAAATTTCACTCAGGAAGTGATGTCATCGACTCTCAACATTTCATATAACATAGGTAAGGAGCTATTAGAATTACTAAACCAGCTTTTTTCAATTTGGTCTATGATTAAAATCCTTTTGTGATCTCTTCTTTAGTTTTAAGTTGACAACTCCTGAAAATATTTTACACAGAAGATAGGGGCTTCTTGTTTAGAAGTAATTTTGTACTTTTTTCCTATACTGTAATAGACAAGGTTATAACAGGTGAGAGTCGATGACATCACTTCCTGAAAGAAATCTGAAAAGATGGCAGCTTACTGGGAATGAGTACTACATTTTTAAATGATCAATATTGACCATATGAAAACATTTTCCCGTGTTTTGCTAAATATGTAAAGTATATATATGATTGTAGCTACCATATCAAGAGAGAAATAGTTTGGCAAGGAATGTTCCTTTAATGTACATGTATAGCTTGAGTATTTTTTGTGTATGGACTTGTCTGACACCAAATCTCTGTCATGTTTATTATTTCGAAATTTAATCCCAGCCATCAGAACAAAGTACATTCAAAGCTACAGCTAGCTGTATACAGGTTTTTCTGACTTTCATATTTGCAAATTGGTGATCCTCTATAATGCTTAATGCTAAGATAAGGAAAACTTTGGTATGCTCTTGTTAAGGGTATAACTTTCTCTACAGTGTCATGGCTTTCATAGAACTCCTCTTCATTTCAGGAACAGCAAAACCACTGGTGATCCACTCGATTACGCTGGTTACCAAAACGGTTCGTTTTGGTAACAAAATGTCGGAGCGTCGAAGGTACGATTTTTCTTTTTTCCTTATTTCACGTGTTGTAGGCAGAATCCCAACGACGTTTTTTCTCACAAACGTATATCAGTATCATATGTTTTAGAAAATGTTCATGTTTGCGAAAAAATAGCTCAGAAGACAACAGAATCGTCGATTTAATTCCTCACTTAAGTTACATAAACGGTTTTGGTTAAAAGTGCAGATCTTAACTGTTTTTCGAAAAACCGTTTATGTAACTTAAGTGAAGAATTAAATCGACGATTATGTTGTCTTCTGAACTATTTGTTCGCACATATGTACATTTTCTTAAACATATGATACTGATACACGTTTGTGTTAAAACATGTCGTGGGAATTCTGCCTACAACGTGTTAAATAAGGAAAAGAGAAAAATCGTACCTTCGACGTTCCGACATTTTGTTACCAAAACGAACCGTTTCGGTAACTAGCGTAATCGAGTGGATCACCAGTGAAAACATGATTTCCCCAAAAACATGAAGAATCATTAAAATTAACAAATATGACCTATTTCTCTGAAACAGTTACTGCATATCATTTAAACATTTTTAAATTCAGTACATTTTCTAATTTATATCATACATCCTATATACTGGGGATCCACTCGATTACACTGCAATAGTGTTTCTGCTAATGCAACTTGGGTAAAAAAATTAAGCATTGTGTAATTTATGTTGAAGAAATAAGAAATAATGAAAAAATATTGTAGTTACCAATGGAAACATTATATTTTAATTTTGATTGTAATTGTGTGAAGTGAACAATGGTAGCGAGTTCAACTAACTAATTATGAAATATTCAGTTGTTATTTTTGCTTTTCATAATCATTTAGTCATTTGAGAAAGTACACAGGTCATCTGAATATATCAGGATAAAACTATTACAACCTCAATATAACAAAATAGTGAACTTGTCTAGAGATCAGGATACATTACACTAGTAGGCACATGACCTTACTCTGAATTGAGAGCTACAAGCAGTATACAGTACACTAGATCCAAACAAAAAACACAGTGTATGTGACAGTGACCTACATGTTAACTGGAATGGCCCAATAGCAGAAACATTCCATTATATATACGCTCGGTTATTTTATGCTTTGTATTGGTCATTGAGGATGTTTGCCTTCTGGGTGGCATTTGTAATTTGAAAATTTAGAGAAAATTTCTTATGGTTTCAAATTTATTTCCGTATCTAAATTACATGAACTTAAATGTAAGGATGATAAAATAACTCAGGTGTTTTCCCAGGACACTCAAATAAATAAATAATTTACGTAAGTGCGAAAACCTATCATGTATATTTTAGTATTACCGTACCTTAAAAATGGCAAGTATAGCCCACCAAAAAGGGAGTTGAGAAACACATGAATTACAGTATAGTTAAGGATACAATATTTTTCCAGACTTTTGCCACAATAAAGTCTAGTATCGGCACTTTTGTATTACACCTCAGAAGAAAATCCTGAATAAATCCTTTAAATACTGGAATTCATGTGTTTCTTTCTCGTTTTCAGATGAAACAATGGAGTTTTGTCGTAGTCTTCCTAAAATAGAGCTTCATGCCCATATTAATGGATCAATCAGTGAAAAGACAATGCAAGAGCTACTGCAAAAACGTTCCCAAGAGGGCTCTAAAGATCCAATTGAACGATGGACCACAACTATTGAAAAGGGGGACAAGTCCCTAGATGAGATATTTGCAATGTTCAAGGTGATTCATCAGATTTCTAATAACACTGATGCTGCATACAAGATAACTTATGATATTATTCATGAGTTTGCAGAGGATAATGTGAAATATGTTGAACTGAGGACGACTCCTCGTGCTGTGCCAGATACCGGAATGACCAAAGAGCTTTACTTAGAATCTGTCCTGAAGGCTATAGCTGACTGTGAAAAGGAAGATTTAGATATTATTGTGAAGCTTATCTTAGCTATCGACCGTAGAAGTGATGTTAACATTGCCAATGAGACTGTGGACTTGGCTGTGAAATATAAGCAAATATCAAATGGGAAAGTTATAGGAATTGACCTCAGTGGGGATCCATCTGTGAATGATGCCCGTGACTTCATTCCAGCTTTCAAGTGTGCTCGATCCAAAGGCTTAAAATTAGCTCTCCACTTGGCCGAAGTACTTGATCAGAATGCCGAAACAGAATCGGTACTTGATTTACCCCCTGATCGCATTGGGCATGGAACATTCCTCCACCCCGAGGTAGGGGGCACAGAATCATTAGTCGCAAAAGTGAAACAACATAAAACTCCCCTCGAGTTATGCCTAACCAGCAATGTAAAGGGCCGCACTGTGAAAGCATTTGATAATCATCAATTTAAATATTGGTATGATATGGGCCACCCATGTGTCGTGTGTACAGATGATAAAGGAGTATTTGCCACCAGTCTGTCCAAGGAGTACAAACTTGCTGCTGAGACATTTGATATATCCCAGCAAGATCTCTACCAGCTATCGTACAAGGCTATTGATCATATATTTGATACTGAAGACACCAAGGCTATACTGAGGCAGAAGTGGTGCACATTTGCTGAAAATACATTTAAAGCCAATATAAGAAATTTGCAGTAGTCAACAATACCTCATGACTTTACAGTAGTGTAATTCAATCGCGTAATCATTATTAAACACTAAGTCAAAATTGAGTCGAAATGGGTATTTATGCTTTAAAAACAATTTTACAAAAAACAGTATTGATGATTAGAGACTGTTGGGATCTGTATGTAGTATACAAAGACCAGTGAGTTCTGTGATAAGATGTGACACATAAATAATATTAATCTCAGATATGAGATATCAAAAGTGTTAATCAGAATATATCAAGTTTTTTTAATCATTAGTCTACCTTGTCTGCTTTACCCTCAGAGAGTGAAAAATACATTTTTATGATTAAATCCCTGCCATTTAACCTTTAACATGCTGTAGGCGAGTGTATCCGCCGGTGCTCTACTATCCTCAGGTGCTGCCGGCGGATCCATCCACCCGAATTTAAACTTTTAAAAACTTAACTTTTTCGCGCCATTCTTATGATCCAATTAGATTTCACGATTTACTCAGTGCCTTATTTCGAAAAATATTTCTCAATTCAACAATTTAAACAGTGTTTTAGTCATTTTAAGTGAACAAATCATAGAAAACGGCGGCCAAATACGATCACAGCGAAAATGTGGAGGAAATGGATTGCGATTTACAAAAAAATTCATGAGAACATTTTTTTCGTGAGCCAGGCCAGTGTATCTTCCCTTTGTAAAAATTTTATCCAGATTCATTCAGTAGTTATTGAGATATTAATTATTTAGTCCAGGCATACCATTTTTTGCACTCTTTGAAAAATAAGTCATTCGCGTAGGATATACAATGAAATAAGGCAGCATGCTAAAGGTTAAAGTAACATTCCTTTTTGATCACATTATTAGTACTAATTGTAAATCTAATTTACGTACGTTCATCATTGACTTATTTTTATTAGTTGTCTGCTGCATTTTGTCTTTCTGAGTCAATATACATACATTCACAATATTTGATGAATAATTTCCACACTTGGCACATTCTGAGCCAATATACATACATTCACAATATTTGATGAACAATTTCTACACTTGGCACATTCTGAGCCAATATACATACATTCACAATATTTGATGAATGTCCACATTTGGCACATTCTGAGCCAACTATAGATACATTCTCAATATTTGATGAATATTGTCCACATTTGGCACATTCTGAGCCAATATACATACATTCACAATATTTGATGATTATTTTTGTCATTTTCTTATAAATTGTGTAAGATTGAAAGGTTATAATCTAGAGTCTTCATGAAATATAAAAACATTTCTGTATAAAGATATGATAATAATTTGACAGTAAGTGATATAGAAATAAAAAAACATCATGTATCTTACCTTTTCATTCTAAACACAGTAAAATCTTGGACCTATTGAAAACTAAGTACAGTACAAACTCGGATGTAATGAACACTGTGGCGCCACTATTGCTCAAATACGTCAATTTGATAACATATGAGCCTTCTGAACGAGTACTAATACCCGAGAACAGGGCTCAAGGTGGTCACGATGTTTCTTCATCATATTTTTATGTAATTTGTTTCAAGGGTCCAGTATGAAGATTGCTGTTGAGGGTTGTTGCCATGGTGAACTGGACAAGATCTATGAAACCCTTGGTTTTCTAGAGCAGCAGAATTACTACAAGGTGGACCTCCTTCTCATCTGTGGGGACTTCCAGGCAGTCCGGAATAAGGCAGATATGCAGTGTATGGCAGTCCCTTCTAACTATATGAAGATGAACACTTTCTATAAGTAAGGAAAATCCCATTCAATCTCTTAGTAGCTCGTTGTCTATCATGGTTGAGATCATTAATTTGGCCCATTAAAACATTGGGTGGTTCTACGTGTTAGATAATTAGAAAGCTTATTATGGATTGTAGAGGAATGCGAAAATGATACTGTACAGTAAACCCTATATAGTATATAAACAACTCTGGTTGTGAATGCTTTTATTTGATTCCATTTTTAACTAATCTGTCATAGATTTAATTACCATGTTAAAAAAACTCGAAATGTGAACTCCTACCAATCCAAACACTATTTGCAAGTCCCAGTGGCATATGGATTTTAGATAGGTATACTGTATTCTTCTTATATATGCACCTCTGAAATTCAATGAATCGGTTTGTACATTCTCATAGCATTCTGGTTATTTCAGGTACTACTCTGGAGAGAAGAAGGCCCCTGTGCTTACAGTGTTCATAGGAGGAAACCATGAGGCATCTAACTATCTACAGGCACTCCCATATGGTGGCTGGGTGGCACCCAATATATATTACATGGGTAAGTTAGTATCCTATATAGGATCTTTGTGCCATAATACATAAGCCAAATGTATTAAGATTAGTTTATTGTTTTTGTTTCATTTCTAGGTTATTGGAATGTTATATTTTTATTTGTAGGTTATTGCAATGTTATTCAGTTTGGTGGCATAAGGATAGGGGGACTGTCTGGAATATTCAAGGGAACAGATTATATGAGAGGTGAGTTCTAAGTTCAACATACCCCTGCCAGATTTCCCTCGTGTTGGTTTCTGAAAGGCAAGAAATAATATTGTTATGACATAACTACCAAAGGGAATGATCTGCGTTAAAGATGATATTGCTAAAAGATAAATTAATATATAATATATATATATTACATCATTGATTTTGTTTGCTGATAAAAAGCTTTTTTACTTGATTTTGTAAATTTTTTTTATTGATTTCAGGTCATTTTGAGAGGCCCCCCTATGATAACAATACAAAAAGATCTGCATATCATGTCAGGAATATTGATGTGTTTCGTTTAAAACAAGTAAGTAACAAGTATTCTTATCCATAAAGGGGACATGCCATTAAGAGGCCATTCTCTGACTTAATCATTTTTTCAAAAGTGTGAAAATAAAAAAATTCATGAAAAGTTCTTAAAATATTCTGAATAACAAGTTGAATATATATATTTAATGATGGCACAAGCAAAAGTCTGAAAATTAACATGAAATGAAGGGTTTTGACAGATGCAAAAGATGGTAGATTTGTGATGAAGAAATAGAGGTTTTTGCAGTAACAACACAATTACCTCGAAGTTATCCGTTATGAGAGGCTGAGGACTAAACTTGACATAATTTTCAATCTCAGATTATCAGTAGTATCTAACTTTAGCCGGACGGCCACTCAAAATGTATATGGAGCCCATAAGATTCATTTTTCTCAATTGAAGTCACTATTTCTGTTTTTAGCTTCAGAGGATAGGAGGTACATAAAAATGCTAAGTTTACCTAGATCACAAGCCTTACCACAAATATAAAGTATATAGGAATAGAGTTGATATGTGGGAAAACCTTAAACTTCCCATTTTATTGGGGATGGAACTTGTGGACCATGTGTATTTCTAACTTCTTCACATGTGCATGGATCTAAAATTGTGACAGCCATCTTGGATTTGTCATATTATGTGGACATGGTTTTGGTTGTGCTGAATTTGTTTCAAAATAACATTTCTTGTATACCTTCGATAAGTGAGATAGGCATTTGAAATTAAATACAGATAGTATACTTGACATTTAATGCAGTAAACAGTAATACAATTCATTCTTACATAATAAGTGAGTCCAGACAAAAAGTTGTTATGGTGTTAGTTTAACTGGGCATAAATTACACTCATTGGCCTTGGTTTTCTTAATTGGCTTGGATAAAATGTTGTTCTGTTTATTCAGAAAATGAGTATAGTTCAATATACAAGTTCACATTCGTTCCATCCTCTTGTAGAAATGAATCTCATATTATTTCATCTCAAATATAGAACACAAAAATAATAAAAAACAAGTTTCTATTAATTGCAAAAGTTAGCTTCTATGTCATGACTGAGTTTGGGTTCCGCTTCTGGGGAACAAATATCCATCTGGAAATATCGTATTGACCATTGCTATACACTCCATATTTAATCCTCCCAGTAAATAACATTGATATACAGTGTACAAGTATATATGACATCGAGGATCTGGGGTTTGGGTAATGTGAGACATGAGGCCACTTGTCTTTTTGAATCTCATATTCAATATTCTTTCTTTAAACCCTCATATTTATTAATATTTTTGGAGTGGTAATTCAATTATGTACCTATATCTTTATCGCATAGTTGAACTCTGTTCCCCTCTGTTAGGTAACATGAAAACATATTTATGATATTTTGCAAATGCGTGGAAAAAGTGATATCTGTGGAATATGGAAAATATTTCACAGATTTTGGCAGGGATTTGAAAACTACCACCAATATGATGTGTTTTGTTACATAGTGACTCATGACATCACGGGGATGAATGAATGAATGGATGTTGTTTTGATATGCTTTGTTTAGTTTTAGAGGTGAACTATGGGAAAAATAGAGCATCCTATGAATTTTTTTGTGATATTGTGTTAATCCAACACATTGATATCAATATCTGCGCTAATTCGCTATGCTAACTTGGCCAGATATTGATATCAACTCGGAGATAAAGATAAAATCATTTAAAATCATATGATATCCTATACATATCCTTTACCGTGCCACAACTTTCTCATATGTTATATATTTTGGCACAGGCCATCATTTATTTTCCTTGAATTCCTGCATTTGTTCCTCGTTTTAGAAATGAGAGGAAATCTTTGATTTTCCTTGTATTTAAGTTGCTTAAATGTTGCCCTGTGATGTTGATAAAAGTCAATTGTAATCCATTACAGTCACAATTGAAATGTACCCATTGCTAGCCCAGAACCTACCAAAATAGCATTTGCATTTTGTCAATATTGCCCTATGTGCTTTTCCATGAAAATAATTTTAATCGTATCTTTCTTCAGTATTTCATATATTACATTTTAATTTATTTATATTGGTTAATATTTATATACTATTTACTTAGACAACAATAAATAAAGAATTTTTTGTAAAAACACCAAAAATGGTATATGATCTTTAAATGACTGTTGTGTGAACATCAAAGGTCAAAATTCGCTGAAATTATATTTTTATAAAGCACAAATGATTTTTCTTCAATATGATATGCATTATTATCAGATATCTTTGGGGGCTAAAAAGGGCCCTTAATGACACCCGTCCTTTAATTTCGTGAATGAACTGTTAAAAAACATGCATCAAGTGATACATTTCGAGAGGATATCTGAAGTTGGTTTTAGAAGATTACAAATCTAGTTCAATTCAATTCAATTTCAAAATAATTTATTTCAGTTTTCATTACAAAATTTACAACATTATATGGGCTTTGACACCCCAGGGGGTGTATAACTGCCCATAATTAAATTTACAATAAACATGATTAACTGTGAACAGTTATAAGACAATAAAGAAATAAAATAAAATGTTTTGGTTATTCTGTACTCAGGAGGTCAGTTTTCAAAAGAGATATGAGTGAATTTAATGGTTTATTTCTAATATCACCATTGATGGAATTCCATATATATGAACCATGGATCTTAATAGAATTTACACCAATTCTGGTTCTATGTTTATGAATATCTAAGTTATGACTATCTCGTTATACGTTGATGTATATTTGCTCTAGTTTTAAAATAGTGATCGGATAATTTTCAAGGGAACTGTATAGATTTGCTTATAACTTTTTTCATGAAAGAAACAGTTTGGATTGTGTGAATATGATAATTATTAAGTATTTTAAGATCTTGAAAAATTGAATGATGGATGTGCATAAATTTCCGACTTATGACAATAATATTTATAATAATAATATAGTAATATTTATTCTTTTTAACAAATATTTCACCTTCAGATCACAAGAGATTTAGACATTTTTCTATCTCATGACTGGCCTAGAGGTGTTTACAATTATGGTGACGTAGCAGGTCTTCTCCGTGCTAAGAAATATTTCAAAGACGAAGTGAACCAGAATAAATTAGGAAGCCCTGCAGCGGAGGAACTGTTACATTACTTACAGCCACAATATTGGTTTTCTGCGCATCTTCACGTTAAATTTGCTGCCATTGTGCAACATGAGGTAGTCCATTTGTACCAATTTATTCATTTCATTGATTTCAAAAATGCAAAAGTGGATTTAATTTAGTATTTTTAAAGATTTGTCCAAAATAATAATGAAGCTTAATTGTTTTTACAAAACTCGAGAACTTAACTGAGCGGGAACATTTTCTTAGCAATTCAGCAATATTCATGATTACTATTAATGTTATCCTACAGGGTGAAATATAATATGATTTTTATTATTATTACTTTACTTCTTGCAGTCATCAGGCAGCACAGCGAAAACCACAAAATTTCTATCCCTGGATAAATGTCTACCAAAGCGCAAGTTCCTTCAGGTGACATATAAAAGATAGATTTAATTTGAGAGTTAATAGAAGTGGCATTTGAATATGAATATATTTTGGTTATTCGATGAAAAGTTTTCTTGATAATTGATGAATAGATTTCTTGTGACACATGCAATGCTGCATGTCTACCATCTAACTAACATGGTTCAAGACTCACAGCTACTTTCCTGCTTTTGGCAATCACATATCACTCTTGTCTTGACTGAACTTGGTGAAACGAGTTGTCTTTTTTGCAATGGCCTTAATGGCAATATGTTTAACTGTAGCAATCATGTTTTCAACGTTAGTCATGAACCACACTCACTCATCTATCAGCACAAGACATGACAATATAATAGAAATGACAATGTAATAAAAAGATAGCAGATAGAGATCAGAGAGTCAATCATAGACTGGAAAAATTGCTTTTTAATATTGTTGATATTGTTTGCGGAATCTGTTTAATTTTGAATCGGTTTAAGATAACTCTATTTTTTGCTGTTACCAAGGTGATAGATGTGAAGGCCAGAAATAATGACAGGAAGTTGTCACTGGATCCTGAGTGGTTGAATATCTTAAAGTCCACGAACCACCTCATGAGCATCAAGCCCACAGCACAGTACCTGCCTGGAATAGGCTGTAAAGAAAGGTACGCTATAATAGTAATAGACTAAACTGCCACAGTAATAGACTAGATGCAAGTAGAAATAATATCGATTTACTTCATTAAATGTTCAAAATTTTGTCAAGGTGATATCATATTTGAAGTCTATTTGTAAAACTACATCTGGAAATTTAGTTAAAAAATTTATTTATCTTTGAAAGTTTAATTTTCTTTGAAAATGTGACTTCTAGGTAGGCTAGATTCCCCATACACCCCATGTTGTAAAATCACAAAAAGTAAAATGTCTTTTCTTGTGTTGGACACATAATATTTTCTTTTACTGGACACATTTCTATTTGTATAATTATCAGATAAATCAAGGTCATATGAAAATTGATCCACTTAAACTGATGAATATTCAAGTTTAAGGGAACTTTCTTATATATCTGCCTTGCTATCAAATTAACCACCTGGTGGTGAAACTGGTAACTAATTAGTGGCATTTGACTATTTTTTAAATGCTAATTAGAAGACAACTCTTAAAAGGCGTAAAAAGGCAAATGGCAACAAAGGGTGGGGATTAAGACGTTCCTTGTTGGAAGGTGTAATTAGGTGGCACAAGTTTAACAAATCATTTTTTTATTCCAGGTATGATTTTTCAGTGACAGACGAAGAGATGAATCAAATAGCTGAAGACTTTGGTGGGAATTTCATACTTCCAGAAAACTTTTCAAAAACTGCCCCCGTATATGACCCAAAACATCCTAAAGCAAAATGTCCTAAGGCAGAGGTTACTCCTGACCCACAAACCACATTGTTATGCGAGATGCTTGGTTTAACAGACCCATATACAGTGTTTTCTGGCACATCACCAGACTTGAGCCTTGTGGTGGAAAACCCCGATGCGATACCACTTGAGGATGAATCAGATGATGAGGATGCAGTTCAAGATGAGGAGGATATGAGTGTCCCAGCATCAAGCAGTCAGTCCTCCTCTGCATCTAGTACAAACCCAGATGAGATCTCATTGGAAGATGAGGAAAGCACGGAAGAGTCTTCATTTATTGACACTACTGGAATTTACTCCCCAGACTCTTCGTTATATTCAAGTCCACTAAGAAGTAAACTAAACCTTCCAAAAGTTTCATTGAACATGAACGATTCTTTATCAAGTGAAAATTCCGAGGTCAGTAGTTCGAGTGATCCAATCAGAAGTATGAAGTTAGACGACAGTATATTGGCTGGACATTTATTGGATGATAGTATCGACGAGGGAATTCATGGGGTCACATCAACTCCAGAAAAAGCTGCTAAACATAAAGGCGAATCGAGTGAACTGAGTATCCAATCAATATGTGATAGTGAAGAGGTGAAATCTGGGGATGGTGAAGGGAAAACTGGAGAGATAGTTAAACCTGTTCCCTCCACTCAAACAGATTGCACACCTCCCAAACCTAAAAAATTTAAACGTAGAAATGTAGCAATGTATTCACTTCAGAATAATGATGATGATGATTGATTTAGAGATAGATCTGCAAAATGATATCACCAATACAAGTGATGACATATTGTTATGGTCCCCAACTTTTTTGTGATATTAAATTTGGATATGGATATCAAAACGAAATCGAGGCAAATAAATAGTTTATATTGTGTAGTGGTATTTTTCAGGGATTACTGTTGTCATTATATAAGCATGTTACTACTGTCCTACCTAAAGAGAAGAATATTGTTTTGAGCTTGTTGTACTGCTCGACAGATTGATTTGAATTTCAGGGATGTTTCTTTAGAGTTTATTAGTTTGTGGTAATACTGGGTAAATCCTCAGGCATCCATTTTTGATTTTAGGTATGATTTTCTTGTTTACCTGTGTTTCTTGTGTGCCTGTCCGTGTAACATGAACTTTGAGGTTTAACACAGTCATGCCTATGCACATGGTAAAACAAATATCACTGAAATAATAACTTGTTTTATCAATGTAGGCCTACATGGTACAATTCACTGGACATTGTCGTATGGTGTATGTTATGTTATAAAGCCCGAAATGGGTAAAGATGTAAAATTTGAAAATAAATATATTCTTTGTTACCAGCTTAGGGGAGGCATCAAAAGTTTGATGTCGGAAACTAAATAAATCTAGTTTGGTGGGAAGGGGTTCAATTCAAAGCCATTTCAGCTTGCTTTTTGACAAATTTCAACATCTCAATTTTTTGCCATTTTGACTTGAAATGGTTTAAAAATAAAGAGTTTGCCCGATGCTTTCTTCATCAAGATCATTCCAATGGATTCTGTTCTATCAATAATTGTTAAAACCCGCAAATTACCAACAAAAACTACATCTTTTTTATAAATAATTTTTTTCTCAAACTCTCAAACTGGAAGTACAGTAAAGGGTTCTCATTTTCGCCTGCCAAGGAATTGAAGTCTTCATGGTATTTAGTTTTTTGGGGGGATGTCAAACTCAAAACTGGATTTATTTAGTTTCCTATCAGACATTGAACTTTTGATGCCTCCCCTAATGCTACTGCTCTTACTATAAGATTGGTAAAAATATTATGTCACATATGAATTGTTAAATGATGGAAACTCATTTACTCTGACGGTCCATTGATGATTGGCTGCATACAATTGACAAAATAAGGCAACCCGAGATCACATAGTAATGTGGCAATGTTTCGCCTTTATTAAAAGACATCCCATTTAACAAGGTGGTAGAGATATGATGCTTAAATAAGTGTCATGGCAAAATGTTTTTATCATTATCAATTTCATTAGAAGCCGTTAGTAGCATTTTGCAATGGTACAGTTATCTACCCCCTGATGTCATAGATCTACACCATTTCAGATTTGGGGAGTAGACAACTCGGCCAGACTGGTTTGGTTAGGGTACAGTGTTACCAACTTTGAAATGTAAAGTTATACAAATGCTGATATAGGTTTGAAAAGGTTTTTCAAATCTTGTAATGTTTAGTTACAAATACCGATATAGGTTTGAAGAAGTTTTTCAAATCTTGTAATGTTTAGTTACAAATACCGATATAGGTTTGAAGAAGTTTTTCAAATCTTGTAATGTTTAGTTACATTCTATATGTGCAAGTTATTGCAGTGAAGCAGTTTAAATGCAGTTTTGTGCGTCTGAAAATTTTAGTTAAACCACTAATGAATTTTGCATTAATTTTATGATTCAATAAATATTGTAATATCTACAGGAGAGATAAAAAATGTACATGCAGTATGTATTGCAAAATGTTTCAAGATATTTCATATTAAACAGAAAGAGTAAGAACATGATTATAAAGCCTTTGTCCAAATTTTTACGTCACAGGTGGTGACATATTGTTCGTCTCCAACTTTTTTATGGACAGTGTTTGGTGGTTGGTGTTTGGGTCAAAGGTCAGTAAAATTCCTGCTATATCCAATGTCACAAATGAACAAAAAACAGAATTAAAGAATTCACAATAATTTTATTTTACAATTTCAACAAGCTGTAGATCAAATCAGCAACATTCTTAGTTGGCAAGCCTGTCCATCAAAATCTCAATATATATATATATGTATATAATATGACCAAGATTCATTAAAGAATCCCATCATAAGTTGGCACTTCAAATAAAGCATCACACTGTTTGCTATGAGCTCTGTTTCTTAGAATGATATTTTCAATTACAATCCTTTAAATTGAATATATTGCCAGAAGCATTTTAAAAAGGCAATTTCAGAAATTGAGATCAATCGTATTTTAGAAACGAGTCCCTGTATATGCAAAACACACAAAGTGCTTAAACACATCTAGACATTCAAATCATGAAAATCATCTTTTTGAAAAATCACAATAAATGAATGCATATTAAAAGCTGTTCATATCTTGGAATGAAAGATTTCATACAATGGAATTTTCATACAATTATTATTATACAAGAATTTCTTACAATCCAAATTTGTAACACCTTTTAATAATGCATTCTTAAAGCTTTGGCACTTTGGAACATTATTAATACAAAAGAATAGTTTTATTTTTCAATGCTTGCAAATTAAATTTGGTTACCTTTAATGAAGTTTTCAAAATTTTGCTTCCTCCTTCATTATAAGGACAGGCATGCAAACTGTAAATACACACCATTTTGAAAAAATAGCCCAGAACATTTGTATATACTGAGTAAAAGCATCCAGAATATGTTTAAATATGTGTGTCTTAAAAGCAGCAAATCAAACTTACAAAACAACATAGCACTGAATTTTTCACTGACTGAATTATGTATATAATCAGGTTGTTGTATGCCTTCTAGACTAAATTTCATTTTACATATAATTTCCTCCAATATATGTACATTTCTTTACATCTCAGGATGTAAGACCATAATTTTATGATTTACATATACCTGGTACATGTAAAGCAAAACATTTGTTAATAATCTCAATTAATGACTGTATTATTTAATATATTTATCATTAGATGAACGGCTTTGGAATGTTTCAACATAGCTGTTTGTATTAAATAGTATAAAATAAAATGCTAAGCACCTATTTTACAGTATCACAGATGTTTGACAATTTCAAACGAAAATACAAAATATACATATATTTTTTTATTTTACATTTGCTGTTGTTCAATATTCCCATATCCACTTTCTTGTACATGAGGAACAATAGCATATGTTTTAATTTTTTCTTTTTCCATAGTGTACTAGTATATGATTTCAGTACAATCCTTACTTCCAAGATATTACATTTATGTTTATCTACACAATACGTACACACTGCCGTACCAACACCAAAGCAAGTAACATGTTGCTTATTCTAAAAACAGAAAGGATATACAGGGTGCCCACGAAGTTTCTTTACATTTGCAATTCAAAGTCTGTGCAAAGAGACTTTACGAACACCCTGTATAAACTGGGTATACTGCTACCACCTCGGCATGCATTAGCACTAATTGGCTATTCTTTTCTCAGAAAGCCTGGTTTGTCCTACTTTCTTCTGATAAACCCAGACTACGTAAACAGATTCCTGTTTTAAGCCACAAAGTGACAATGCATGCCTAGCCAGGTGTGAATATATATTACAAGTTACTTTCAAAGTTGATCTCCAGCATTTTCTCTCACTTGGATGTGAAAATATAAATTTCACAAATTATCTTCGTGCAAAAAGTAAGAAAATTTCAAAATACTCAACTGTTGAGATCAGCATTTCAATTCCTTTTTATCAGCCGTAACAATCTATACACAATATTCTCAGTTAATAGAGGTTACTGACAGTGACGTTAATTTGATTAAAACCAAAATATACAACTAAACAACTTGGTTGCTAACTTTGTAATCATTGTGGTAAAATCTTCAATCAAGCATCGACCCCTCTGCTAGACCTCACAGTCGCAACTGAAATTTCACTTTTCATCCAAGGTAATAGTCTTTCCTTATTATGCTGATTCTACAGCTGAATTTAAGTAAATTGAGCAAAAGTTCATACTTGGCTAACTTCTGGCTTTCTCTTCTCTTCCTTACCTGAAAACGAGAACAATTATGGCAATAAGCATTTAGAGTCATGAATCATGAGAGAAACTTTTCAGAAATCCTTTTTTCAAAACTTTTGTGTTGCATCCCTTGTCATGCTTTTTTGAATCCTGCTGGTTCTTACTCAAGTTTATTAGTACATACCGTAATCGTCGTATTAATTGCCCACTCCTCATGAGCGCCCATCCCGCTTCACAGAGATCAAGAAATATCGAGGAATAACTGCTAGTTCTTACTCCAGTTTATTAGTACATATGGTATATGTGTTCAATTAGTTTACCTTCTCCCTGGAATGAGGCATCCAGTGCCAGAGCATACTCCACTAGCTGACTGGCATGCTTTGGGTTAGGGATACCATACCAGAACACTGTCCACTCCCCATTGCTCCAGCTCCCCTCTGCATGCTTGAAGTACCTGAAAACACATGGAATACAAGTGATGCAAACTGCCTTGGGTTATGTCCCAGGTATTATAACACCCATAGATATCTTTCTATGTAGAACAACATTGGTTAATAACAATGAGCTATGTGACAGGTTGATTCAATCTGCTCTTGATTCTGCAATCATTGATTAAAGTGTGCGCCCGACCCGGCTACGTATAGCACAGAGTTTATACTGGCGGATTAGACTAGTTCATTTTTTATATGTGTGTGAAAGCTTTCTCTTATTTGCGTTTTTTTCGTTTAGTACGGTTCTGTTATAATTGCCGAGGTCATATAACCGGGATAAAACAATGATTATCGTTGACTGCCCACACACAAAACATACGTTGAGTGAACAGTACTAGTGTTATTACAAACAACAGGCTTTAGAATACAAAGCGTAGTGTGATAATAAGCTGTACACTACCACTGCTGCATGTACATATTACTAATTTACTAGGGCTCCCAAAGAGTGGATAGGGAGGTTGTGTTTGTCACTTTTAAATTTTACATTTCAAAATTGTCATTTTACATGTCATAATTTGTTGGTTTCATTCGTTTAGCCAATCAAAACATTGTAAAACAATAAATTGTCTGTTACGTACAATCAATTTTGTTCAGTTTTGATTAGTTGTCAGAATAAAGTTACGTTCATCTGAATCCATGTATCAAAACAAAAATCCTATTTTCACTTCAAAATACTTCAGTGAGATGAAGGCTCGGAATTGTCACATGCAATAACTTATTGTCGTATTCGTTATTTTATCTTCTCGATAGTAGCATTTAGTCGCACATTTGATGCCAGGTCACCTTGTCGCGTACCTCTTGGGGAACCCCACATTTATGTGTGTACTCATGGAAGTAAATTCCCTGGTGTAGCCGAGAGCCACAAACTTTTCAACGGGTTCGAAATGACCAATTTCTCTCATATACTCTAATTATTTTATTGTTTAGCACCTACAAAGTATTGCTAATAACCATATGCAATTTCAATAAGGAAACTTATCTGGCTACATGTAAATTCAATATCAACACTAGCTGTTCTCTCAACACGTCCTGGCTTACCTTGTGGTGACAAACCCTGGATTTTCGCTATTTATAGTTTATCAACACCTGGACGCATGCGCATTTTATAGTTTATCGGGCACTTTAAGGTGAGTAATAAGAAAAACCTTATAACCTATTCTGGATCAGGGACTTCTGCTTTAAATAGTATATTAAAAATGTGCACCTATATCTAATTTCAGATGCTTAGAATGAACATAGTTCAGAGTTTATTTGTGCATAGGAACATTTCCTGAGCAACAGTTCTTGAAATGTGTTTCAGGAATTTTTTAAGAATGTACTTGAACTGTAACAATAGTTCAAGAATAGTTCTGGGACATAAGAACCACGTTTCGCCAGGGTAATAACTGTATCTAAGAACAACTCACCAAGGGTTGATCTTGTTGTCACAGCGAGAGCGCCAGAAGAGACTTTTGAAGTCTCGTCTAATACATTCCCAGAGCATCTCACTTGTCCCCTGTCCCTGGCTGTTCATGCTCACGGCGAACTTGTCCAGGTAAGCAGTCTCTATACCTGGCTCATTAGTTATCATAGCAACCGCATTGTACCTGGAATAAACAAAGGTTATGTCCTGAGAGGTTTTGGATTTGAGAAAGAAATATATCATTGAATGTACTATAGTCTATGCATGAGTACATTATAGTCATTGTTGTTATACAATGAACAAAACATCAGTTTCTCCAGGAATATTGAAGCAAGCAATATAAAACAAGAGACATATATGCTCCACCCCAAGGTATCATTTCTATATCCTGCAATTTTCATATATCAAAATGCTCAGCTGACTAATGTACTATGGTAATGAACTGTAATTTGCATTGGCTGCACTATGCACATAGTCTAGTCAGAAGGAATGTTAAGGCCTGGATTTGGAAGGAATCTATGGGGCATGACAATTTTACATATTTCTTTGAAGTATTAGACCTTAGATTTTCAGCAGATATTCTGTCTATACTACAGTATGAATACTAAGTGTAGAAAAATATTGCAATACTCACTCCTTTGACAAATAGAGTGTTTTCAACTTCTCTTCTATCTCTGATAGATAGCCCTCCTTCAGATCCTTTCCAAATGACCTACAATAAAGATAATATAATCAATTCAGATTTTCAATTGCAAGCACTTGTACAAGTTAGAACATCTAATATAGTATGTATTCTTACTGATTTCAGAAGGTTTACATATTCAAGGTCCATTGAATATCATTGGTTTACAGCAACTTCCACAGGACAGTATGTAATGTTGTTGGATATGAATTAATAGTGACCTGTTTGAAAATCTCAACTGAAAATCTTAAAGAATGAAATATTATGTGAAATAATTCACAACTATATGAGAACTCTTACTTGTTTATGAAGGTCAACAATCGTTCTATGTCCACCTCTAGACTAGTGTATGTGTTAATAGACTCTGTGTTCTTGAAGAATGTACCAGAACCTAAAAACAACCAATCAAATATGATCATTCTATATACATACACAGTCAATATAATTCGGCATCGAAAAAATTCGGCTCTGTTCTGGCACCCTTTTGGTACCGTTCCGGCACCGAAACCTTTCGATACCAAAATTTGGCACCGGACTAGTCAGTCCATATGGTGCCAAAACGGCATCGAAATTTGGCACCGAAATGGTGTCGAAAATCAGATTGTATTTTGGCGGTGAAATAGAGAGGTTACACACAACAATGTTATAGCTAAAACGTATCCGCAACTGCACCTTGTCTTAATTTAACTGGTATGCAAGAATGGATTTCAGATACGATGAGCTAAAAACAATTTGTGAAACCTTTCAAATATGAATATGAACTTACATGACAGGGGTACTCACAATTCAATTTCAATAACACTCCATGTGATGCAACCTTAGAAGTGTGATTCAGGGATTTCAAGATCCAAAATACCGTTTCTCATATACATAAAAGAACATTTTTGAAATTTTTCTTAACATTACAAACATATCTTCGTTGACACAAGGTATAAAGTACAGGCCTGTAGCCAGGGGGGTCCAAGCCCCCCCCCCCCCGTTTCATTAGCAGGAGGCAACAGGCGATTTTCATGGGTTGTTTTCACAAAGGCACTGTTGTTTTAAGGGACTTTTCAATTTTTCCATGTTAAATTCATGATTTCCATTAATTTTGCCTGTTGTTTTCATTTATTTAGCCTGTTGTGAGAAATTCTAGCGAAACCCCTGCATTTAGTTTATGCAATCAAGTTATACCTTACCATGGTGTGTGAAGAGTTCAGTGAGAATTTTGTTGGCAGATGTAATAACAACAGAACTCTCAGTGGGCAGCTTGTTCAGCAAGTCAGATATCTTCATGATCTGTAACATGCAAGTTATCAATATGAAACATTCAAACATACCATATAAACATTTAAATTATTATTACAAAACATTATTATAAAACATTCACAAGTTTCCAAAAGAAAAATTCAATATATAACACTCAAGCTTTCTTTATAAAATACTAGCATACTTTCAAGATCAAACAATCAAGTTTTCAGATAAAACATTTGAGCTTTATAAAACATTTTAAAGCTTGAAATAGAAAATATCAAGTTATCTACATGTTAACAGAGTGATGTTAGCTTTATATAGAATTTATGTTTTAAGTCTCAATACATGTATTTTGATATCAAAATGTTGTATAATGTAGATGTCAAGGGATACGGTATAGAAAAACAAGCATCTCCAAACAGCTGATACTTACTGCGGCCATTTTGCGTTCACGCCTCTGCATCCAGAGCATTTGCTCCTCCTAAAGAGTATTAACAGATAGACAGAGATGATAGCAGGTTAGTTAAACTCGAGAAGATTACAACTAACACACAAAAGAAAACTGTTAGATAATTATAAAATGTCATATTGGTAGACATTGTTCCATATACATTACATCATACAGGTCCATGTGCACTTCCAAACTTATTGAGTTGAAGTGGGGAGCTCTATTCAGATAAGTCCAGAATAATGTAGTATGTGACCTGTCATTACAAGGGTATAAGCCTATTAATGTACTATTTAAGGGATACACCCCATGCAGACAGATGGCCTAAAATTACATTTGTATGATGAAAGACTCACATTCAACAGGAAACAATTTGTCACCAATGTAGCAAATTATTTTTTACTGCTTAATAAATGGCGAATGACAGTGACATTTAAGTTCTAAAAGTATGAGAATAGTATGACGTTCTGATATTTCAAGGTAACTCATTTGAAAAAAAAGTGATGGCGGTGATTGAAATTACGATGTAAAGATATAAGACCACAAAGAAAAACTTAAAGAAATATACATCTCATACCGAATAGGAAGGCCTGTGGGTCCAATTCCCCCCAATGATGTTACTTTATTGACTTGAAGTACTTATGTGACTGTCATTTACAATTTATTAAGCAGTAAAAAATAATTTGCTACATTGGTGGCAAAATGTTTCTAGTTTCCCATTGAATGTCGAGTCTTTCATCATAATCATACAAATGGAATTTTAGGCGATCTGTCTGCATGGGGTGGGACAGTGACTCTAAATTATATGGTATAGGGGACCAAAAATGACCAAAATGACATTTTAAAACAGGCAATGTTTAATACAGTCACCTTACCCCATCCCTGCATTTTATGGTTGTCATCAAATTTGTCATTGAGTTTAAATGAAGGAATATATTAGGATGAAATGATGTTTTGTGTTCATATCATCAAAACACAATGATTTTAATGAAATATTTCAAAACACTTTAGATTCCAACTCAATTATTATTCAAAAAGAAGGGGCGAAAAAGTGTTTGGAAATTGATGCAAAATTAAATGATAACCATAAAATCCCAATACAAGATTATATCAAATGTTAACCCTTGCAAGCCCAATTAGTCTATGAGTCTCTTTTGATTCCCAATTCATAGTAGCAAATACCATCGATGATCAGACTAGGGGGAGGCATCAAAAGATCAATGTCTGATAGAAAACTAAATAAATCTAGTTTGGGGGAGGGGGTCAAAGCTATTTCAGTTTGCTATCCGACAAATTTCAACATTTAAATTTTTCGCAATTTCGACTCGAAATGCCTTGGAATGGTTTAAGAATAACTTTACCAGATGCCTTCTTCACCAAGATGCATGCAACATGGAATATTATGCCTATTGTTGTTGGCACATGTTTTAAGAATCATAAATAAGTTATAGTCCTGGCCCCATGAAAGTCCAAATTGAGTCGCTAAAACATGTGAAAAGTCCGCGATCAACTTTCATTGTATTTAGTTTTGAGGGGGAGGGGGGGGGGGTCCAACTCAAAACTAGATTTATTTAGTTTCCTATCAGACATTGAACTTTTGATGCCTCCCCTAGGGTTATCAAGAATCGATCACAAACATGCAACAGTAACAGGTGTTTAGAAAATTTTGAGAGAAATGAACATTCAAATAAATAACATGCAGGAAAAAGAACACATATTTGAAGGTAGGTTTACCTCATACATAGTTCTATCACTAATACGCACACAAAACTAAAATGTAAAACAACAGCTTATAATATAAAGTGAGAGAAAGGGATCAAAGGGTCAGTTTTATGAAATATCACAACAAAAACAAAACCTGACTAGATCTAAATCCATACTTTCCATTTTTTAAAGAATCAGGGCACTTAGTAATTTTAGTTGTTATAGTCTAATAGAACTAGGCTAGTGTAAATAAATGGTGTTTAACTATCCTATACAAATTCTTCTTATTCTCGAACAAAATACTTTTTCTGCATCATTTTTTTTAAATTGCACATCAAAGTGTGATACTTTGTAGGATATAAAAAATAACATTCTCCTATTTGCACACCCATTTATCTCTTGTTGAAATCAAATAGTCTCCTCTCTCCTTAAGTGTAAGTCACAGATCGTTAAACTTTCCATTTATTTATCCTAGCCCTAGAAAGTACATCTATTTTCCATGCTGGGTACCGGTACCTACGTGGCTAAGGTGATGCCACAAAAGTTACCAAGGACATTACAATGTTAGAGTTATTAAATATCACCTCAACCTAAGTCTAGTAGGTTCAGTAACATTGCAACAGCCTGATAAGTTTTATCACCAGCTGTATCCCCATGGCGTCATCTCATATATTTTGCATCAAACTCTACATGTATTCAAGTCCATTTAATGGGTGATAAACGTTTGAACTCAACTGAGAAATGTAATAATCCTTTTAAGAGGACATTTCTATCCTAAATTTTGCACATAGAAAAGTGCATTTCATTCATATGACGTATGGATAGTAACATTAAATATGTGTAGAATCTCAGACAAAACTTTTGAGATGACTCCTTTAATGTGCTGGAATGCACAATTTAAAAGTGCTTACCTTTTCTTTGAGCTCTGGGGTGATCCATGGCTGGTGGTTCATGTTAGACAGATCCCCAGGGAGGTTGACATTGGGAATAACCTAAAATATAAAGATATGATTATTCTATAGTAGTCTTAAGGTGGGAACAACTAGGCATAAAAAATTCAAGCTTTTCAAAATTCAATGTAATAAAAAATGAACAAGGCATGATAAAATGCCACCCCTGGCTGCACACTGTATTGGAGTATGTACAGTGAAATTTCAGACAGTCATATGTTGGATTACATAGAATGCATAGTTGTTTATCATGTATATAGGTGTGTATGATAGACCAATGCATTATCTCCAGGAAAAGAACACATAGAGATGATAAAGTCATATTTTTGATTTTGGGACAATAAAGGGGTAATCACCCCATCAAGATGTTTTTTCTGAAATGTTTGTGTAACCTGTTGTATATATTGTATATTGAGGCTTGACTACCCTCTTAAAAAGGAAAAAATGCATTCATTCAGGGGATTTTAAAGATATCAATAATTATGGGTGACCAAAGTTAAGCTGAAAACAATGGATAGAATGAGTTTTCCATATGGAAATAACATGGGGGATATCGTTTCCACTTCGTTCCAAGTAAATGCATTTTTTCGACAATGTCTCAAAACGCAACATATCTTAACATATCAAATATATCAAACATTGAAAAAAACAGGCTGCACAAAAGCCAGGTGATAAATTAGGAAAACATTTCAGAAAAGCATGTTGGTGGGGTGATTGCACCTTTCTTGTCTCAAAGTCCAAATGACTTTATTGTCTCTGTCTTTTTCTCCAGAGATGCTGCATTGACCTAAAATATGCACCTGTTTAAATGATCAGAAAATAGCCACAATCCAACATATGGCTGTTAACAAAAGTTCTCATGTACATGTAACACAAGGTGAACAAGGTGACATACGAATTAGTCAACGTGAAATCAAGATCAATTATTACATACCAACAGGAAAATAGATTAATGACTAGAGCCTCACAAGAAGGCTGGGAAAAACATTGATTCATTCAGACACTTTGTGTCAAACTGTTTCATTTGTGTCATGACAACCACATATATTACAGAGTTTACTGATGCTGTCTTCTATTTAGAGATTCACAATAGGTTCACCTATTTTCCCATTTGTTTTCTAGTACTTTTTTAAAAATTCTCGTAGTTATTATCCTAGTGACAACGAAATATCACAAACATAGCAACAGGTCAAATCAGAGTACTTTTGGAGAAGACAGTCAATGATTTAGTATTCTACTGACTCAAAGAGCATTTGTAAATAATTAACCGAGAAAGAACTATTTTCATATACAGAGAGAAATAACTCAACTCACAAAATGCTAAGTTAACTTGATCAGAGCAAGAAACTGACTACTGCAACAGATGTTCTACATGTACAATCCAAATATAGATATGTAGGGTGTCTGGCCACCTTGACTCACAAGGTTTCGGTTGCTTAACTTCATATTATCATAACAACCTTGAAAGTTGAAGATGGTGTGTGGCTGGGTGTGTCAAAAGGATTCTACTCTAAATTATGTTATAGACCGTTTATTATCCCATGCGTACTCATTAACATAGAAAAATGTCACCCTAAACACTTGTTACAGATGCCAAATGCCAAACACCAACTGCCAAACACCAACCACCAACACAAATGCCAAACACCAACTGTCAAACACAAACCTCCACCACAAATGCCAAACACCAACCGCCGCAACAAAAAAGTTGGACACAAAACAATATGTCACCACATCTTACGATGGCATAAAAATTAGCTGTCCAGTATGTGCTTTAGACCCTTGGGAAACACTTAACTCGTGCACCTTTAAAGCACCATTGACTTTTACTTGACACAAACTTCTAACATGTACAACTCGTGCACCTTTAAAGCACCATTGACTTTTACTTGACACAAACTTCTAACATGTACAACTCGTGCACCTTTAAAGCACCATTGACTTTTACTTGACACAAACTTCTTACATGTACACGTACCTCAGGTAAACAACTGATATGAATAAACATTGCTACAAATTGCTACATATTCCTCCAGTATCACCTTGAATCATAAGTTACCTGGCAAAAAATGCATACCCTGAGGTTAGCAGAAATTTCAGCCCTCTGAATAAGACGAATAAAAAGTTTTGATGCTGGTAAGATCTTATTGCCACACAAAGGTAGCTGTCGTGGTTTTTCATGGGAGTTTGAATATGAAACAGGGATCGGCTACTTATGAAGGCCTAAAATTATATGATTGCAATTCTGATTCAGTAGATGAATTTTGAAATAATACCGCACTATGGTCCATTGATTGCTTATAGGATTATGGCCTATTCTTTTGAAGTAATGCTAGATGAAAGGATTATACTAATTCAAAGCTTGATGAAGCTTTCTTAAAAAGAAGCAAAATCAAATTTTCGAAGGGGGGGGCATAACAAATTCAAGAACGCTTGTACAAGTGTACTGTAATAGTAGTTTTTGCTGAACAAGTACTTCAGCACCAGTCAATATCCAGACGATCAATGTACGATGATTATAATGTTGAATACAATTCAAGTATGTTATCAGCTGTAATAAAAGCCATGCCACCTACCTGCCCTTCTTCATCTATGATGCCACCACTGTTGTTACAGAACATCACCTTGAGAGGTCTGATAGCCTGTGACACGTGTGATGTCACTTGCGTAACATCAAGGTTCACCAGCTGGCCCACAGCTGTCTCCCCTATTGTGTGTATCACGGGGAAATGGCCCGAGGCTAAGGTCCACTTTATTGGGTCTAGATTAACACTTTTTATAGTTCCCTTTAAATCCCAACTAAAAAAGAACAGAAAAAGGTGCATTAGTAGCGTTACAATAAAGTCTTAAGTTCGAATTTGGATTTCATTTTTCAATCCTGCTTTTTCTTTTATTTATCTTATATATTTGGTTTTCTGTTCAGAAAATACAATTTTTCCTGACACCTGAGTAAGGTACTTAAAGTCAAAGTACATGTAGATGAAGAGAGAATTCTTAGTTTCAGAGATTTGCTGATTTACATTGTTTCTTTGTTAGCTCATCAAATGGCTTCATAAAGAAAGGTTTCCGACACTGGGAGACACCTATTAGAAGAATCCTTTATACCTTGCTTCCTGGTCAGCTTGCAGAATGTTGCTTCCACTGAAGAGAGGTCTAGCTAGTACTCCATGTGATTCAAGTATGCTTACTAACATCATACTGTCATTGATCAGCTGAGACCTTGCATTCTGAAAGTCACAATTCTACATTTAAGTACAATCTTTTTATACTGCCCTACCTAGATTTAAGAGGAGACCATCTTAAAATATTGTGAATACTGAAATTGTCTTTTTTCATAAGTTGCAAGGTAGCATTTACAAAAGAAAAAAAATCATGAAAAACAGTTCAAACCGAAAATGTTCACATTTACCCAAAAAACTCAATGTTTCAGTGGCCTAAAATTAAGTTTTTTTGGGGAGTGAAAGTGTGAACATTTTCGGTGTGAATAACCGATCCAATGAATCTTTAATGCAAGAGGAAAATATTTCACAATATTTTTAACAATGTAATCTCACATAATTGTAATGGATAATATGACTTCATCAATGTCAATAGTTTGTCAATGCACAATGGACCAACCTGCATATGTGCAAGAGATAGTTCCATATCATCAGGCACAGTGTGGCCGTGGATAAGTACGCATTTCATGTCGTGTCTATGGAGAAATCCCAGGCACGAACCCAGCTGATCCAGCTGGAATAAAACACATAAAATGAATAAAGAGGATCGGTCAATGATGGCTTGAATTGGTTAGCCATGAACATTTGCCCATACATACGGTTGCAATGCCCAGGTTGCAATGAGTCACATATAGTCGCTGCAAAAATACAACACATCTCAATCATCTATTGAATTTAATCAGTTACCCTGTGAAATATAATTGCAATTGAAATGTGGCACAAACTGAATGAAAAAGGACTACCAAATCTCAACCCAAATTCGCTTTAACTGTGTTGGATCACGTGCATAATATATTTCATGTCATCTTATGTAATTTTGAGACTCAACAAAAATCAGGTTACACTAAAATAAAACATTGAAGGCAAATAAATAAAGATAATAGAGTCTTCAATACATTTTACAGTATATGTCTGAGGAAAACAGCTTGTCATGAATCTAGCTGGTCATGTGACACATTGTCCTGAAGGCATTAAGGTGAGCCTTATGGAACCAATTTGGGGCATGACATCAGATCGCATGAACTAGATTACTTATTGTTCAAGTCTATTCAGGTGGTTATCAACTTTCAGGAATTGTAGATACACGAATTAAATAACATCAATAACTAGTATAATAGGGCATCATATATTTTTTAAGGTCATGGAATATTAATCTGATGGTCATATAAGGTCAGAATGACTCATAAACAATTAAGGTCACATAACATCGAAAATTCAAATTTAAGTATACACCATGTAAAGATTGAGTTGAGGGAGAACTTAGTGCAAGTGAGAACTCTCATGCAGGAGGCAATGCAGAACTTTGACATTTTCAACAGGGCATAGATATGCAAAATGTCACGAATTGCAATTTGCTACAGACACCGACCTCTGTAACAGATGCTGAAACAGACGCTGAGCACCATCCACAAAAAAACAATAACAATATGAAAGCACTTCTGGTGGTGACATAATAAATGAAGAAAATATCATTCATTAAAACCTGAACACTCAATGCATCAATAATCTTGTTTTTGTTCTGCTCATGTTGAGTCAAAAAAAAACATACGAAAGGTCATACAAAACATGCGTCATATCAAAATCAAACATTTTAAAATAGAAAACAATCAACAGATCTGATCTTCTAAATCACCTCATATTAGGTGTAAGTTCAGGATTTCCTAATATGTAAAAATACAGTAGCATTAAAACTCTCAACTTGAACACCCAATTAAAATGCATTCCCACGAGCTAGACTTGAAGGCATGAGATAAGAAATATATTGCAAAACAGGAACTAAATATGAACCAATCATAATAGCAGTGTAATATGTTATATTATCATGTTTATTGTTTATCACTGTTATATTAGATTCTAAGGAATCTTGAATTCCAGAGATAACCTCAATAACCTCAATAGACAAATTTTAAGTCCACCAGTATAGCTCAGGGGTACTGTATGCAATAGGTCCTGGATTCGATCCCCAGTTCAGGCAAGATTTTATTTGCATGTTTGCGTAAAGTTAACTTCAGGGTGTTTGACTGAGTGGTTTGACAAAAGGCTGTGGTGTGTACTTGTATGACTATGTATGAGTGCACATAAAAGAACACAGGGCTCCTTCAAGGAGGACCTCTTGGGTCTGTCTTCCACGAGGACATGCATAAATTACGACTTTATACATACGGGACAAACCCTAGAGGTATTGCTCACCTTAATTGGTGGTAAACAAAATACAATACAAAAAAAAATGGATAGCACACATCATAAGCCCAAACAATAGTGTTATCTAAAGAACATGAGAGACTCAACCTGGATTTTATATTGCATCATTATTTTGCCTTAAATGCTGGCTGTAAATCAATATTTGTCTAGCCTTGAATGACAAACGATATAGGAGTAGATAACCTATTTCAAAGCAGGAACTAAATATCAACCAATCAGCATTGTGATATTGACGTAAGTTTGTTGGCAGTTGTTATATTAAAGAGATCTTAAAAACCTCTTAATTTAATCCATTTTGCTAACTGCTGACCATCCACCAAACCTTGTTATTAAGACAAAACCTTTTGGAATTGAAATTTTTTTTTAAATAAAATGGTATGCTTTATATTTAATTACGTACAAAACACATGAGAACTGCACCATAAATTCAGAGATATCTGGAGGAGTCAGGACCTTTGAACCAAGATATAAAAATATTGTTGTGTCTGGGGACAACTACAATGAACTGTTGCCAATGGTTACAAAGACAATATGCCAATGACCAATTAGAATTACTTTGCTGAAACTTTATAATAAACCACCAAATCACATCAGTTCATAAAATGCTAATTTTAGTTATTTAGCAATCTTAAAATGTATTTTTAATTAATCATGATCAGAAATCATGATCACATATATTTGTCAATATCCAATTGAACCCTGTCAGGTTCTTGACCTCCAGCGATTACAGCTTATTTCTGATATGATTAATTGTTCTGTAGTGAAGTTTGATGTGTGCTGACCTTGAAACATTTACATGTACATGTATTACTACATGTACATTCTCACATACATACATACATACATACATATATACATGTATATTCAGATAAATGACATCAGAGGACAATGAACCAATAATGAGATATTTGAGTACAGATGATTTCACATGTCACGCCTAAGTACAGTACAGTAAATAAGAACATTGGGCCAATGTTATACGTCCTTGATAGGAGACAACTTAGAAACCCTGACATGGACGTGCCCAGGAGTATTTACTATAGAGGAACACATTTTTCAGATTCAGTCTAAAAGATGTCAAAAAATATTATTCTGTAAAATCCTGACGAGGCACCTGATAACCTCACTTGCCTCATGGAGCACCTAGTATCCTAATGAGGCACCACCTGATAACCTCACTTGCCTCATGGAGCATCTAGTGCTCTAGACTTTACAGAATAAAGAGACAGATTGAAATACCTCTTACCATATCAGGGTTCTTGAAAACATCCTGACTGACTTGGATGACAGCAAAGGGCTTGAATGGATCTGTCGCTCGCTGAAAATGTTTCAACCAATAACGAGCCTCCTTAGGATCCGTGCCTACCTATAATGATAAAACAACGTTCTTATATTAATTACAGATATCGTATTTTGTAAACTGAGTAATGTGAAATAAATAAGGGCAGTTTTGATTTGAGCATTCATATTGTTCACATAAACAGCTTTGTACTGGATCAAGCATATCAATGACATTACTATTTAAATTATTTCGTAATTTAGATAAATGTGACATAAATGTGACTTACTTCCATTAAAAAACGCTTCAAATCTTGGCCAAACCCAGCTTGGTGGTTGATGGGTGTGTACTGACGGACATGCATGTGGGTGGGGATCAAAGAACTGTTGACGAGATTCCCTGTCACAGCGCCACCCGGTGATACTGACGTAATCACCGGGCTAAATAATTCCGAACAGGCAGCGTCGCTATACTGCCTACAAGTGAAAGTAAAATAAATCAGAAAATTCTACATGTGAACATCATGTGTAAAGTCAAGTTTTTTCAACTAAATTATAAGAAAGTGAAAAGTATCAGAATGCCAAGTGTATTATGTCAGAAAACCATACCCTCCTTTAACCCTTTCACGAGGATAGGCTCCATATGCAGCCCTATAATGTAATACCTTTCAGGATGATAGGCTCTTTTTGGCACCATTATCTTTATTTATATACATCAATGAAATGACTATATCTCCCGTTCTATTCAGTATTTTTAGACCTAATTTTAACAAGTTTTTCTCATGTGATCATAATCCTTACTAAAAATTTTATTTCAATGATAAAATTCATGGTATAGGTTCCGGGACGTAGGTAATTTGCAGTTTTCCCCTAAAAACCACTCTTACCTATCCGTCACCAGGGCCAACCCTTAACAGTGTCACATTTTTGTCAACACATCAAAAATAAAATAGATAATTATTTTACTTTGTCAATGGATTCCCTAGAACCATACCCCTATCAGTGGTCTAATATACCATCATATATCCTTTCTGAAGAGTTCATGGCACAAGTTCTAAGACTGTATATCGTTTCATTGGGTTTCTGATGCATAATAAGATTCTATCTCAATTTATACACAGTCAGATGTTTTGAAAAAAAATTGGTTTAAAAAGGCTTAAGCTCTCAGATGCAACTCATTTCTTGTATTAAATGATGGGATTTCAAAAATAATTGGCAATGTGTGCATTTTTTTACAGAATTTATTAGGTAGACTAAGGGGTAAACTGTATCTAATAAAGAACAAATAAAACAAAATTAGTAAATAAATATTAGTACATTACTAGTAAATACTATTTCCAGTAACACAAACATTTCATCAAAATCTAAAGCCAGACAACACAATTACAATTCATGTAAATGAGTGGGATCTTTTGCCTATTGTGCAATTTTATGTTCTTTTGAGAATTCAGGTCAGGGTGATTTCTGCAGGAGGAGCAAAATCACATAAAACAGATAAAACAAAACATCTTATGATTTCAAATGTAGTATTTGCAAGTCCATTAATCCAACAAACCTGTTCGGTAGTTGTAACGGCGAAGTGGAATCACGTGAATCTGGGCTAAGTTGATTTCGGGCAGCCCAATTGCAAATACTCCTGGCTAATTTGTCCCGGACCGAATCTCCAGTCTCCCAAGAATGGAGTGTAACGCATCTGAAGTAGTTGGTCCAAAATGTGCCCCCTGCTTTCTGTAACACCTTCATAGCTTGTTCTCTTTAGCTGTAAATACACAAACAATCAAGAATTAATATTAACATAACATGATGTCGCTACCTTCTTAGTAATTGCAATTGTAGCATACTGTAGTTACATAAGCAGTGATCTCCCCAGCTTTAAAGCAAAAGGGTGCAGCACCCACCTGATATTTTGATAAAAGGCTTGCACCCACACCCTTCTGAGAATCCATTTGCACCCACTTGAAAATGAGAAAAATCATGAAAAATGGGCAAACTTTGACCAATTTTGGTCAGAATTGTGAAATTGTGGAATTTTGCACCCACTTGAGAAAAAATCCTGTGGAGATCACTGATATGTATAACAACATGTAACAAAACCACTTAACATCAACTACTACATCTATTGTATTATAAGCCAGATACAAGACAATACTAATAGCTTAACTTATAGTTATACCAATCAAAGTCAGATGCTGTATGTCCTGTTAGTAATCTTAAGAAAGAAAAATGTTAAATTTTCAGTTCACTTGTGATATCATATTTCATAATGCATGGATGCTCTCTATGGAATGCATCACTTGCACAGATTGTCAGTTCATTTTATATCTGCAAGAGAAATCTTTCATATTCTTTTGGTTATTGAACTTGATTTTAAACAATCCTATATGCACCAACAATTGCATTTAAAAATCGATTTCAACAGCTTTCTCTTGAAAAAGAGCTGTGTTCAAAGCTGTATTTGCTGAGGATAACCTTGAACAATGGCTAGACTTTTTATGTCCTATTTCACTGGCACTAAGTAGTGTAGACTTTGAGGTCATTGTGTAAAATATTTTGAAACAAGTAATGCTTTATACCCACTTTATTTGCATACTTGGGAATGGGAATGGGAATGGAATGGGAAATATTTTGACAAAGTGACAAACAACAGGAATAAATGTTTTTAAGTAGTGGAATCATTTTCAAGTTCTGCAATCTAGGATCTTGTTTGATCAGATTGAGATTTATGTCCAAATGACTTATCAAGTTAATGATTATTTTCAATATTAGAGATATCCATTTAATTTCAAAAGATCATTTTTATGAACTTTCCATTTCCACATCAGAGATATCTCTATTCCACTGTTTCTTTTTTAAATATTTTAATTCCATTTCAACACAACTGATTTACTCAAAAACAATTCAAGCAAACACATGTTTTCCCTGATTGATTTAAAAGTTGCAGTATTTAAAATCTCAAAATACATTTTGAAAAAATGTCAATAGTAAAGGTATATCTAATAAATTGTAGAGCTATTTTGTACCCTAACATCACAGTTTTGCAGTAAAAAGAGGAATTCAGTGAAACTTACCATTTATGTGCTATCCTATATATATGTAAACCTTGGGCCTTATATCCCCTTACAAATCTTTGAGTAAATTCTTAACAGTCTACTATGAAGAATGAACGTTCAGGGTTATGAAGCAGTTTCACGGCCTCTATATGGGCCCCCAAGGGTGAACAGCGTATCATGTACTTTGTAGAGCTAGGTTTGAATAAACTTAGATATTAATCATTTAGAAAATAACTCATCAAGTGCATTAATTAATTAAGTATAAAAATAATATTGAGATATAAATGTCCATGAAGTTATAAAACACCTAATTGATTAATTATTAGAATACTTTGAATATTTGAAATGGATCCCCTTTAGAGGCCCCCTATTGCTGCATTAGGAAACATTCATCTCAATGAATTATAGCATTCCAACAAAGGGGTATATACTATAAAGCCAGAGCTAGATCCTGTTTAAAGCCATAAAGAAACATTTAAGTCTTAAGAATATCACATAATAACACATGTAGTTCTACCAATAATAAGATTTGTTACATGAGATCCAAAATCTGGATAGAAATCTGGGTAGAAAACTTTGAAGGTTACAGGAAGAAAGAAAGTAGCTTTATCCTATTGACGAGCTTAACTTTGTTATTCAAAGATAACAGTTACCCTTATGATCTTGTTAAGAACTAAAAAAAGCCAAGTAATTTATTACGTTTATATTACCTTCAACAGGTTCCAACTGGATTTACCTTGCAAGAAACATAACGTAACATTTACGCAATCTACCCCTCGAATGTTTTTATTATGTAATAGCAGTTTAGATCAAGAAAAGCACTGTTAAAGCACTGATGATTTTAAGAAATGGCAATGAGGGAATTAGTCAATGCTTTCCAAGAACACCTATTTAAAAGAAGATTAATATGAAACTTACATTAAAAATGTTGATGAATTCTATTTGAGCAGCAATAGTTTAGTTACATCAACAATCCATCAATTAAGCTCCAATTAATTTTGAATTTTGGTTTTGTTTTTTTGTGTTAAGTAGCCGAGATGAGTCGAGATGTGTCGTCCTAGGTCCTATAGGCATTAAAAGCATCAAGTCTACATGATGTAGCTCTTATATATGTTGGACTCTGAACTCCTTAATGTCAACCTTGTTGTATTTTATTAATAACACAGTTCCTGTACAAATGTATAATTGTTGAAATTTTCGAATCGTTATCAAGTATTCATAGACGTCAATTGTCAATTATCTATTAATCAATATCTTATATTAGTTAATATTTGATTTTGAATTTTTGTATTCTTACCAAGACAAACCTTTATCATTTATTTATTTTGGGAGTTAAAGACAATATTGATTGAAGACTTAGAATACATTATTTAGGTCAACATAAAAATCCATATAAATTAAATATTGTTGAATTATCTTTTTATTAGCAAATTGTTATATAACCAACAACAAGGCATATTGTAAAAAAAATCATATTTTTTCTCAGGTCTGATAAAAAATGAAACCAGTGATCATAGAAGAGATACTGATGCACAATTAATTTAATTTCAGATTGCTCCCCAAAATATTAATAAGGTCTTCATTTTCATCAAACTACAAGTTGTATTCTTTTAAAACCGATGATATGGACTTTACCTCCTCCCCACGAGCCAATAAAAAGCTTGCATTTGTTAGGTGTGACCTTGAAAATAACTGAGTTGCCGGCAATCTTAGCGAAGACACTCCTGTACTAAGAAGTTAATGTAACCTCTGCAATCAATAAGACTTTGAAAAAAACTTTTGAAGCTTGAACAAAAGTATGTGTTGAAATGAGTTTAATTAAAGTTTGATTTGAATAGGCAAAAGTAGTTAATTCAATTTTATATATTTGTCTTATTGCTTGCTCAGGTGAAGAATTATTTTCAAGCATTAATATTTTCAGAAAAGAATATCTTCCAAATTCTGATGATGGAAAAAGTAAATGATTATTATAAATTTGGATTTATTTGGGATTAGAATTACAGACAGTCAGACACTGCCCTTTTAATAGCATTTATAAATGATATCGCTGACTTGGAAAGTATCATGATCTAATAAAAATATTATTCTGTATCATATTTAGTTACTGTCCCATTGCTATGATTCTATTTATGTCCACGTGTCTGGTGCCTGATTAAACAGCTGTTTTCCTACAAAAATAGATTTTCTTTTCAGTAGGTCTAATTCAATGTCAGTGACACTGAAATCGTGCAGATAGAACTTATGATTTTGAAAAAGTGAAATGTGAGGTTTCTCATGTATTTAAAAGAGTATTTACCATCTCTATACATTTTACTTGTACTGTAAAACTAGCTGAAAAGAACTTAATCTTGGTAAATAACTGGATTTCATGTGTTAACATACTGTGAATGCTATGCATTTTGATGAAGTTTTGTGTCTTGATGAAATTATATTTTATTTGGGCATAGCTTTGGCTTGAAATAGAAATAAAGTAAGATTATTTTTACACAGTATCTAGCCTTGCTATTGAGGTACTGAAATAATATAAGAATATTTATAAACTTAAAATAAAATATGCTCTAAGAATTTTATGTCTCAAAGAAGATTACTTGATTCAGAAAGCATTAAACGATGACATAACTAATTTTGAGTCAATTATGGCTGTAAAATAATTAAGTTGGGCCTATTTTTCACCTTGAATTTCATCCCCGGGGGTTCACTGTATTCAAAATTTGGCAGGGTCCTAGGATGAACTCTCTGATATCAATATGTTCCATACCAATCTGTCAAATTTCAATGTGTTCCCATACCAACCAAAACAATGCCATACCAAATGTCCAAATATAAACCCAATGCCATACCAAATGGGGATAAATTAATATTCAAACTAAGAAGCCCCGAGAAGAAGGAAGATCTTTGAGAAAAACGATTCAAACAACCTCTAATTAAAGATATGTGTAACTACTAGACCAATGCCAAACAAAAAGTGTAAGTCACATATTTTTCAAGACCATTCTCATACCAAAAAGCTGAAAATCCGAATACTGCCATATGTCATAATTTCAGGGGCATTCTCACACCAGATCCTGAAATTTGGGTCTATTGCCATACCAAAAGTCAAAAAAGGTACCCCATGTACCCCAAGGATCCCCGTCAAGGTTTATATACAGTGAACCCCCCGGGGATTTCATCTCGACCCACTGTTACTCAGCTACAGTAATATATTAGCTAGACACTAAGTAACCATATGTTTACTTATGTAAAAGAAGTTTACCCTCTAACCCCATCTAACCTCTTGATTTCTATTTCAAATGTTACATCTTACCAAGCAGAGGGATAAATTCTGGGATTTTATTGCATCATTTTCTTAACCATTTTAATATAAGATTTGTTTCATGAAATCCAAATCAAGGGTTAGCATACATTGAGCTAACTTTTGTTAAGGGCTATTTTATTTTGAAATCCTCATTCCTAATTCATTCTTTAGGGTTCATTCAAAGATATGTAAAATTCTGAAACATGCAATTCCCACACTTTAATACTGGGATTAGATGAATTTTTTGAAAAGATTCTAAATCAAAAGATTTTTATTTCATTTTGTAATAGAAGAGTGCTCAACCTCATGTCCTCCGTAAGCGCTAAAATTAAGCATTTCTTTTAAATTTTAATGCCTTGCAACAAAGAAGTTAATAACTAATTTTTTTACAGTTTGGCGAATGTCAACAAAGGAGGTTACTTCGCAAGGCTTTAGAACCACACTATGCCCAAGTATAGATTTGTTACCCCTGGAAAGTAAAATTAATACCCTAGAGACTGGGCGCTGTTGTATCACCCTCAGAAATGGCTGTGGAACATTATCTCCATTTCTGCAGGGTAAGGTCACCATTTTTACTGAAATGATCAGTTATATCTTGTGGTAATGTCAACAAGTTCATTACCGCAGATAAGACCATAAATGGACGGTGAAAATGTTTCTATTATCTAATATTTGCTCTTGGGTACTTATCAGCCCCGGGGACTTAAAATAAAACAAAACGGAAGTGCAAAAATTTGAAAGAAAATGTGTTTTCATCAGTATTTAGACAGTTGGTTTATTTCACTGGAGATGGAGCAGCTTTTAAGTTGGAAAATAAATTGTGCAAAATAATTGATATTTCTTTTTTTTGCATAATGTCATGATGCTCCGGGGTCTTCCCAAGATTAAAAATCCCACCCCGTGCCTAAGGTTGCCAAACTTGGAGAGAAGTGTAACTTTATTATTTTTTATCTACTGCTCCTATAAATTGAATATATTTTTCTGATTATTGCAATGAATTTTTCCACAAATATTTTTTGGGAGAAATTAAGACCGGGGGTTCGTCTGAACCCATCGAACCCCCGGTCCCTACGGCTATGCAAGATGTATAATAACTGTCCCCTTTTGGAATTATGTCAGTCCCAGTGATCTATTTTATCATAGGCCCAGGAACATATATATAAAAATCAAGTCTGAGACCCTTAAAAGAGTTTTTGTTAGGGTACTCATACTAATCATATGGGTTTATCTACAAAACAAGGAAATTTTTGTTTTATCAGCAATTTTTGAGTGTGATTTACCTTAACTCAACTGTCAAATTTCTTCCAGGTATTGGTACATTAAATTAGGACTCCAGACTCGGATGTTTTTACGGGTATTCTCCTTCCAAACCCTACCATCATCTTGAAAAGAGGTGAGATTAGCTTTTGAAAATAATAAAGGCCTGTTCCATGGTTCTTCACAACTACACTACAAGTTGGGTATGGCACATTGATCAGGGTACAATCATTTCTTATTAGCTTGTTGGCATGTTAGTGTGCAGCACACGTTTTCATTGCAACCTTCAATGATTGCTTACATTTTAGAGTTTGATGGATAGACATAGGTACAAAATATTTTGAAGCAAATGTGTGACATATACACATTTTTCAAAGTAAATGCTTGACATTCGGAATTCGCATGAGAAGTCTGAACGAAATGCGTTCGCTTTTTTTCGACTTACTTTTTTTACCCTATTAGCATTTTATAAAAAGCAGATTTTTTTAAATATCAACAAAAGTTAGTTCAAACAGAAGTTATGATACGTTATATTTGTTTGTTCCATGCTCGGATGTTCGCATTCTATTTAGCTCTCGTAAAATGAACGAACAAACATTCCATTTTCACACATGTTCGGTAATATAATGTATCATAACTTCCGGAAATGACAAGCCCTTCGGGACATTTTTGGGAATATTTTCAGTTCGTGTACATTTCTTGTATAAAAACTGTACTTATTGTTGATTGAGCGGAAAGATAAGCTGATGTAGTTACACTGGAGTTCGTTTACTACCATTTGGAAGGCACGTGAGGGTCCCATTCATCAGGTAACACTTAGGGGAAGTGGTCCTAATTATCGCACGGTCCTAATTATCGCACGATTGTCCTAAATAGCTAAAATATGCACCCACCATCTTTTAAACCAGTGTTACGAAAAACAGTTCAACACCATTACTCCCAATCTTCATGATTTATTCATATATTTAGAAATATCTCTTCATTTTTTAAGAATTGTTAACTTCCGCCATTGTCATAAAATGCTTTTGCGCAAGAAGTGAAATTCGTCTGACAAATTTTGACCCCCTCCAAATAAAGACAGAAAAGTAAGTGTATAATGTATATTTTGTTGATATTTTACACTAAAACTGATAGAAAAATGATTACAGCATATGTATGTATCTGTTATAAACAGAGAAATGTATACAGTATCGTGAAATGACATCTGAAACATAACTGTGCGATAATTAGGACGACTGTGCGATAATTAGGACCACCGCACATGCGAGTCTAAGGGGTCTTAAAGTGTTAGCGTTGGAGATTGAGAAATGTCAAACACTACTTAGATTTTAGAGGAAAGGTTGATCTTTCGTCTCATATTCTCAAAGTAAGTTGAAGTTATCATATTTGAAATCGTCAGTAGTTTCCCTGAGTACGCGTGCGATGATAGGACGACTTCCCCTATATGTCAAAGTTTAGTTCTTGCTTTTTTAACATGAAACCGACAGTAATGCGTGAGGGTTGACAGGGTAGGACCTGGGTCTGGGTCATCAATATTATGCTGGTGTAACTTTTTGTAAATGCATTGTAATGAAATATGATGATGTAATACCATACCATAGCAGAGGAGAGTCACATCTCATTATCTGGAAATTTGCTGATGCAACTTCACTCAGTGGCTACATTTTACAGAAATACGGATATGTCTGGAAACAGACGCATACGTGTAAAAATATAGTTGGTACTTACATAGCGCATTGGAGCATTCTAACACAAATAAAACTGCTTTGATCGGCGTATATCGCCAAGTTATACGAATGAATAAAAAGTTTAAAAATTTGGCCAAATTCAGCTGTGGGGTCAGAGGTCAAGGTCATTGACGTTATTTTAATGTTTTCTTTTGAAATATACATAATTTCTTTAATATTTGTATATATTATTAGTAAACAATATGAATAACTCATGAAGTAGATATTAGATCTTTATTTTCTGTTTTATAATAGTAAATTTTGTTGAAAATACAGATGCATGTAGGGAAATCACTTAGCAACAGAGAACGATTCAATATGGCGGCCATCGAAAAATTTGCAAACACAAATTTTTTCAAAAATCACAATTTATAGTCGATGTGCCTTTATTTTCTGAATTATGCGGATGAATTATACAAACAGAATAAATAGCTAACATCAAAAAAGGTAAATAAAGTATGAAACATGCGTAAGTGTACAAAATCTCGAAATTTGAAAATGATTGATTTTTCATTTTTCACTCTCTCTCTTGTCAGAGTTCTTGGCAAAAACTTAAGAGACCGCAAAGCTCTTGGAGTCTGAATTCCAGTCTTTCTCTGTGTGATATCACGGGCCGGAGTCTAAGAGAACATAATATTTATTTACATTGGAAATGATCTTATCCTACAAATTACTTTATTTCAAGCACTAGGCTATCCTCTGACATGTAGGGGAAATACTCCTATCACCGCACGGGTAGTCTGGAAAACTACTTACGATTTCAAATATGATAAATTCAACTCACTTTGAGAATATGAGACGAAAGATCAACCTTTCTTCTAAAATTTAAGTACTGTTTCAGTGTTTGACATTTATCAATCTCCGAACGCTAACACTTTAAGACCCCTTAGACTCACATGTGCAGTCGTCCTAATTATCGCACAGTCGTCCTAATTATCGCACAGTTGTGTTTCAGATGTCATTTCATGATACTGTATACATTTCTCTGTTTATAACAGATACATGCATATGCTATCCCTAATAATTTTTCTTTCAGTTTTAGTGTAAAATATCAACAAAATATATATTAAACACTTACTTTTCTGTCTTTATTTGGAGGGTGGTCAAAATTTGTCAGACGAATTTCTCTTCTTGCGCAATAGCATTTATGACAATAGCGGAAGTAAACAATTCTTAAAAAATGAAGAGATATTTCTAAATATGTATATCAATAAATCATGAAGATTGGGAGTAATGGTGCTAAACTATTTTTCGTAATTCTGGTTTAAAAGATGGTGGGTGCATATTTTAGCTATTTAGGACAATTGTGCGATAATTAGGACCGTACGATAATTAGGATGATTTCCCCTACTGAATATCATCTATACACGCTGCGCTTACAGCAGTGTACACATTTTGAAAGCCTGTAGCATGGTGATACTAATTAACTTTTCACATTGACAATTTATAGTCAGGGGTTTCTGTTGTAAACCCAAGTTTAGAAATAAATTGTGATCTTGTGACATTTCAAAACATCTATTGATCCAATCTGATCAGTCTGATCTATATGTAGAGCAAATGATGGTAACGACAAAAGATATTGGCTTACCAATTTTCATTTTTCACAATGTTTGATTCAGTTTAAGTCAAAATCCGTCTCGATCTCCATGACTTTATCCAGGCAAGAAGAAAACATGGCTTCCATCTTGATTTGAAATTAGAGCCAAATAAACAGCAATGTGTCAAAATAACCCCATAGTAGTTATCCAAAAATGAAACAAAATGGTATTTCTCGGATGCATATAATCTGACTTCATATTCCAAATTTAAAATTTCACTTTTTGCAATCTACAATTCTATATACTGTAGTGTATGGAAATGATGAGTATATACTGTTTATTCATGCATGTATGAATAGAAGTATTACATACTTGTATGTTATATGTTTTACAGAAAAATGCCCAGTCTTGTTGCAACAAAGAATACATACAATACAAGCAAACTGAACTTTGATGGCATTGAAGTTGCCAATGGGATAGTGTGGCAAGGATGGGAGCCTGGTCAAGAATACACCAAGAACATTATACTGAAAAATGTCAAAGTTAAAACACAAAAACTGAAATACAAGTAAGTGGTCAAACCTATCTATTGAAAGTGCCCACCTTCATAAGAAAGCATTGTCTGACCTCACCTTTCATCTTCCTTCACTCATTCCCCTCTATATTGGGCACCATACAAGACTAAATGCATTTAGAAATAAAAGCAGCTTACTAGTGTTACGACTGATTGTGTATTATACAATACATTTTTGATTATTTTCATAATTGTTTAGTCTATAAATGTAGTTTGAAAGCAATCAGCAAATATTAAAATTCTACATGATTTTATTTTTTAATTTCAGTGTACCAAGTAGTAGATTTTTCTCCACACTCTACCCACAGCCAATAGTCCTGAGTGCTGGGACCAGTTACACGTTACCCGTTACCTTTAGGCCCCTTGAGAAAAATGTCTATGAAGACAAGATTGCGTTTGAGTCTCCTGTAAGTAGAATTCACATTGCGTGCTGATAACTACAACTTTATTGTGGTCATGCAATATTTGAACAAATTTACTGTTGTAAAAATCATTCTTGGACACAAAATTACTGTAAAAGTAAAAAGTAAAAGTCAAAGTAATTTTAAATTCATTGACTGTGAGATTCCAATGTGTTTCAGGAAGGAGCATTTGAGGTTCCAATCAGAGCAGTGTTACCTCAGACTGATATTGTTATACCTGAACATGTCAACTTTAACATGTGCTCTGCCCAAGACAATGTGCAGCTTACATTTACGATAAAGAATGCAAGGTGAGGTCTTTTTACTGGTTTATAGATTGTATTTTTGAATAGGTTCAATACAAAGATGTAACCTCTGAAACCTGATGGATTGTTTTTACACAAACCTCATGATTAATGATTATCCCCATGGCCCGTATTATATTCAAGTACATGTATATTTTAAAGCACACAGTATAAGGTAAAACTTTTAATGCAATAACAATTGAATACTACATTCTCAAGGAAACCCCATAAATGTAATGCAACTCCCTATCATCCTCTTTCAGGGGAACCATGTACCTTTCATAAAATTGCAATGAAAAATTGGAATATTTAAGTAAAATATTGGTTCAGGAAATGCTTGTTTTAAAAACCTCAATTTACAAAATACATGAATATTTTCTTCAGTGAGCTAGAAACTCCATTTGAATGGGATGTGAAGGAACCATTCACACTTGAGCCTCATGAAGGAACCTTAGATGCATGGGGATCTTGTACCATTCATGCTACATTCTCCCCAAAGGTACGTATATCATCAACTGGATCTCTTTCTAAAATACACTGGTTAGAGTTGTTTTTTTTATCCTTAGAACAGCTGATTTTTTCAGCATGCATAGGAAAATAACATGACAACTGCATGTACTCTGTAACTCAAAATTGACTAGGAGGTCCAAAATTCTTTTGATTCACCCTGGTCCTACATGTAGATGTTTATCTTGCCCTCTTTATTCAGGTCTTTGATTCTTTGTGCATAAATTACTATGAAGCGTATTACAAAAATAACATAATTCATGTTTATTACAAAAAATCTGCATATGGACCAATCTTTTATTTCAGCATGCTCTCGTGTATGAAGCAGATGCTATATGTCGCTATGGAAATAAATATGAGGAGAGGAAAAGTACAAGATTTGAGGGTATAGGGAAATATCCTCACTTGCTGGTGGCAGCATCTGGTCAGTCCCCTGCCACTTTAACAAAGGAGGATCAAAACCCCACACTAAACTTTGGCACCATCCCACTGGGCAAATCCTCAGAAAAATGGGTAGAACTGCATAACCTTTCACCTGTGAGTATACTCTTGCATAAGCATGGGCATTCAATAGAAGGGTATGCAACTCTGTGTTATTGAATGAGAACTGAATGAAATTAGCGGTACCATGCTTGCTTTTTTGGTAATATTTCAAAAAGATCAACATGTATGCAGATAATCATGATTTTATTTTTGGGTTATTTCTTAAAATCATACATGAAAATAATATTTTCCTTGGAATGTGTACAGGAAGCATTTCTTCTCCAATTTTGAAAACCAAAGACAATGATAATGTATGAAATATGGGAAGTTGCCTTCCCTTCTATTGAAAGCCAGTGGTATAAGTAACTTTGATGTTTAGGCTCACTAGCAAACATATGGCATTGTTCTTTTGATTGCTTGTCTTTCCATCTGTCATTCTGTCTCTTTATAATCTTTATATCTATTTAATGGGAGTCCTTGCTTGTAATTTAAGCCATTGTTTGCTGTCATTACATGAGCTAACTAAATGGTCCATTTTCATTCAAGTATTTACTTGTTGATATTCAATTCAATACATGCAATGAGAAAAATGAAAATAATGTTGCTTTTTGTGTGTTGTCTAGGTGAGAGCACCATACAAGGTGACCCACCCTACTGCAGTTAGTAGGATAGATACAGTGTTCTCCTGCCCTCAACGTAGTGGAGTTGTACCTCCAATGAGTGCTGTGCAAATACCAGTAAGTACATTAAATTGCATGACTGTGTTAATAGGATAGATACAGTGTTCTCCTGCCCTCAGCGTAGTGAAATTGTACCTCCTATGAGTGCTGTAAGAATACAATTAAGTACCTTAAATTGCATGACTGTGTTAAGAGGATAGATACAGTGTTCTGGTCTTATTGACTGGAACACATGCATCACAGGTAAGAATATCTGAATTTTGTTAAATGGAAATGGCATCTACCAGAAGAAGCTACCAGAACAGTTTGATCTTTTTAGAATTGTCTTATTTTTGAAATAACCTTTTTTGTATAGCCTGTTTTCTCACTTGCAGATTGAGAAAAGAATCTAGCTCATACCACAATATCTTCTAAAGATTTCTTGAAAATTGACAAATGTTGGGATAGATTTGAATCAAACCTATCAAAACAGAAATTAAAACATCTGAATAATCATAATAATTATACTGTATAACATTTTGTATTTCCCATAATACTTATATGGTGTAATATATTGTGTTTCAGATCATTTTCAGTCCAAACACTATTGACGCATCTAGTGTTGATTACTTTGACATCATAGGTATAGGCAACATCAGTAAGACTCAGCTCAAGTGTACAGGAGCATCCAAAGGTCCAAAAGTGACCCTTACCAAAAAAGCTTTGAACTTTTTCCAAATTGATTCTGGTCAAACTGGCACAAAAGTTGTAGAGATTGTTAACGATTCCGACAATGAGGCAACTTTTAAGGTAGGTTAATCAGGCTTTTCTTAAATCATATTTCTTTGTCTATTAAACATGAGATTCATTTTTTGATATTTTTCTGTATCTGCATATTGTGTTAGAAATCAATGGCACGGTGTATTTTATTCTCCATTACACCATATGATATAACCAAATCTATTTTCCAAGCACATTCATTTCTGTAAAAAATAGGATTGTGTTTTAGATACACAAAACTTGAAATGAAATCCCAGCATTTATTTCAGTTTATATTTGTACTCATTTTGTATCTCTGTTCATGAATCAATACGAATTAGAACTCTTTAATATTTCTGATTTTAGTTTATGATAGACTGTAATGAGAGTGTCTTCAAGGTGGACAAGTTGAGTGGGGTGCTTGCTCCATATACTAAAGTGAAGGTCATCATTCTTTTCAAACCTCTGCATCCCATCAACTACTACAGGCGCATAGCTTGTGTTGTGCATAATCAGGTAAATCGATCATTAAAGTAAAGACATGATTTAATTTGAGTCATATAATTTGCAATTTATTTGGGGGTGCTAATATGTATTTGTAAAATACCCAGGAATAATCTTTAATCTATTTGTTAAGCTGAACATTTTCAATTACATTCAAAATGGCACAAATGGGCTCTCACTTTAAGGAAAAATTGAACCAATCTTAAAGGCTTTACTTTGTAATCTTTCAGGGATTAGTAATTTTGTTTTTTTGATGAAGTTGTTTCATACTTTAATTTTATTATGTTTTGAACATACCAAACAGTACCTGCTTCTGTCATTTTCAGGATCCGTTGTTTCTGGACCTTCTGGGGACATGTCATACTGAGACGGCTAAGCCTGCTGTGTTAGAAATTGAACACATAGAGAGATACAGGACCCATGTAGAGAGGGGCTTTTCAATGTTCCCACCTGAGGTAGGCGGTCTAACTATTATAGTGGTAACAATTTATTTAACTGGCATTATTGAAGGAAAAGTCAAAGTTGTGTGAAATATACATCACGAATTGAAAAATAATGTCAGAAATGAATTAGCACAGGTTGTCCACTACAGTATATGCAATATGTACACAAGTGCCAAAGCTTAAAATGTTACGCAGTATTAAAAAGATCAAACAATCTTGGATTAAAATGGAAGATTTCATTAACAAAGAACCAAATTGAGAAAAGTTAATTCAATTCAATTCAAAATAAGGAGCAGGAACATGCTTGACCAGTTCATACATTTTGAATATATCCTTACAAAATATTGGAATTTCAAAGTATCATCTCATGTTGTTACAGCAACTGAATGAACTTGTGAAGTCTGAGAAGCTTCAAATAGATGCCAATGGTGCACTGATGTCTGCTGATGCTGAGAGTTTGGAGGCATACTGTGAACCACCCTCACATATTACAACTATGGAGGAGTACTTCAATGATGGCTACTACTCTGATGTAACAGTGAGTGAACTCTTTGGTAGTAAAACCATTCTAACATATAAATGTCATGTCAAGTTTTAATTTGGAACTAAAATGGCCTTCATTTGGAACTTTTTTTGTGTCCTTGAGCCTGTATACAGTAATGCTCATTAACAGAAGACATATTTATTTTTATATTTATAAAAAATAAGAGTCCGATAGAAATGAAAATATTGAAGAATTATTTAAAAAATCACTTTCAACATCATAACTCTGTATTATATTTTCAGCACTCTGTACCACATGTAAGCTTAGATGTACACGAGGCAGACTTTGGACAGTGCACGAGTATGCGTCTAGTTGAACCGAAGGTAAGAACTCTCTAATTCTACATTTGTCCATATAAATATTGACACATTGATACACAAAAGGTGGTTGTATCAAAGGGCAACTCGTAGGAGTCCCTTTATTGCACCTTCAGCAGGCGCATCTACAGCTTATTACCACTAAACAATAGAAAAGTAGTTCATATTTAACCCTAAATAATAGTAAATCACTGCTATTTTTAACAATTATCCACTATTGTAATATGCTCCACTTGTGCTCTCAAAATATAATATACACTTCTTTAAGACATAGTACAATGTTCGTATCATTTGTAGACATTGAACGTGACAAACCACACCAAGGGAAAGATCACAGTTGTGTGGATGGGCTCTGAGGACCATGTATTTAGCGTCACTCCATGTACAATGGACATTCCCCCTCTCAAGACTTGCTCCTTTAGACTCTCATTTAAACCGGTAAGTTTGATGCAGTGTTTATAAACTGAACATGTTATGTTCCCATTCATCAAGTGTAGATTACTTGTCCTTGCTAAGTTCAAAAATAAAGAAATGTGAACGTTTTTAGTTTAACCTCTTTAATCCCAGGCTCTAAAATCAGTTGAAACCAGAGATTTTTTCAATTTTTGCCACCTTTTGACATTATACTACATACCTATATAACTTAAGATGCTCAACTTAGTAAAATTAGATGGCAGAGATCATTTCTACATATTTTAAAACAATTTTGTGTAAATTGGATAAAAATTGTTCAAATAAGAGCAATTTTAGTGAAAAATTTTGTGACGGATTTTCTCGTCACTCTGGGTTTCAAGGTCATTTCTGAGATGACGAGAAATCTCGTCACTCCAGGTAGTCAAGAGGTTAATGATATGAAGTAAATTAGTCTAGTTAGAATAAGGGTTAGAGCATTTATCTAGTATAGAGAATTTATGGAACATCATCTTCTCATGTATAATTTTACATGTTTTTGTGAATTATTAATACCAAGTTACTGGAAAATGCAGTACTTCTTTTTCATTTCATTCAATGCAATATACATTAAGATTGGATAGACTGCATTCCAATATTGACATTATGGTACCACATCATAACTAGTAAAACATGCGAAATACCTCTGTAAATGGAACACCTCCAAAGGGAACATTATTTTTAGTAACAAGGATGTATTACTTACTCGGGTTTTACTGAATTTCAAAAAAGATATACACATTCACAAAAAAACGATTTCAGACTGCCGCCAACAAGTTCTATGGAGCAGAGCTTGAGTGCTATGCTTACTATAAGAGTCTACGGGACTACAGGTTGGTAGAGAGTACCACCCACACTCCTCCATGGTGCCTGACACTCACCACAATGGGACAGACATTCATGCCAAACAACGAAACATTCCTACCAAGGTTTGATATTGATTCGCCAAAGTTAGTGTTTCCTGCCGTAAATGCCAATGAAGCCACCTATAGGACACTTGCTGTAGCTAACCTCGGCACCACACCTATCTTATATGAATTTGCACCAGATCCTGATGGGTATGTAACTTTGAAGTTTTCAAAACATTTTAACCTTAAATTTTTTGTAAACTATCGTGATCAAATGTTAATTTTCTTATACTGTGATTACTTTACATACTCAATATCTTTTAGTTACTTCGCTTCATTTCATATTTGAATTCAGTAATCCATTCATGGTATATTCAGTTATATTGGTCTAAACCTTTAATCTACCATTGTATGATAACATTTGATTTTCTTGTATTTATAGCATATTCAGTGTAAAGCCTACAAAGGGACTCCTAACTGAAGGATACCAAATGTTTGTAGTGAAGACTCTCCCTAAAGAAGTGAAGACATACAGACAGACACTCAAACTGCGCCTCAATGACGCTGACAAGAACACTCAGGTTTGAATTTTATATTTAACTTGTGGATGATATCAATATTTTAAAGGAAATGGAGAGGAACAGGGGCAATTTTTCACAATACTTCCAATACATAATTATTGAATACACAAATATTCAAAATTTCAAAATACAGAAAAACCTGTAAAGTGGAACACCTCCTTAAGTGGAACACTTCAAAGTCTTATATACAGTCTCTGTAAGTGGAACACATGTGTTCCACTTACACAGGCTTTACTCTTGCTTGCATTTGAAAATGAAAACTAAAGCCTCATGTTGGTGTCTTGAAGGAGATATCTTATGGTTATGGACTGCTCTTTGTTATAGGACATCTTAGTGTGGGGGTCTGCAGAGTCAGCTGAGGTTGTCTTGGAGAATGGGGGAGAGTTGTACTTCAAACCTACATGTGTTGGAACTGCTTCACATCAGAACTACTCAATCAAGAATGTCTCAAGAATTCCTCTAAGGTTTGTGGCATTGACTTTTTACAAAGGTTTTTCAGATTTGTTTATACATTTATTGTATGATCTGTAAAATGAAGCCTTCTGATTGATCAGTTCTTGTGTTGTACCAATCTGTATAGCCTTGCCCCAAGTCGGTCTCTTTAACTTATCTTGATTTCTATTATGACCGCCTTGTACCAAAGAGAAAGCCACGTGCTTTACCGACAGTTTGTTTATATCGGTGATTTTGACCAATAGCACACGATCTTTCAATGTCTAAATTTAGGTTACAAACACACGAGGTAATACAGTTGTTGATTTTGCTCCAATCAGCAAGTTAGTATCGGAACCTTTGATAGTGGCATTGTGGGAAGTCCTGCCTCGCTTTACTTTCATCAGCTAGCAAAACTGAAAATGACCCTCGCCAAATCGATAAACGTTTTATTTGCCAAATATAATTGAAAGTAATTTGAATGTAGTGAACCGATTTAATATCAGAAAGTTGATGACTGATCAGTTCACATATAAACACTTATAGTTATGCTGTAAAAAGGATAATGAAAAGTTATTATGTTTCTGGTGAATGCGTTTTATTTGTAAGGGAGATACCTGGATTTGCAGACTGCAAGCATGCCGCATATAACTTCACAACCGCATGGCGAACACGTGGATTTATTTATTGATTTTTGTGTATGACTACCGCTATTGGCTAATGCTATAGGGCGCGTACTAGTTGGTGCATAATTTATCATAATAACAGTGGAGATGTATCGGATTACACAAGGCGGTAATAATTCAAGATCAGATAAAGTAAAAAAATACCGACTTGGGGCAAGGCTACAATCTGTATTGCCACTGGGATTGTCCCCATTGATCATCTCCGTAACAATACAGAAAATATTGCTACGGATGGGACATTCTCAGTAGCAATACAGAGGATCACACGATAAAAACGTTATAGAATGATTTGAAGCGCAATACAGTATATATTTGCTCTTAATATTCTGTATTGGCACTTGTTCCAATACAGAATTTCTCGAGCAGAATATATCCTGTATTGCACTTCAAATCATTCAATACATGTAACTTATAGTACTGCTATTTCGTGAAGGTATGATTTAATTTATTGAATTTGAGGTTGTGGAAATTGATAGTGAATTGGATTAGTACATGTGTTTTATTTTGGTGTGTTAGATCCATGTTTAAGAAATTGAATAATATCAACAATATATCAATAATCATAAGTAGTATAAATCACCAAACCATGAAATAATAGATTGTGATATTTCTTTCAAAAATATTGCTACTCCATAGACAATAAAGTTGCAGAAAAATAGCCAAGACTAACTTGTAATTTTTAGGTTTGAGTGGAAATTGAACCATAAAGATGCCAAGCTATTATCAGTGCACCCTCCAGAAGGGACCATCCTACCCAATGAGTCTCAGAACCATACCTGGGCCTTTAAACCCACATGCAAGAGTAAGTTTGTCTCAAAGCCCAGTCTCATAGTCTGGGGTCAAGGTCAAAGTGCAACAAGCTCAGCTGGCAAGAAAAAGCAGTTCGTACTACGTGTGTTAGGTGAAGGATCTCTGGGGCAAATAGAGGTACGGAGAGTTTTTTTAAGGTTAAATTTAATTTATTCGCAATATGAATTTACAGGTTATTAACTTATTACATACTAGGAAGGCCTCGGTAAATCATTACATTTTTGGCCCTTCTTATCTGAACTTTTCAAAATACGTGAGCTGTAGGTGGATTCTTTCACTGCAGAAATTCTGATTTGACCACAGTTGTTTTTATTAGTTATTTGAACTTGCAATGATGTAAATTTGGAACTACATGTATTGAATTGCCATTCATATCAATGAACTTAGTAGATTCATATCTGTAATAATAAATGCATGAAATGAAAACGCCTTGTCAGAAAACACTTTCTCGGAATGATTACAAAGTTATATCCCTACCCACAAATAATTTCTATTTATTCATACATTGTAGTCTGAGTCTACCTACATTGACTTTGGTAATGTTGTGGTTGGAAGCTCAGCTACACAGAACATTGTCCTTGTGAACACCAGCAACTGTAGTCTCCACTATAAACTTGATGTTGAGCAGAATGTCACTGGAGATGTCCCTGATGAAGTAATCAATGATGACAGTATTGGTAAGCAGTAACTGTGAAAAAACATGACTCCTGAATCTCAAACTCGCTTAATTAGTCATTTTCTTTTATGAATTTCTTGTAGAAATACTAGTATAGAGTCACTTTTAGTTTCTAATATTCTTAGAACATAAAAACCACTAAAAGTGATATCTTAATTTATACATATTTAGTTTGGTTGTGCTTGTAATGTAGTGATTGCAATACTCTCTCTCTTTATATATTATCATGTCTGCCTATGTAGTTAATTATTTAATCACTAAAGGGAATGATTATTTATCATATTGAATCTAATATTTTTTTCACAATTTCTACACATATTCGTTGATTATTATTCCAGCCCTACAGTTAGACAGAAGCTTTGGTATTCTCCCAGCGCGCTCCAAGGTTACGGTGATAGGCACAGTTCGACCAATGAGACGTCTCTGTTATCAGTTTGCCATTTCATACCAGCTAATCACCTCGCAAGAGGGCAATAACATTGACCCTGAACTCAGTGAAGCTCAACATTTGTGCCACATTCTGGCAATGGGTGTGTTCCCAGTTATGTCAATCACTGATGCCCGTTGCTATGGTAGCGCTATCGGGATCAGCAAAAAACAATTATGGAATCTTTTCTCATTGGATAACATGAACATGTGTCTTGATTCAGCGCCATCTATGCAGGAGATATCATACTCTGTGGCATCAAGGAAAAGGTACACTTGACTTTTGAGCCAAACTTTCGTAATCCGATTTATTATATTTGTTCAAGGACATCTTCCATGTAAACTTACCTGATTTAGAAACAATTTCAAGATTATGAAGGAATGCCTTGTATATTTGGATACAAGTTCTAGCACCTTATTCTTTCATCAAAACGAAGTGCAATTTCTTTGTTTTTGTCCCTAAGAAAGCATAACAGACATTTATGCTAAGAACACTGTGAGTATTTTGCAGATAGGTTTATCTCATGAGATCTGTATCAATTTCAGCCACAGAAGGAGACAACCTGTACACACCAGGTCTATCTTGGACTTCAACTTTAGTGCTGCTCCTGTGGGAGCTGAGCCCTGTGTGGTCCAACTCATGATTGAGAACACTGGAGCAGTACCTACTGAATGGTAAAATACTTAATATTTAATTAAAAACAACATATTAGTATATCAAGCTGGTAAACAAGGGGATGAACTTTATTCGTTATTAAACTTAACATGTTTTGATAGTGGGGGGGGGGGGTGCGATCGCAGCATATGTATAAGGCATGTTCATTGCTATATTATTTCAGGTCATTCCTGTACCCCAAGGACCTGCAGTTGGAGTTGGAATACTGGGCAGAGACTGGGGAGTTTGATGAGGATGAGCTTCATGAGGTATGTGTTATATGCTGTAAAAGTCCAGTGATTTCTCTGGAATTTTAGTCTTTCTTAACTGAGCTTTCTTGTTTCTTTCTTGATGAGCTTCATGAGATATGTGTTATATGCTGTAAAAGTCCAGTGATCTCTCTGAAATTTTAGTCTTTCTTAACTGAGCTTTCTTGTTTCTTTCTTGATGAGCTTCATGAGGTATGTGTTATATGCTGTAAAAGTCAAGTGATCGCTCTGAACTTTTAGTCTTTCTTAACTGAGCTTTCTTGTTTCTTTCTTGATGAGCTTCATGAGATATGTGTTATATGCTGTAAAAGTCCAGTGATCTCTCTGAAATTTTAGTCTTTCTTAACTGAGCTTTCTTGTTTCTTTCTTGATGAGCTTCATGAGATATGTGTTATATGCTGTAAAAGTCAAGTGATCTCTCTGAAATTTTAGTCTTTCTTAACTGAGCTTTCTTGTTTCTTTCTTGATGAGCTTCATGAGATATGTGTTATATGCTGTAAAAGTCCAGTGATCTCTCTGAAATTTTAGTCTTTCTTAACTGAGCTTTCTTGTTTCTTTCTTGATGAGCTTCATGAGATATGTGTTATATGCTGTAAAAGTCAAGTGATCTCTCTGAAATTTTAGTCTTTCTTAACTGAGCTTTCTTGTTTTTTTCTTGATGAGCTTCATGAGATATGTGTTATATGCTGTAAAAGTCCAGTGATCTCTCTGAAATTTTAGTCTTTCTTAACTGAGCTTTCTTGTTTCTTTCTTGATGAGCTTCATGAGATATGTGTTATATGCTGTAAAAGTCAAGTGATCGCTCTGAAATTTTAGTCTTTCTTAACTGAGCTTTCTTGTTTCTTTCTTGATGAGCTTCATGAGGTATGTGTTATATGCTGTAAAAGTCCAGTGATCTCTCTGAAATTTTAGTCTTTCTTAACTGAGCTTTCTTGTTTCTTTCTTGATGAGCTTCATGAGGTATGTGTTATGTGCTGTAAAAGTCCAGTGATCTCTCTGAAATTTTAGTCTTTCTTAACTGAGCTTTCTTGTTTCTTTCTTGATGAGCTTCATGAGGTATGTGTTATATGCTGTAAAAGTCCAGTGATCTCTCTGAAATTTTAGCCTTTCTTAACTGAGCTTTCTTGTTTCTTTCTTGATGAGCTTCATGAGATATGTGTTATATGCTGTAAAAGTCCAGTGATCTCTCTGAAATTTTAGTCTTTCTTAACTGAGCTTTCTTGTTTCTTTCTTGATGAGCTTCATGAGATATGTGTTATATGCTGTAAAAGTCAAGTGATCTCTCTGAAATTTTAGTCTTTCTTAACTGAGCTTTCTTGTTTCTTTCTTGATGAGCTTCATGAGGTATGTGTTATATGCTGTAAAAGTCCAGTGATCTCTCTGAAATTTTAGTCTTTCTTAACTGAGCTTTCTTGTTTCTTTCTTGATGAGCTTCATGAGATATGTGTTATATGCTGTAAAAGTCCAGTGATCTCTCTGAAATTGTTTCTTTCTTAACTGAGTGCTTTATCCCAATTTTGCATCTTGGTCAGAATATCTCAATACATGTATTTCACATAAGGAAACATTAGGAAACTAGGCGAAATCCAAAAATTATTTCTCCAATCCAATCACTTCTTCTGTTTAAAGAATACATTATGTTGCCATTTGATGTAATGAATAAAGAAATTTTTGAGAAATCATAATTTTTCTTATAATTTATCTCCAGATGAAGGTAATGGACAACAAGCTGTTTGAGATCACCCCTAAGAAGGGTAAGCTAGAGCCAGGAGAATGTAAAACAATCAAGTTCTCCTATAAACATGACATGGCTGGTACAGACAGGCTTCCTGTTCTACTCAAGCAGACCTCAGGCAGGGAAATATTGGTACGCTATGATTTATATACAGCTTTGTTTATTCATCTTTATTTTACCACCAGAAGTCACATATTGTTATAATCTCAAATTTTTTCGTAGCAGTTGGCGGTTGGTGTTTGGTGGTTAGTGTCTGTAACACATGGCAGGTGGTGACATTTTGCATGTTAATACCTTGTAAAGATTTTGTTACATTCTAAGTTTCTTTTGAATCAAAAGTAAATGGATATAATTTCAGGCATATTGTACTCATTGTAATGTTATGCAAATTGTTAATGAAAATCAGAAAACACAAAGAGCATCTTATAATTAAAACAGGTCATAGTTCAATTTGATTATGATTGTGTGGCTATATTTCAGATCAACTTTATTGGTGTGACTGTTGAGCCTGAGAGGAGATACATTCACTTTCCTAGCAACAAGTTCATGTTTGCCCCTGTTGCCGTGGGGGAGAAGAATAGTCCCAAACAGGTAAGTCAACAATTCGAAATATGGTTTCATTCAGCATAATAAACATTCAAAAATTTAAATAAGGAAATCAATTAATAAAAAAAATCTTGTTTCAGGTGTATGAACTTTTCAATGGAGGTGCAGTTCCTGTAAAGTATGAGATAGACACCTCTCCACTTCTATCAATTCAACAGGAAAACTTTGACCACCCTGTATTTGAATGTGTGAACCCCCAAGGGGAGATCCTGCCTGGAAGAAATGCCATTGTTGAGTGGAAGTTCTCACCTTTAGAAGCAAAGACATACATGGTGAGTAGAAAGTATTGAAGCATTTTGGATATAATTTACAGAATATATTATCATATTTTATTTCTCTAACATTAAGATCAATTAAGGTCCAAATATTACTATGTGTCACTGAGGATGAACTGGAAATTAATTCACATGAATCATATTGATAGAATTATTTTATTAAATATGGCAGATAAAGAGCAATAGCCCTGTTTTGCAAATGTTTTTGTCATTGCAAAAGCGTGGTAATTTTTTTTTGTCGATATGGAATTAACCCGTGCACATGAGTGAATTAACCCATTCACATGAATATCTAAATGTTTATATTCATTTGATTTACTGTCTATTATTAAGGCTGATGTTCCTATTCAAATCCATGAAGGAGACACTGCCCTTATCACGTTCACTGGCGTAGGCTATGATAAACGTGCTCTGGGGGAGACTATGCCACTGACTGACCAACCAGACTCCACAGGTGTCCCAGGTGTACAGAGTGTTCCAATTCCAGGACAGGTGAGCTTTCCAATGATACATAACCCTTACCTGTGTATATTAGTTCCTGTTCGTATTTTCTCTTTTGAATTAGAGTTTTCTTTCTGAAAGAAAACATTTAATTCAGTTTACCTGATGAAGATATATCAATACTATATCAAAAATTCATTATCTCAAGCAATTTGTTTAAACATTTATTAACAAAATACATTCTCATTTGAAAATAGATTGCAATATGCTTCATTTGTATTTACTGTATAAATCGTAAAACTGAGAAATTTCCCCAATGATAGGGTACTAGCCTGTCTAATCAATACACCCCTGGCACTGACCAGATTCACCAGAAGTGTTTGGAATGGCAGGTGTTCACATTTCATGGTTTTTAATATGGTAATCTATGGCAGTGTACAAATAGGACAGACAAAGCAAGGTGTTCAGATTAGAAAGGTGTTTGGACAAATAGGTTTACTGTAAATAATTACATGTCTGGGTTATTATATTTCAGTTGGTATTCCTGTCCCAGGAGAGACTGTCATTTGGTAATGTGCCTCTCTATGCCAAGGGCAGACAGGCTATCTTTGTAACCAACCGCTCCAAAGATCACACTGTATCTTTCGAATGGCATGTCACTTCACAGTACGATAGTCAGGTGAGGATATCTCTTTATTTGGTTTTACACAATTTTTTCCTCAGGACAATCTGTATCTATTTTTTTGAATTCTGAAAAGGGGTAAAAATCTCAAAGCATGTCTAGTAAGGATAATTCTTGAAATTTCATTTCACATGAGTAACATATCTCACACAGACACCATAGGGCATATACATGTGATTAAGGTAGAAACAGCTCCCCATATTTCTTTATGATTTATTTATGGTCAATAGCATACTATGTTACCTTACATTTTTCTATTGTAGTTTGTGAACATCAAGCCATTGAACGGCAGCCTTCAGCCTGGTGACAGTATGATGTGTAGGGTCTCATTTACTGCAGTTGGCGTACCTTCATTCTATGATCTAGACCTGATATGTGAGGTAGGAGTCCATTTTTACTCATTAATATGAACACGTTTATAGATTGAAGTTCATAGTTGAAAAATTGCCAGTATGATTGTATAAATGAAAGATGTTCATATAGTCTTTCAAGTTTCACTTAAACCTTTTTCTGATTCTTTACTCATGAAACAATTCAGTGTTTGTCAGAAATCTTTGCTATAGTGTAGTTTTAAGACATAATTTTGCTTTATTCTTATGCAATATCTTTTTCAACAGGTAACAGATGAAACAGAAATGGCTAAATACAATAAGAAACTTGCAGCTTGGGAAAAAGAAAATGAGAGACAGAAGTATGAGTTCACCATCACTGAAAATGACCTGAACGCTGACCAACGGCTACCAGATTTGGAGGTACAAAAACTCACATTTTCTTATTATTATTTAAGATCTTCCTAAAAATCAAGACTCATGGAAACTCCATATGGAATTGTGATTGATCTGAGCTTAAGTTATACATATTTAAAACCAGTCATTATAAAAATGTTAGCTTCATTCTTCATCATTACATCTTTTCGTACGTTGGTCCGTCCGTCCGTCAGCATTGGCCACACAAATTAAAACTGCTATTCGGATTGAGTCATATCCACATTCATTTTATGCATATCCATAATGCCTATTTGACCTATCATCGCCATTGCTGATTTTGACGCCAAAAGTAGACACTTTGTTGAAGTAGAACTTTCAAATAATTTGTAGTAGTTGCTGTATATGCAACTTATGTCCTCTGAAGATTTCAAAGCTCTTGAAATTACAGTTTTTGGTGTTTACTCTATAAAATTTGACAAAAAGTAGGACTTTGACATTTTCAGGGAACTTTCTCATGTATAAAGTCAATCATCATTGGCTGCACAAAACACTGTGTGAGCACAGGATCGTGGGTCCTTTATTGGAGTTTTGTTTGGTTTGTCCTCTCATTGTGTCATATCAAGTCATTTACATGTTATTATTTGTAGGAGAGACCTCGCAGTGGTCAGTTGAGGTCCTTAGATTCTAGTAGATCAACAACTAGGTCTCCAATGGGATCGGATTCTGACCTTAGCAAATACAGGACATTGCCACCCATAAAGACCCCTTCTATTGATCGTGAACAAATCAAAAAGAGTGTGACAAGGCAACAGAAAGAGGATTACTGGCAGAAACCTGTGGCACCTGATCCGTTCTTGCTTCACCTTGGGGTGACTGCACGCACACATGACATCACAGAATTCCAGAATAACTTCTCAGAGGATTACCACAAGTATTACATTGATATGTAAGTACTGGAATATTTGATGTATCTAACTACAGTAAAACCTGTGTTAGTGAACACATCTCTCTAGTGAACACCTACCAACAGTGAACATTTTTTTCTTGGCAAAAAAATATTCACAGGTTTTAGTGTAGTTCACAGAATCACCAATCAAACATAAAAATTAATGTGCAATCCTGAATGCAATCCATTAATTGTCAAAAATTACAATTAATATGAAATTGTATTCATCAACACATCTTGACTTGTCTAGATTTTATAAATTCTTTTTTTCTAATAAGGCTATATTAATGCTCAATATAGATCAGCTCTTTATTTATATTGAGATATTATACCTTACCATGAAACCGTTGTTAAATTGATGCACATCAATATTTGCAGGAGTCTAGGAGAGTCCCTATCTGGGTCAGACAGTAAGGTTCAGGTAGAGAACAGTGTTTCACCTCTGGAGATAGAATGTGCAGAGTCTGAGGTTGATCTCATATCTGGTGTACTGGGGAATATACTTAGGTTAGTAGATCTTTTGATAGCAAACAGGATTAAACAATACATATTGGGTCAATTTGAATTGGAGATGGTCACGATTACCTTTTAATCCTTTGCTTAGATTTTGTGATGGATAAACCATGAGTGCTGGGTATCAGGTGAAATAATGGCCAAGGGCTGAAGGACCAAGGCCATTATTTTCTCCAAAGACCCAGTACAATGGTTTATCTAACTTAAACCTCACAATGACTCTTAAGAAATGTAAATTATCCAATTGATGATTTGCGATCACCGAATGGATTCTATCTTTTAGTGACGTCACAATTAGGCCATCCAGCTTTAGATGCTTGGTTTTGAGAGTTTATCTTCTATATTTCGTGCTTTATTGATTCGTTCGATTTGACTAGATCAACATTCATCCTAAGCACATACCAAGTCTAAGATCCTACTGACATGATTTAGATAGCGGTTAAGCGCCCCCCGATTATGACAAAAATGGGAGGCACTTATAGGCATCGATGTTTAGTATGAATTTCACCCAAACTTCGCACATATATAGATTTACTCAAGATCTAGTCAAATCGGCATACCTGGTAAATATCCGACCCATGGTTTTCATAGAAGAAACGACAATATTTTTAGCTCAAAACTGCCACGTGGCCGCCATTTCGTGATTCCATCATGTCTAATATCATTTCTATATGACGTCACATCAATAAGCCGAAATACGTGACAACAGTATCCATAAACAAAATTCCTGAATTCTGATTGCAAAAGGTCAATTTATCTAACACTTTACTATTCAACTTGAAAATTTTATTTCTTAAGTTTTGACTCTTCAAATATTAATGAGTGAGTAAGTAAATAATTCAGTTTCAGTGCAATACATTTTTACCGAGGTCAATCATCTTTTGTTTGACAAGAGGCTTTTAAAAACAATAGAAAAGTAATGTTCTCATCTTTTGTTACAACAGTACATTCTTGAATATAAACTACAGCTCATTCTCTTGTGTTGCTTAAGCAGTTTGAAACTGAGTATTGTTATTTTAGTATAAAGATTTTGTATGTTTTTGTTTTATTGCAGAGGTTTGTTGGATGACTCTGATTTCCATCATTCCATTGCTAAAATAAAAGAGGAGGCTATTCCATACTTTGTTCAAATTGGCACTAAGGGTGCTGTAACACCTCCCCCCTCTGAAGAAACTCTTGTTCCTGAATCCACCACCCTCCCTTCAGAGAAATCAATGCAGAGTCGACTCACCCAATTAGAAGGGGAGACAGGTCGAGAAAGTGGACTCTCTTCAATAGATATGACACTGTCGCCATCTATTAGTCCTACCACCCCTCAAACAGGCAGCAGAGTCGATGCTATACCAAGTGTAAGTTGATCATATAAATATACATGTATATAAAATAATTTACATTTCATGTTGAAACTCTTTAGTTATTCATTATCATTTATCAAAAGAAAGAGTGCATTTCCATATGAACATCATGCATTTTTTATGATCATTGCATGCTTTAAATTATTTATAATATTAATCAAGAATATCTCGTATTATCTTGTATATTTTATTATGTAAATTCATATGTTGCAGCCATAAAGAATTCTTTATTCAGTGTTGTATGAGTCAAGAATAACTACTTCTAGCATATTTTAGGCATTTTATGTAGCTATTTTATAAAGGAACTATGATATAATCCGTTTATTTTTACGTTTTTGATTTAAAGATGGCCTTAGTGTTCTCTATTGTACCTGTTAAACATGCTTATCTTTCTTGTACATTTTTGAAGATCAACATGATTTCTAACTTCTTTTAGAAATAGAGTTGCTTAGAGTCACACTGAAGTCAGTGAGCCAATACATTGTGTCCACTACCCCCCCCCCCTCCCCTTAAGGCAATATATACAGATATGCCATACTAAAGGGTCATGCATCATTGTAACATTTCATAGCCAAGGAACTACAATAAAAAAAGGGGGGATGCTTGGATAATTGATGGGACATCTTGTATTCATGTGATTTCTGAAACGTGCCTGCTGTCAGATTTTAGCAAATTGCTTTGTTAAAAACATGAAAAAGAAAGCTTATTAACAGAATTAATCAATTAGGACGAAGTTTAGGATGCCATTGGTCATAAACATGACAACCTGGGACATTATCTCATGGAATAGGTGGAAAACCTCCATAACAATTGCTTCAAATATGACACAAGAGGTCATCAATTTTAATTGCCTTCATAAAGTTGAACATGATAACCAAGGCACGCTATCCTATGACAATAATATGATGGTAATAAAAGTCGCTGCGGATATTCATCTTAACAGCCTACTTTACTCTGGAGACCTGTAGGCTCTTGGCTGTTTGTCATAACGAGACCCTGTGGAATTTAGAACCTTGAAATTGCATTCATTAATTTTGATGCTGTCGGTCATTTCTCCTTAGAAACCCTTCAGTGATGTATGATTCAATGTCATGCCCTTAATATAGGATTTATTTATTCTATGTTTTATCCAATCTCATGTCTAAGTGGCTTGATCATCTACATGACAGAAAATGTTAGCAACTAAAATGTCAATCAATATATGCAATTAACTAGAATTCCTTGAAAGCTTAATTATCTTTCTGAATCAGTGATGTATAAGAGTCACTTGGAGTTCATGTTGAAATATTGCAGGACTATATCATTTATGTGTTTAGAACATGCTTCATATTCAAAGGATAGGTATCGATATGGTGAACTGAATTCAACAATGTTTTTCTCTTAAACCAATTATTGAAAACATTCTGTAAAAAAACACGGTCCTTTATGTAATGTTTACTGATTGGCAACAATTTAATGCAAAAATTATTTATATATATTTTATATAACTGTTTTTGTTAAAAATTTTTGTTTTTTAGTGCAATTGTTTTTGTTCCTTTCTACCAATTCTTGAGAATGAAATAAAATGTCTTTCCGAACCTTGTTGGAACAAAATAGCATATACAACATTTTTTTAGTCCTCTCAATATTATAGTTATACAAAGGAAATTTTGGTCGATTTAACAAAAAGTATGCAAAAACTTAAAACATAACCCCCCAAAATAGATAAAAATTAAGATAAACCCTTTATTTCATCAACGAGATACTTTTTTAAAATCAACCAAACTTTCCTTTGTTCAATTACAATATTGAGAGACCTAAACACGTTGTGTTATGTAGTTTTGTTCCAATCAGGTTCGGATAGATGTTTCATTTCATTCCTAACATATGATACCAAGAACAAAAGAAGTGTCTGATTCGTTTTCTAAAACAATGTAGAGAAAAGTATAGTATATATATTTCAAACTATAATGTTACCATCCAAAAGATGACCATTAAATTGACGATGTGTAAAATCTTCAGAATGTTTTGATGACTGGTTTAAGAGAAATGTGTGTTCAAAAAGTTCACCACATCGATACCACTCCTTTATTTGTATTGTGGGATTTATTTGTTCATATTAATACAGCAATATTTATGTGACATCTCTACCTATAAATCAAAATGTTTGTACATAAAACATAAAAAATCATGGCCTTCTCTTTGCTAACCTTCCAGATGGTTTCAGTCGAAGTCAGAAAGATGTGATGAGTATCAGAATGATGTATACTGTACATGTACATTTACTAAACGACAAGATCAATGTTTTAATATTCTCTCAAAATGTAATTCACTTATTCATTGATCTCCCCTTGATTTTTTCTCAGGTGGGTGCAAAATTCTCATTTTCACAATTCAGACCAACATTGGTTAAAATATGCCAATTTTTCATGATTTTTCTCATTTTCAAGTGGGTGCAAATGGATTTTCAGGTGGGTGCAAGCTTATTTTCAAAATCTCAGGTGGGTGCTGCGCCCACTTGCTTAAATGCTGGGGAGATCACTGTTATTAATGACCCCCCCCCTCCCCCAAATGTAATTCAACAGTTATTATTTATTTTTATTCATATTCATTTTTTGATGCATATCCAAGTACTGGTCTTGTTCTTAAGTGTTGTAAATATTTGTTTTCAGTCGGGAGACCCACCAGCGACCCCACCCCCCTCCAAACAGAAACTCCTCCCCTCCCACAGGGGACACACTCGAGAGGAGATGGCTCAGAGCTTTGCTGTAGAAAAAGGACTGAATGAAAAACAAAACATAAAACAGTAGGTTTTTAATATTTAGAGGTTATGTCACTATCGTGGCATATATGCCCGAGGTCTCAGTGATATATGGCCCGACCTTGGGAGGGACATTGATCTCTGAGAACCGAGGGCATATGTGCCACGATAGTGACATAAACGATTTATAACATACCTATGATGATGTAGACTGGTCAGAGAGTACCGTTTTCTTATAGAATTGACAAACAAATGGTTTGAAAATGATTGAAATGAGTTTAGAAAAATTGCTTGCGCAGTTTTATCTTCGATTGATTGGTTATGACGTCAGCGCCTTGACCAATCAGAAAGTTAGCGGGCGCAGGCTTTTCAAAACTTATATTGGCCCGCTGTCTTGTGTACACTTTGCACTATACATCATCATAGGTATGTTATAAAATGAGATAAAACACAACATAATGGTAAAATGTAGGTTTAAACCAATGAGGTGTCAAAAAGACATTAAAGGCACATACAGTACTTGTTTAATAAAATAGTTTTCCCTCAATAAAGTATGAACTTTTGGCATTTTTTGGGAAATAGACATGACAAGGCATGGTGTGGGCCCAAAGTTGAACAATCTTTGGAAATGTTGTAGACCATCTCCTATTTTGCCTTAGCTGAATCTTTAGGGGCTTTAGCTTTTCAAAAATACCAAATAGTCAGAGAGCAATTTAAAAAAAGAAAATTGGGTAAAAGATTCTGCAAATACATTGGAAATATGTCACATTACAATTCAATTTATCAAAAATCCCAGTCGGTATTCTAAATCTTGTGAGTGCAATATATCATATGTGACAGCATGTTCGCTGCATACGAGGATATGCTTTTAAAAACCCATAGAGTGTTGTAATACTGGTCCCGTAAGATAATTTAGCTTAAATATATATAGAGTTAACTCATTGTAATTGTATTACTTTTGTTTTTCCAGGAATCGTTTGTTTGGATCAATGTTGGATTCCATAGTGGAGAACGCTGTGTTGAACATTATGAACGAGGCATTTGATGGGGAGTTTAATATAACAGCAAGACCGAGACTTGTGGCTCTTCCACCAAAACCAAACACTCCCCAAGGATCAAAACATTAAGATATATTTTAAAAATACTTGTGTAATATACTGTATATAAAATTGTATATACCTGTACATAATTTATATTGGAACAGTTTATGCATTTTTCAGTTAGCAACATCTGAAAATATAAATGCATTATTCCATTTATAATAAAGAAGTAGGTTCTTTTGCGAAAATTCTTTTCACACACATCGAAACAGAAAAGTATAACTAGCTATGGAAAAAAAAACATTTTGCAAGGTCTAACTTCTGCCCTGGATAGAGGATAATAATACCTGGACAAAATAAAGACCATGCATTATGATTTCAGATAAGACATGGCTATACTACAACTTGATAAGTCAGAAAGTGATAATGCAGTAATGCATGAATAGCTTTGAATCTAAAATAATCCTCAAAATCTCTCTAAGGATTATTTTTGCATGAACAAAAGTACTCTTAATATAGTCGGTCTAATTTATTAATAACTAAATCAAACATGTCTGACCTTCGTGCTATTCATAACGGTTAATAGCATTATCATTTAAAGGTTATTCATATTGTCTATATTGTCTATTGTATCAATTTCATGATGAATGACATCAGGAACAGAATTATAGATATGGAAAAATAACAAAATAGCTGACCCAATATCAATATTAATTCTTGTTATCAAATGTAGTTCATTGATTCATTGTATAAATATGGCTTGCCAGATTCCAGGCATCATTTGACATTTTTATGGATTTCTTTTTAGAAATTACAGTTGTGATGGTAAAGAGGTGATCTGTGATTCCTAAACATCATCAAGATCTTTAACAATCTCCACAACTCTTTGATTAAGTCTTGTCTCATCTTAAATGGAGAAAAATTAAACAATTTGAGTGTTGGGGTCTATTGGGTTATCAACATTTATACTTACATACATTTTGGGGCATGAACCAAGTAAAGTAAGACTGTTGTAGAGTTTCATACCGTATGATAAATATAACACAAGGTGCCATAGACATCATGTGTTATTGTTTCAGACACGATTCCGCACTGAGTACCTTATAGGCCCCTGTATTTTAATCAGAGGTGACCTCCAGGTACAACCATCCGAGGCAATATTCTAAACGTATCTATCATGCTTTTTTAATACCATTTGGCATAATTACAAATGCATATCTAAGGCATTCATCTTGACAGATACAGATTTAAAAGCACAATCCTCTCAGCTTATTAAAGAGGAATGTCAATTATATGGCCTCTCTAATGTAATGATTTCAAGTTTTGCAAAGATTACTTAATGTATAACACCTAAATGAGAAAAATATATTTTCCAATCCCATTTCTTGTATATTAGCATATAAATAGGGTTAATAAAGAATAATATTTCAGGACTCACACTGAGGTGAAGAAAAATTTATTCTGCTTCAATACTGCTTTATGAGATAGGGAACTTTGGTCACTGTTAAAAGGGATATTAGTAATTTCTTGGGTTTGAAATACCAGTACTAGTATTAGAAACTGGGCTTGATATTTCATTTTTGCCATATTACATGTATAAGAAACTAACTTGAATGGCCAGGGTAAGAGTGATAAGTTCCCAATGATCTTATATAGAGTCCCTTAGATTTTACATTTTACAATTATCCGCCCAAAGAAGTTGCAAACAGAAATCCCTCCATATACCCAATGTCTGTCCATTTTTAAGTCCTTACCAATATAAGTGATAACACATTGTTATAGCTGCCTTAATTTATGACCTGCATTGTATGTGGCACCAGGCTGTGTAACTATTGATTGTAACCAATTGCAGGTGGTGGCACTTTGTCATATCAATGATTTATTAAACTATACAGTTATCCAATATATACCTAGGCCTACTATATTGTGAAATTACAAAATAGTACATGGTGTGAAATTACAAAATTGTACATGTTGTGAAATTACAAAATTGTACATGTTGTGAAATTACAAAATTGTATATTTGTATGAGGTACAATGCATGTATTTTTGTAAATAAACTGATAAAGTTAACAGAATGGTTACTAAGTTGACTTTGGTTGTTGTAAGATTGACTTTGGTTGTTATTAGGTTGACCTAGGTTGTTATGAGGTTGACATTGAATATAATTACAAGATTGACTTAGAATACCCTGGACTCAGTCCAATGTGGAATGACCATTTCTTGAAGGTGTTGCTTTCCAAAATTTGCACGAGCTGTGCAGCATCGAGTGTTAATTTTAAGAAACAATGCCTGATAATTCTTTTCACACATTGCAAAATATGCTCTACAATGTCACTTAAAAGTTACGAAATCACTTAAAAAACATATTTTCAATGAAACTTTTTGCAAGGGTCAAGTTGGCAAAGTATCAATTTCAATCTTCAGAGTCAATTTGTCACCTTGACAACCAAATACAAAGTGACCTTGGATGCGGTGATTGGTAATACAATGAACTCCAGTTATCTGTATCGGATTGTCTGGAATCGGACATCTTGCTTTGTGTGAATTAAATAATACACTTTGAAGATTATCCCAGAGCACAGGTATTGGGTTTACTTTAAAAATAAAAACAAATACAGTAATAAGAATGACTAAGACTCCTAATAAAAAAATGTCATGGTAAAACTGTAAAACATTCAATGAAAAATGAGCACTGTATATCATGGAAGTTGATGTTTTGTTTTATGTTCCTTATCGTTTTACAACAATGTCAAAAGACCTGCACGTTATGAGGGATCCAAGGCTAAAGAGGATTGCAAATCAATTTGTATTCATTATCTCAATAGGCCTTCAACACCTTAAAAGCATAGAGATGTAATTTGTGGGCACCTTCCCTGTAGATGAATAATAGGGTTAATTAAAAGTACATTAATTCAATGTAATTCCAGGAAGCTTTTGACAGTGTCGGTGACTTCTTGAAAGTAATAGTACAGGGGACGTATCTTTAATTACTACAAGGTCAACCGATGAACAACATAGTCATGCATCAATACCTCATGTAACCCATTTCTCCTCTACATACGCACTTATCTTACATGAGGACGTGATGGGGGTTGATAGAAGACTAGCTATAGGAATTGACACTTTAACATTATGACCAACTTTAAGCTGTCGAGGCTTCATTTAAATCACCGGTATGAAAACGTTGAAACGTAAAAATCAACTAAGAAAATGTGTGCCAGACTTGACTGAAATCAAATATTTGTCAATGACATAGAGGCAAGGCACCATGATTGAGTCCAAGCCACTATAGACGATTTTCTAAAAACCTTATAATATAAGGCGATTCCGTAAGTTCAAACATTTTAATGGCTTTCTTATGAGAGTCATACAGTACATGTATATTATTTTCAGGTAAATACTTTTCTGCAATGTATGAAAATAACCGTGACCATGTGCTTTCAACTAGTTTTCTAGTTGAAAGCCCATGCCGTGACATTTTTTAAAAGTACAAAAATGTAGATTTTTCTCCTTTTTATATACTTTATCTAGAGTTTCTATTAACTGATTAATGCCTCGGTCGAATCTCATCTAATCATGAACGGACTATTTGTGCAAAACTGACAGATGGACAGAATGCGTTATGTGTACCTGAAAATAATACGGCGTAGGAAGCCATTGGGATTTTTGAACATACGGCACTTCCTTGAACAGGTAATATATCATTCCCATGACCATGCTCTTTAATGCGTAAGTCAGAATGGGCAACAACTAAACCATCGTTTGTACTTATTAGTACGTTTTTCTCATGATTGTCGTCTGTCCGTGTTTGTCATTCTTACATGTCAGCAAACATCTGGATTCAAGTATTAGAAACCAACCAAGGCAAGTATATGGGACAAGACGCGATGATCTCAAAGAAGAATAAGAAGACGTTGTGAGAGGGAATGGAGAATCTAATATTCAACGAGTAATGCCAATGATGTCTGAAATGTAAATTGATTTGATGACTATTGTCGGTTGACTGCAGTAATATTATGACGGCGAACAAAACAAGGATACTAGTGACCATGGAAAACGATGATTTTTCAGTAAAACATGAATAATTCGAGTCTTGGCGTTTGTGTCATCTAAACCGTCCCTCGATGAGGAACTTGGACACATGTCGCTAGCGTTTAACAGAATCATGAGAACGCCGACTGCGCCAGCTTTCAACGTTTTAGCCCTAAAAGGTTTATAAACCACAAATCACATTCGTTTAAAAATGGAACATTCAACCAAAGCTGTGTTCCATTAATACAAACAAAGTGAGCCCTTTGAGGATATAATACTTTGCATTGTTGATTGTCGCTTTCGTGTTGTACGGCATTATAGTAATTGATTTACTGTATTTAATTGATATGATGCCAAAATTGCGGAATGAGATATATTACACATCTCTGGTCTTACAGATCTATATTATTCAATGTCAATGGTTTTCACGTAATTAGAGTTAACAGACCCCGTCAGTGGATTATACTAACCTAGGATAGGACGAAGAAAATGAATCCTAGAAAAACAATTTGCCCCAAGTGGCGAATGCTTGGTGTGTAGCTACACTTGAAGAGCACATTCATAAACAAACTGTTCCCAGGAGTGCCATAAAGGGAAGAGGTCGCTCTAGTGACTAATGCTTCATTATGATAATCTTGAACTTGTTTCCACTGGCACACTTAACACGTACCACGCAACAATTTGTATTTTTGATTTACTCAAGTGTGCCATTAGACAAAAACTGAGATAGATAAGTTACAGTTAAGGTTGTGGTAAAAGTACATATTATGGTATCTCATGTCAAGTGCCATTTGTATCTTCACCGTAAGGCCAAGCGAATTTAGTATATGTTTTATTGGTAATTTCCATGAAAGTGTTGAAGTGGTCATGTCCAGTGACTCAAACAGCCGATACTTCCATCCCTTCGTTTCATGTGTCCACCGTGGCAACCTGGTGCCCGTATGCAAAAACAGTGTAATTATTAAAAATATCAAGATCGAAACAAAATTTCCTCCATCGAATTGAACTCGTCTAACATGCCAATTAGGAAAAAACAAGATCTTGATGAGATCAGATCAGAAATTATATTCAACGCCCATTATGATTATCACGTACAATTTGTGCAAGAAGCGATCCAGTCTAGTGCGAATCGCTAGCTTGCGTCGGATATATCCAGCGTGTAAAAAGGGCACTGAAACTGGAACTGTCTTTCATCAGAACACTTCATATCAGAAAAGATACATGGTGCTTGTTCACCACAATTACACTTGAATAATTAGATTTCTAATGGGGCACGCCGCCAATCTTTAACTACATGATAATATTTCAGTTATCTCACAAGTACAAGTAGGCGAACGAGTATGATCCTCAAATCTTACAATCTCACTCCTGGATGCACCTAGCTCCATTTAAACTCGTTTAGATTGTAAAAGAAGATTCCATTATTGGCTAGCAACTAAATACAACTGATAGAGTGGACTGTGTCATTCAACAATTACGTTACAAGTATGTTAGAAAAATGGAACAAGACACGCATTGATAAATATCGCGCTGTTTTACTGATAAAATCAAAATGGCTGCCAAGTAATTTACGTAACATGCCCAAAACCTAATTAAATCATGGCACTAGACTGTTCTTGCATTCTTTAAGCTCAACACGATTTTCCTGGAATTTTGATGAGAAAGGTTTATACGGCGCCCCATTTTACCCGTCCGACCGACCGCCCGACCGATCGACAAACAGACGGACAAAAAGTGAAATGTAAACGTGTAATGCTATCATAAGTGGTATACGGAGTAACTTTAAAAACGGCGGACAATGTTTCTGTTTGCCCTTAGCTCACACGCCAATGTCCATAATTCATGGAAGTCGTTGATAACAAGACAAATTCCTAAAGTCGGTCACATTGCCATCATGGCGATCGTTCACTCCATATACGGAATTAAATATGTATGACAATAATTCCATTTAGCTAATCTAAATAAAATATATAAGCTTAGTGTCACCTAACTTTAGCTAATCTAAATAAAATATAGCTTAAAAGTGCATTGATTATCTTCTACTTTGATATACTATGCCATTAGACAAAAACTGAGATACTATGTATAGCTGGTTGGTTGTCCCCACGAGAAATTGTTCCACTTCTGTGTAACTCTATTTGGTGACATTTATTATCGTGGAAATATAAACCAAAGAGAAAAGTCAATTTGCCAAAAGGAACGATTAAACCACATATACTTTTTGTATGCGTCATTCTGAGACACAACATCACGTCTCCTTTTCAATCATGATGACACGTCATCAATGATGTTAAATTCGTAATGATGTCACATACATGTATATTTGACAGTTTCTGCAAATAGCTATATGCAGTCATGCAATCCCCCACACCCTCGTAATCTGCGATATCGAACTCAAAATCGTCATCGACTGAATTGCGTATAAGGAAATTGAACAAACAATGATAATGAAGCTATTGTTAGTACCTCAATTGAAATACTCAATTCTGATTGGTTGATGAGCGGTCAACAATATGTATTGTTAGTACCTCAACTGAAATACTCGATTCTGATTGGTTGATTAGCGGGTCTCTGTCAACAGTCGGTTTACAGTCTCGGTATACAATTTTGCCGGTTGACCTCTGGAGAGATCACAATCGACACTGGCAAGATGTGAAGTGTGGTTCGCCATAAGCGTGGTAAAATCGTGGTGGAAACGCCAAACATCGTGCAGTGGTCTCCGATTTGGGAACGTTGATGTCAAGCAGATAGTGGCACAATCACAATACGATCACAATTAGCAGACAAAGAAATGTTGCTTGTTTGTTGGTTTATGTCTCACATTGATTCCATATATTGCATGTATCATTGGGTCACATTGACTTAAGAATCTTACAGCTTAGTCTTCCGAGACAAGCTTCAATGTGACAACATCTGTTATTGACATTATGCAGACACATTTTTGTAATAGATAGCTTAGTGATAACTCCCCCGTCAGACCGTTGAGGCGTCCTTGCTGCGCTGCACGACGACGGAAATGGTCTCAGAGCGCGTCAAGATCGCCATAAGCGTGGTAAAAGTGTGGTGGAAACGCCAGACGTCATGCAGTGCAGTGATCTCCATGGTCGCCAATGGCCGAGTCACGGCGTTCAGGTTCTGCGATCTGAACTGAAGCGCTGTGAGAACGCGGTCTGGTGGATTCGTGAAGGTCGTTAGACAAGTGTGGTTACCCCCTTTCACACCAAACTATTTCTCACTACGTTCTCGAGAACGGGCTTAAGCTGAGTACGAACGGATTGAACGTCCTTAAAACCATTTGGGGTATATTTACAAACTTCATGAACGTACTCGAATGGGTAGGGTAATCCTCCGGATTGACTTAAAGCATGCTCAAAGTTTTCTGGTGGTCGTCACGTTCTGCAATCAGAGCGAGTGACAACGTACTCAAGACGATATGAACGCACTACAAAAGGAACTGCTGTAGTACTTCAATCCTACTAGGGACATATTACAACGATGTGCAGTCGGGCATGACTGATAGCTGATGGCGGCACAAAACACCGAACTGGGTATCATTGCAATTAGGATAAGAGGCGATAGAAATACGTTCTGCATGGATTAGGAACGCGATGTTTACGTTACGAGTTGAACTGTCTGGAAATTAGGTGGATAATGCAGTAACATATTGGGACGTATTGAGAACGAGGTAGAACGAACTGCGAATGAGATAGACGTATTGAAGACTGTTTATAAACGAAGTACAGGGTGTTTAAAAAAAACGCAACCCAAAGAAATCGCTATATCTTGGGAAATACTAACACAATTATGTTCATTTTTTCAGGAAAGAAAGAAGAGACTGTGTATGTATAGCTCCTGTAGTTGGAAAGTTATAAAAATTGATGCCTTAGACACCTGCTCAAAAGACATAAGTATTGGAAAGATACGAAAAACGCAGTCAGGGGTGACTGCCAGAGCAATAAAACTGAATAACTTTATAATCATAGTGTTTTAGCTCTTCAAATTTGGCACAAATCATCTTCATTCAAAGTATGGTAAATCTGTAGAGTGAAATCAAAATCACTCCAGGGACTTCACAGTTATGGTCGAAATGCGTTCAAAACGCAGTCAAACACCCTGGTTCAGGCAGACATAAGGAAGTTATTTTGACCATGACTGTAAAGTCCCTGGAGTGATTTTGATGAAACTCCACAAATTCACCACACATTGAATGAGGATAATTTTTGCCAAATCTGAAGTGCCAGAACACTATGGTTAGAAAGTTATTCAGTTTTATTGCTGTGACAGTCACCTTTGACTGCATTTTTCGTATCTTTCTCATTCTAATGTCTTTTGAGCAGGCGTCCAAGGCTTCATGTTTTACAACTAAATAATTACAGGAGCTATACATGCACAGTCTCTTCTTTCTTTCCTGAAAAAATTAGTGCAATTGGATAAGTATTTTCCAAGATATGGCGATTTCTTTGGGTTGCGTTTTTTTTGAACACCCTGTAGCTTATTATTTTAGACATATTTCCCGACCACAACCAGATTTAGCCAGTTTTTATCTGTGCTTGATTGATACTTGTTTGACATTCACCATTTAATAGTTTCAAGCCGATGATTGGCATTGCTAAGTCATGATCTTAACAGAAACGCCAAAAGCGCGGCCAGAGGTCTTGGCGGTCGCGCCATGAGAACGCTACGTGGTATAATCGCACAGGTTGCAGTATAACGCGGCTTTTTCAAGTTAATAATTTTCTTGCGTTGCGTTGACGTTTGCCGGCGAACTTGTGCATTTTTTGGTCGCCGTATCTACTTAGTCGCAGCTCAGCGCGCAGCGAGGAGGCCATCCCGGTCTGACGGGGTGACTAATATTGTTGTAACCTTATGTACAAACGGGTAATGAAATTTCGTTTATATACTGCGTAATCGTTATTTTATTTATATATTTACATTGTTATTAACAGTTCATAATACTTTAAACTACACTCCCCTCCATAAGTTTGGCAACCTTTCCCCCCATTGAACTACGTGTTAAAGCCTCTTTACCTTTGAATTTTTATATTCTTAACCTGCGATGAAAATACTTATACTATTGATGGAAACGTAATTTGACTTTAATTCCGATTCCTCCAAATTTTCTCAATTTTTTTCCTCAACTACAATAGGTCGAAAATTGATGATGAATTTGATGAATTTTTGAAAATCGACATTCACATGTTAACCAATGGGAAATGGTAGGTTTGCCGCAAGTCATATGACAGAATATCCATCCATCCGAGTCCTTGCAAAAAATACGAGTTAGGCAGGCAATTGAATTTACTAACTTTATTCAACAAAAAATTGATATGTTTCTTCAGGTTCAACAAAGTTATAGGGCTTTAAAGTCAAAATTGTTTTTCAAAAAACCTCTCCCATTGAAATAACACAGAAGGCGAAAAATTATTTTCAAAAATGACTCTGAAGCGCTGTAACTTTAATGTTCATCAAATAAACTAAACAGTTAGTGTTAAAAAAAGTAAGACAATTCAATTTTCTATATAAAAATATTTTTTGCTGAATCTTTTACTGAAAAGATATCCTGATTTCTGATTTGCCCCGAACCCTCCATTTCCCATTGGATTACATGGGAATGACGATTTTCAAAAAATCATCAAATTTATCATCAATTTTCGACCTATTGTAATTGAGGAAAAAATTGAGAAAATTTGGAGGTATTGGAAATAAAGTCAAGTTACGTTTCCATCAATATTATAAGTTATTTTATCGCCGGTTAAGTAAATAACAATTTAAACGTAAAGAGGCTTTTACACGTAGTTCCATGGGGAAAAAAGGTTGCCAAACTTATGGAGGGGAGTGTACAAGAATGTCTCATCATAGCCCTCTATTGTAATTACTGCGTTTGTAATACTTGGAAGCCAGTGCCCCTCAAATGAATACGATTTAGGGACTTTTTAAATGTAACATATCGGTAGAACTAGAAAAGCCCATGCCATAAAGCTACAGTTTGGACGGATATCTTATTGGCAAAACTGGAACAATGATGATAATAGTACTTTAATTTACTTTACAACTGTAAATTGTAAACATGGATTCATTAATCAATTATATACTTACATAATTGATTTGTAATTGCTAATTGTCAACGAAAAGTCCCCAAACTTAATCACATACTAAATTTCAATGTCACCATACCAGATCTAGATTTTCTGGAATTATCCATTACCACCGACTTAACAAAATAATTTGTTTTCATTAAAACCTGCAAAATGTCACATCTATTTCCCCAGAGCAAAAAGCCGTGTTAATCTTTGTGACACCCGGCTTGTTTAAATGTCAGTAATTATATTGGTACTATCCATACTATGCCCTTAGACACGCAAAGTTAGAGTTAAAGATCCGTTTTGATGAATTCTCTTATAAACTTCCCAATCAGCGAACTAAATGTTAGTTTGTCTCAAAGGCTCCGATGATGTAAAGGTTGCTTCATTATAAGTTGGTGGATGTTCACTAGAGTGTGTACCCGAACTATTAGATTCTGATCCGAACTGCTTACCAGTTCTATGTTCGTCAGTATCACTGAGTATCTCGTCTTCGAGCTCACTGTATCCCGGGGGAGGTTCGTCGCTATAGCTCGGTGGATAAAGTAAGGCGCTGTCGGTACGTTGTTGTTCAGGGTTTAGACGGTCCAATTCCATCGCTGAATTGTCTGGATGCTCTGCGTCAAGGGATTCAATTATTGCGTGCATAGCATTGACAGCGCCCTGAAAAAGCAATAAAAATACTAGTGTTTAAAAGTGCATTTTATTATATCGCATTTGTCATATCACTTTGTGTAGAGACACCAAACACCAGAAGACGAAGAGCAATTAAAACCTTAAAAGTTATAAACTCCTTTATAATTTTCTTAGTATTAATAATCATTAATATAATGATATCATAACGAACTCAAAAATGCATAATTAAAGATAGTTCAGGTAGGATATACCAAGCTCATAGGTGTAGCCAGGAGGGGTTGCGATGGTGCACCCATAACCAATGAAAATACAAACATTAGATAGAGGAAAAAAAGTTTGAAGGAAGTTACATCAATTTTTGTAAAATTCAAAACAAATCTTAATCTTTTTTTGGGTTGCTTATGTCATGATCACAACCCCCTGACTGAAAACTGGCGATCGCACCCCCCCTCTGATTGAAAGCTGGCTACGCTCCTGAAGCTAATGCTTTGGATGGGAACATGTCACAGTACAACATGTATTTGGACTGGGATTTCAGCCTCTGATTCCAAGGTATGAAAACCCCGGCCATTTGAAATTTAAGAAATACTACTTTACTGTCTGGGAAGATCTGTTAACTCTTATCCTCCTTGGCCTTTCAGGGGAAGCGTCGTCCTTGCAGAACTTGTATGCCCACACAATGAAAGGACCACAAGCTATCATGATTACCAGAGCTCCTATAGCAGCCAAGCACGGACCAAGGACCCGATAAACTCTGGAGAAAATATGGAACATGCAATTAAGGTGTCTTTTACACGATCGGTACCCTCATATATAATTCAAGATTAGTGTTGAGGTTAGGGATAGAGATGGCGGGGTTAACCGAATTAAGAGTGGGGTAAGACTAGTTAGAGCTAACCGCGATTATTGTTGAGGTTAGTACCCGGGGTTAGTACGAGGGCTTGGGTAAAGGTTAAGCCCGGTGTAAAAGGGTAGGAGGTCCTATCAAATTATGGTCCTACTCTCCATTAATTTATATGGTGACCTAAATACAACTCTTTCCCTCATTATCTTATACACAATCAGGGCCGTTAAGAAAGGGGACCATAATCCCTGGGGGACCATCATTTCTTTCACACCTGTATACACCAATGGGGCAAAGTGGGATTCGATGAGGCACGATGGGACTCGATGGGGCAAAGCCATCAAGGTCCCATGGGACTTCGTGGGACTCGATGGGGCAAGTGGGATTTTGCCCCATTGGTGTATACCGGTGTGAAAGAAATTATGGTCCCCCAGGGATTATGGTCCCCAGGGACCATAAGTTGAGTGCAAAATTCACCAATAATAATCGTACTTATATCTTTTTGATCAACAATCAATTGTGTATTTATTTATAATGATTCAGTCAAGCATATTGAGTTCAGCTGTGACTGCAATATGGAGGAACAATTGGGAATTTTTTGATGTTTGGTCGCTCATGACACCCCTGGTCTATTTTAGCCTCAAACTCCACAAGATCAGATGGTGTCATATTGTTAGGAAATGATTCATCTTTAAAATAATATATAATACATGGCATGCTTTAAGATACACTGTTGTTCTACAAGCATATTGTGTCTTTTTCATATTCTAAGTAATTAGATCAAATGTTTTTGATATTTTTTACACTTAATAACATTATACCTCTGAGTAATTAGTGTATATAATATATTTACGACATATGGTATACACCACACCACTATTTATGACATATGATATATACCACTGTATAACATAACATTTTAATCAGGTTTTTCAAAAATGTCCATCCTTTAAACGCTGTTAATTATTTCGACGTTGTGTACGAGGTGTTGAATCAACTGACATTTAAACAAGTACTGCTAATCCAAACGAAGCAATATATTGTGAGGTTACAGTATAAGGGGGATTGTTTTTATAATACATATTCGGAACATTAAAAGTCACTGGGGATACTATAGCTATAGCGTTAATCTAGGATAAAATGCCTTTCTTTTTCAATTTAGAGTTAATGTAATTTTCAGAAGATATAATTGGCGATTGTTCATCCACCTTGACTTTGACCTTCTGTTTATGAGATATAATGCAATGAATGCTAGGCGAAGACCCGATCAGAAGTCATATATCAGGATAAAAATATTAATCCGATGGATACTAAATATGTATGGGGATAACGACACATTTCCGACTCATATGCCGTATTAAAAATAGTATCCGTCGGATACGATTTTTTCATTAGTTTTGAATTTTGCGCCAAATAACAACTTCTCTGTTTGATCTGCAACAAAATAGTTAAAAGATTATGATCTCAGTAAAAATAAGTTAAATTTTTTTCATGAATCATTTTATAAAAACTAGTTAACCGAAAAAGTGAAAAAATTAGAGAAAGAATTAGAAAACTTTTAGGTCAAATTATTTTCCATACAAAAATAGCGTCCATAGTATAAATATGATATCCTCTATTTATTTCAACATATTTTCGTTGGAATATGGTACATTGGAATGTGCAAACTGACATTGTTTAAAACAATAGATGATAGATCATGATATACAACAATGATCGACTTTGGCAAGGAATCACCTCTTACCAGTGTTGCTAATAAGTTGATCTATGTTATTCCAAATTCGAATAGTATTTAAGAAAAATGACTTAAAGTTAATCCGAAGTCTGCAAAAAGGTAGAATGAAGAAATTTAATATTCGATTTACTATTACTTCTTACATTTTTTAATCTTTCAGAAAATTCCCAACTTTAGAAAGGGGGTAAAATATATAAGCGCAAATGCCAAAGGGAAGGGTGACTAAAAACTTTAAAGAAACCCATTAAGAAAAGCAAACTGTAAGTGTAAATCTGTCATAAGAAAAGTAGACCCTATATCCCAAAAATTCTTATGAACAACAATCTTCTTGGTGATCTACGAGGTAATAGGGCTTAATAGACTTCAGAGTCATATTTCCTTTGATAGGTTTAAGACGTCTAAGAAATGACAAGAGTAACTTAGCTTTCATTGACATATCAAAGGCATTTGACGTTTTAGATCGTGGTATATCATCCATTACGGACATATGAGAAAAGAGATAACAAGGTTAAGTATGGGTTAGTTAAAAAGGATGTATTTTTAGTAGTGCTGGATGGTCATTGGCATTCTGAAATCACAGAACAGGGGTAACTACTTGATGGTTCTTCTACTCTCTCGTCATCTATATCTTCATTTGTACATATTAATATACTGAGAAAAGACCAAGAATATGAAACATTTCTATATCTAGAAACCTGACAAAAATTGCATTGTAAAAGTGAAACAAATTATCAGTTTTGTAATGTTTAAGCTTACAATTCTTCATGGGTTTACAACAAGGGTGTTAATTTATTTAAAATTTACATTAGAGCTCCATCTCTTCATTTGTTATTTATCTAAGTTTAGTATTAAAATATGGAACTATTATAATAATACATCGTCAGTACAATATTTACAAGCTCTATGTTAACAAAACTGGAACTTTACGATTGATGGTAAAAACACACAATTCTAGTGAATAAAAATGATCGAAAACGTCTATCTAACGTATTTTTCTTATTTCAAACAATCAAAGGAATAACAGATTTACCGATCCTAACAAAAACGAGGAAGGGAATGATAATTAATCATTGCTTCTTTGACATATCATTTTTTGTTATCGAATTAAAGAGCTTGTTTTTAACAATCCATTTAATATAATGATTCATTGATGTTATATTTAATGTGCAACAACACAATAAAGGCCCGTAACTAATTGTATTTCAGAACGTTGACCCTATATTCCCTACGTATGAAATGAATCCAATCCAGTGGCAGTAATTTGGTCATCCTGAATGTTTTCTAAGACGCTGACAGTGATTATCCCCCAGATAATTACATCAATCAGATAAAATTTCAAAGTAGTGCAATGTATTATAACAGTCCCATCTTAAATCTGTACAGGCATATCCCTCATAAAATAGTTCACCTGTAATCTCAATACGAAAACATGTGCAAATGATAGAATGAATTTCTTTGAGTTTTAAATCAAAACTGTAACTAAAGACTATAGACTACTAAAAGGTTGAGTGATGGGCAAAGCTTAGGTCATAATTGTATTAATTGAAACTGTAACTAAAGACTAAAAGGTTGAGTGATGGACAAAGCTTAGGTCATAATTGTATTAATTGAAACCCCTTCTTTATATATTAATGAGCAGTCAGTTTTATGATAAATGAAGATCCTTAATGTATTGCCAAAACAAAATCCATCTTAATGACTTGAAATATCGCAATAATCTATCAAAATGATATATGGCGTTTCAGCTTTTTAATTATCTCTACTTATCTTTAATCACAGTGCTTAATGAGAAAGGTGCGATGAGAATGGCAACATGGCGATATGGATGATGAAATCTGAAAGATTAAAATGATGATGATAGCCTTGGTCGGAACCATGGTACTTATCGTCGGGTTAATAATATTTCTACCCAAAACAGCGCAAATTCAATATCATAGTCAGAATACACAGTGCACCTACATGTAACTGAGAATACAAGTTAAGTATCCTTGTGTAATAACCGAGAGGAGATTCTGTCGAAAGTAATTAAAGTAATTAAACACTTGGTGGTTAGTGCTTAGGCCTATATTTTGGAAAAATGAGAAGACCCCGTTGGTTTCTCGTTAGCGCAATCAAAACGAACGCGGACAATCTTCGTTTTAAATGTTGTTGGCGAACGGTTCGTGACCGAAATTCACTAAATTATAGAAAATATGTTACGTTATAAGGATATATTGTTTTTATTTACCAATCATCAACATGTGCTGACATATTCAGTTCTGGACTTTATGTCCAGAGGGGGGTAAGACACATCGTCAGAAAAAATTTCAAGTTCTCACACCCCTATCCAAGGGAAAGATCAATACCCGGTGATTTCAGCGGGAAGTGGCGTTTCGTTCATTGGATGAGCTGCGCGCGCACGCATAAATGTGATTATCCAATATAATTAGGGGAGGGCTATTTGAAGTAGTTTTTGGTCTCAGGCGCGACCCAGGGCTGTTGTCTTAAGGACATTTCGTTGAAAATGAGCCATTCGGCTGATAATTGGTAAGAGTTTGCGATCTTATAATGTATAACTGTTACTCAGACACATATTTTGACACGATTCTGTTGGAAATAAGCTTTGAACCGAGAGATATTCACGATTGATATGCACATTTTTGATTGTGCCATTGCTTTTCTATTGCACAATCCATGTATTGATAGAAGAAACATTAATAATACAGATTGGTTTACCTTCAATACATGGCAGACACTACATATCGGTCTATTAATACCAGTTTGTGCCTTAAATAGTTTTATATTTCCATCCACGGCCTGGAGCCTGGGTGTGTTTGTCTCTTATGTGTATGCTTGTGCATGGACTTCTAATCACTAGCAGAATTTAACATGATGCAAACTCGACATTATAACTCATGCTGTAACATTTTGACTTCGCTGGAAAACAATAGGAATTCTTTTTTCTTGCCAATCAATCATGAATCACAATCAAAATTTCAGAATGATCAATCAGGCAATGGTCCAAATCAAGTTATAACATTATATGATATTCAGCAAGAAGTCCGGTAGAAATACAGAATATTTTAACATCAAAGCTGAAAGTTAAAAGCTAATCTGTCAATTTTCTGTCTGCAAAAGAGCGTCCCAAGAGCGTTTACATTTGACACATTTGACACATTTGAGGCTTTGAAATCTAGGATTCCCCAGGAAAATATGACGTCATACTAATTAGCATAAGGATTTCCCTATTGGGGTGGGTCGAGCCTTGTTCGAAAACACAATCCATAAATACATGCTAATTTCTAAGGAGATAGGAAGTGTATAACGTGTTTATCGATTTTGTTTAAAGATTTAATCAATTATCAAATTGTTTAAGTGGATAAAGTGGTCACACTTGCTTCAATTCATAGCGAAATCGACGGATAGAAACTGACCGAATTCCCGATATCCTACCCCGTATTACTGTAGGCTATAAGCACAGTGACCTACAGAGGGCGCTATCACAAACAAGTACTGGACGAACCGATAAATTCCCGGGTATTGTAACGCCCTTGCCCTATCATGTTTATTGGCTAATTCAAATCGGATGCGGTAAAAAACCGAACGCCAATTTGCGAACGTTCCGGGTATTACGTTCGCCCTTGCCCTGACTAAAAGCATTCTGATTGACTTTATGTTATCACCCAGTGGAGGATTATAATTATGTTACATACATCAATCCATTCATTTTGTGTTATGTTAATACTCGGTATCAATGTGTCACTAATTAATTGACGTTGACTTACGGGTGTTCATTGGATCCATCAGCAGACTTGCTTTGAGCAAGAAAATAGCCTGCCACTACAAGGGATAGTATAACTGCCGCTGAGATGAGACCTGCGAATTTACAAGGTCGGTTACAAGATCTCGGACACCATCGCATGTAACCATAGTCGGTTTCTCTATGCACTGATACAATACTAGGTATCATGGCGTTCACTTGCAACTGGTATCATCTCAGTTGATTGCAGTGATCGGATAGCTGTAAAGAAAAACAGAACAAAATGATAATAAAGCTTTTGTACACATGGGACTTTTATTTAGCCTGGTATTTAAGCAAAAATATATGGCATCAATTATCAAAAATGTTGTGCAAGATAGTTTAATACGTTACATTTTTCTTATCAACCCTGAATTATTTTCAAACCAGGTGTTCTAATTAGAAGTGTTGCCTTATTGGAATGTTAAAAAGTGCCAAGGGGGAAATATTCCAACGTATTAAAATGCATTAAGAAAAATGAACAATTCGAAATCTGTCATAAGGAAACACACACTACTAACATTCCAAAAATAATTTGACGCACGAAAAACAGTGTCCAACGCCCTCTTACCACACCATTCAGGATTAGCTATCATAATCCCAACCTCGGCACTATGGGGAAATTTAAAAAAAGCCTATAAAAAGCAGAAGAGTCATCTTGGTATGACGCAAATCACACATTTTACGGTTTATTACTACTGTTTTATTTTATTATTTTATCTCACAATGTACGGTTTGTGAGCCCAAGATGAAGCACACTAATTCAACAATAGTCTTCCAGGAGGGAATGATGTCATTTGTGAATAACAATATGTACAGATAGAGTTTGCATCTTTGGTATTTGATAATAATATTGGGACATAATAGTACACATTATGAAATATAATGACCATATTATAAAAAAAATTGTGAATTAGCAACATTTGATACTAGTGTAGTGAATCTAAAAAACATGACATCTTAATACCTAATTGATACGTTTCTTTGGTTGAACGATCTAATTGATTACGATTATTTAACAACAACCAACATTTTCATTCTCCCAGGACTTTATGTACTAGAATTGTATCCATTTTAGAATTAAAACTTCTACAGAAATAAGAATCCCCCATATTATACCAATACGCGATAACGTTTAATTTCGTTCAGTTTAGCTACCTCTCGTTTGAAGAGCTCTCATGTATGGTACAACTTCGTCTACATCCGGGTTCTTTCCCATTGGATTACACAGGGGTGCTATTTTCAATGCCGCACTGCGGCTCTATTAAACATTTATGTAGAGTTTCATTTGCACAAACGATAGGTATGTATGTAATTAAGATATATGACAAAGCTTTTTGAGCTATAACCCCCAAATCCGAAGAAATCTGTACTTGAAAATGCCGTCCAATTCCAGTGACGTCACTGATATCCCAGAAACTGCTCAGACGCCATCGAAGATCGAAAAATATAAATAATGTTACTTAGAATCTCCGATTATCTTTCTGATTATTGAATAGATTGGATTATGTAACTATGCTTGAGGGCTGATGGAAGATCAGAAGCTGAGAAACGTTCAGAGTAATCGACTCGTTCGGCGGGCCAATGGAAATTTGTCCCTTCCAAAGCGATGCATCATGGGAGATATTTATGTAAATTACCACCTGAACTCTTATCGCGAATAGGAGTATTGCTTTTACCACGAAATGTGAGAAATGTGTTTCGGGGAGGCTGTGTTTAGGGGGATTATCAAGAACTGTGAGAAATGTTTTGATGGAGAAGTAAAAACCGTTGGGATTATTTGTAACCAAAACAATCCAAAATGTGCTGAGGAGAAGATGATGATGTGGTAATTATCATCTAAAACGATGCGAAATGTGCTAAGGGGAAGTTGATAATGAGGTAATTATCTAAAACGGTGTTAATATGTACTAAGGAGGAGTTGATAAAGAGGTAATTATCTTTTGTAAGTCTTTATTTACCTGTTAAACACAAGAGTGTTACAAATACATGAGAGAGCTACAAATCTAAAACGATGTGAAATGTGCTAAGGGGAAGTTGATAATGAGGTAATTATCTAAAACGATGTGAAATGTGCTAAGGGAAGGTAGATAATGAAGTAATTACCTAAAACGGAGCGAAATGTGCCGAGGGGAAGTTGATAATGGGGTAATTATCTAAAGCAACGTAAATGTGCTGAGGGAAAGTTGATAATGATGTTATTATCTAAAATGGTGCGAAGTGGGCTAAGGGGAAGTTGATAATGATGTTATTATCTGAAATCGTGCGAAATGTGCCAAGGGGAAGTTGATAATGATGTTATTATCTAAAATGATGCGAAATGTGCTAAGAAGAAGTTGTCAAGTTGAAAATGAGGTAATTATCTAAAACGAATGTATTAAGGGGAAGTTGATACGTTGGGATATATGTAGAATATCCAGCCATCACAAAAATCAATTAGAAATGATGGTCAATCGATGTTTGTCCAAACTAATTCCGGAGTAATTCAATAATGTTGATTTCTGTAACATCAACGATTCTCTGTACATCTAGCTCTCGACATTTTTGTCTATTTCCATTGAGTTAAATCAAGTTTACACGAGTAATGGGTGCTATGCGGGGAGTATTCTTCAGAACATCTGCATAAGTAGATGAGTGAAATGTTTATGGGTGGTCCGGGGAATATCTATTTGTGTAACAATATTATGCAGAATATGTAACACATGTTTCTATGTTTCTCATTCGTTTCATATTTGTTTCTACCCGAATATATGTGTAATTGACCGAATCAGCTATAAAGGTACAGTACAGTAGAAAATGAACATGGTACAGTCAGTATTTACTCTGGATATAATAAAATCTTTTTCGAGCATTCATCCGTATTTTTAAAACACTAATCTTGGAATCAGAGCAGGCGGGTAAAAATTTCGAATCAAACAGAGTAAAACTATAAAGCAAAGTTCGTAAGGGATTATAACCAAAATTGTATTCTCTCTTATGGATCAATTTCTCACCCATTCTTCGATACCCTTTGCATTTGTTTGACTTCGCTTCTGGAAGAGAGCTTCGTATTCAGTAGTTTATAACTAGACTCTGCACGCAGGGTAATTCGTCGAGTAACCTGCTTAATACTTCCAATATACTGTAGATGGTCCATAAAACCAAAAATGAACGAAATATTTTCAAAACCATTTTCATCATTCACTTAGCTTTTCATTGTTATGGGTAAGTTAACTCCGGTTCGGCGGTTTAAAATGTTTTAAATTTTCGCAGGGCCTTTAAATGTTAAAATGTTTTATGTGTTAAATTGATGAATCGATCATGGTATTCAAGACATGGAGACATATGCGAATTATAGGTAATTATGTCAGCAAAATAATCACGTAAGCAATCATGTTCGTGTTTGATTGAACGGATTAGACACCTTTATGCACATTAAAACATACGTGGATGTTTTAAGCCTAAGTATTGATATTATAGCTGATTCCTGCTTTCTAAAGCAAATCGCTATGAGTTCTTTGAAGTTATCAGGACTTCAAGCAACTATTTTCAAGAATTCTTTATTTCATATTTTTAGCGTTTTTAGCGTTTCCTGGTGTGTCTAAAAGGCTAAAGATTTACGCGGTACATATGCATTTGAAAAATTACAAGTAGATCCCTTAGGCGGATTTTTTAATTTTGAATAATCATTTAAAATCGAAAGAAAATTAAAATAGACCCTTGCTTACACACTCATTAACTGCAATCAAATAGATTGACAGGATTATTATAGCGAAAATCAGTTACCGTATTATTGTAAATTTTTGGAGTTACTTACAAAGAGAATATATTCCAATTCGATTCATCAATTCACTGATATACACTCCCCTCCAAAAGTTTGGCAACCTTAGCTCCCTCATTGAACTACGTTTCAAAACATCTTCATTTTTTAATTTTTATTTACATAACCTGCAAGGAAAATACTTATACTATTGATGGAAATGTAATTTGACTTCGTTTCCAATGCCTCCAAATTTTCCCAATTTTGCAATAGGACGAAAATTGATTTTATGAATCTTTAAAAAGCGTCATTCTCAATCGTCTATCCAATAAAAGATTCACCAAAAATATTTTTATATATATTGAAGTGTCTAACTTTTGTACGCTACGTGTTTAGTTTACTTTATGAATACTAAAGTTACAGAGCTTCAAAGTCATTTTTCGCCTCCTCTTTTTCGCCTCCCCATTCGCCTCCTGTGTATTAATATTTTGTAAAATAAAGTTGGCAAAATCAATTGACTACCTAACTTGAATTTTTGCAAGAACTCGGATGAATCAATATTCTGTACATATGACTTGCGGCAAATCTACAATTTCACATTGGTTTACATGGGAATGCCGATTTTAAAAATTCATCAGATTTGTCAAACATTTCCAATCTATTGTAATTATTAAAAAAATAGAAAAATTAGAGATTCAAAAATATCGCGAGCTTAAACTCTCAATTTTTTTTTAGAATGCGACACAAAAGAAATTAAAAAGGGCAATCATGATTTGTACATTTGTCCATGGTATGACTTCCAAATATAGGCTCCGTAACACACTATAGCGCAGCACAATTTGAAGCAATATTTAAGGAGGTGCATATGTCTTGATATTTTTTAAATACCATTTGCTGAAAAAACTTCAGGCTTTCGGGTTAAAAAATGTCTTTCATCACAAGGGGTCAAAAATGTAAATATTCTGATTCGAAATTTTATACATTTTATAAGACACAGGCCGTCATTCTAAGCATACGGAAAATAAAGTAGATTATCATAATGTAAGAATTTACTCTAATTTTACTTTAAATGTAAAATGTAATTACACAAGTGTGCTTTTCAGATTTTGTTTGATATTTCAAATACAAGCCAAGCAGATTGAACAAAATTGTGTGAAATGTTTAGGTAATTTATGATTGCGAACATATTAGTTTTCTTACCATTTAAAACATTTTATCACCAGAATTTATCCATATTATCGCAAGGGGTCAAACAACAAATTATTGTTCATGTTTTACAAAACATAAGACAATAACAAATAGGTAATATTTATATCTTATTCAATGTTACAGAGGTATTGGAATGTTCATATCTCCCAAGGACATGTCTAATAAACTTTAAGAGTTATATGCAATCGAACGCCTTACAGTTCTTCCTCGACGTTACTGCTGGATATCATCAGATTTTCTGATGGTTATTTCTTTTTTGACCTCACTGCTGGATATCATCAGATTTTAGGAAGATAACGATTTTTCTCAATGATTCGTGGATTCGACCAAGTCTTGATGGTTGTTTTATAATCAACTGAGCAACATCTAACTCCGAGAAATAGAATTTTAGCTGTAGTCGCAAGTCAAGGAGGAACAATAGGCCCTCCTTTATTGGCAATGTTCACTGCGGAATAACAACCCATATATCAACATATATTGAGACCCGTTTTGTGAAAAACTAGCATAATTTAAGCATTTGTCATTCTAATATAAAGGTCATTCATTTGTACCATATATCTTATTGAGAAACAATACAAAACGCCGATGTACTGAATACATTTTTTTTGTATTGATGAGAAAAATAACCTTAATCTTATAGCTTGGAAACCTAAATCATATATTCAAAATCATTTTAATTATTTTCTGTCGCATTGTGTACTCCAAATTGTGAAAAGGGATTTTAGTTTTTACTAATTTTTTGACCTCTGCTAATGACAGGCAAAATTCAGCCTAAAGGCCGGAAGAATATTAAACAGTTATAATAAAAATTATAAGGGAACATACGTATGTAGGTATATTAATATTATGTCAAATATCGCTGCGCTATAGTGTGCTACCAGCTCCTTTATTCGACGTCCTAGAGATTTCATACCATGGACTACATACTGAATACACGGATATAAAAATACGCTATAGGGTACTGACAATCATATTTTCTAAATGACGAGTAAAAACAATCAGAAAGTCAAATCAAAAGAAGTCCCTTCTGAGTAACAAAGTTGATCAAAGATTATGCTACCGGCTATAGGCATCCTGGCATATTTGGCATGTGTGCACTTTTAGAATCACATCCTCAGGTTATTATCGATCACTTACAATAGTTCAATCGTATGGGGCTTGGGACTTGTTGCAGGCGCCATTAATGGATGATTGATTGCGTCTAAACGAACTTCCCAATCGATGGGCTAATCAAACTATAATTAAATGTAGTTCCCACTTCCACGTGACAATAGAACGTATACTTTAAAGGGCATACAATCCATTTATATCACAATTCAACCAATAATATAATACGCTGAACTTATCATGTATAGCTGTGACTGGTTAAGGTGCTATGGAACTTAACAGGAAATGACAAAACAGGAAGTGACAATTTTTTTTGCATTTTTAGATATTTTTTGAATAAAGATAACAGAGTTCTGGTTTGACCTCCAGTCAATTTAACTATTTCCACATATCATTTACATGACCAGGATCACAATGTGCATGGTCAGAATGACCCTAAACATGATGAAATAACCTTTTTAGCCCTTTGAAAGTGTGACTGAAAAAAAGCTAAAAGTAGGAGCGTAGGGAAGGTCACTGAACAGAATCTTTTGAATTTTTCAGAAAATGTGCCCAATATATTGCTCTAAATGATACAATCTTTGAAAATTTGATATCATTCATAGAAAAAGAAAAAAAAAATGGAAAAACTGAATTGAACAGCGATCTATTTTCCTTTTTATGACTGCCATTTTTGTTAAAGACAATTTTCTAAAATTTCAAAGATTGTACTAGTTAGAGCATTATATTGGGCACATTTTCTGAAAAATTCAAAAGATTCTGTTCAGTGACTATCCCTACGCTCCTACTTTTAGCTTTTTTTCAGTCACACTTTCAAAGGGCTAAAAAGGTTATTTCATCATGTTTAGGGTCATTCTGACCATGCACATTGTGATCCTGGTCATGTAAATGATATGTGGAAATAGTTAAATTGACTGGAGGGCAAACCAGAACTCTGTTATTTTTATTCAAAAAATATCTAAAAATGCAAAAAAAATTGTCACTTCCTGTTTTGTCATTTCCTGTTAACTTCCATAGCACCTTAAAGTTGTATTTTTTGCCTGGAATATGTACACATCATTAACCCATCCATCCGACTCCAATTCCAATTACCTGAACTCATTCTCTTGAAGAATTGATGATCACGGATGATTAGTTTTTCTAAAAGGAACTAATTAGTTTCGTGTCTATTTACTATTTTTTCCACGATTCGGTTATTTTAAGTGATGTCATCTGTTGCTATGGCAACTGCTGAACTACCTTGATGTTATTTTCAAATGAAAAATCTCCTGAAAATATTCAAGCCTTGGACGTCATTTTCACATTAAATCATTAAATGAGAACACAGTTGATTGGATTGAGATAACAGGATACTGCATAACCACGTGTAGCGATGACAAAACAACCAAAATGACCCTGGGGAATCTTTCAAGGAAACAATTCTAAACACACAAATAAACATTGATGTAAATCAAATAAACCACAAAATTATACAGAATCAAATGTGCTGACTAATACCGAATGTAAGGTTCTTCTTCAATAAATTCACGGTTTTCTGCTGTTGACTTAAATCGATTGATCAAATTTTACGGGAAATTGACACAGCTATGCCATCTCATCCGATGTATTATCTTTAATTTGAATTTACCGAACACTTTTTATGTTTCTTAATGCAAATGTTAAGCTTCCCAATTCCACATGCTGAATGAAAGTGGAATTCTCATCAATAGACTCGAGTGTTATGAAAAGGAGTTCAGGATGATAGAAGTGTATGTATCAACAGACACACCATATTAATTGGATTGCTTTGAATCTTTGAGCTAAATTTGACATAACACTATGTCCTTGACTCGACATTCAATGACATCTCGACACGCTTTGATCTAATTGAAAGTCACATTGTTGTCAGTCTAATGAGATTTGATACTGCTGTCATGCCGAACTGCTACTTTCCAACACGGGTAATGGTGCTGGAACGATCCCCAGCACTCAGTATATTATCACAACGATTACTTACACAATCCACTTTCGATGAGAGGATTGCACGGTGATTCAGACAGATCAACTTTTTAGTATAATGAGATCCTATAATATTAAGATATTACAGCATTTCTTACCTTTTCAAAGGGCGTAATGTGAATTCCTTTCTCTGTTCTCTTCGAAGTTTCTTACGATGATTCTGCTTGAAGATAAATAGCAGGCCTTGAGCATCTAAACATCCATATCTTTTTAAAAGCAGACATAAAGTCTTAGTAATAGTGCCATTTTGTACATCGTAACTGATACAACGTAACGTACTTTCAAGCACAAGATCAATAGCGCTATAGTTCTTCATTGCGAAGGAATCAATCCAGGAATTGAATTGTAGGGCTACATCTTTATTAATATCAATTTCCGCTTACTATAGCGACAGTGGTCCAAAGAACATCACATTTCCGTTTAAGGATATAGTCCACTAGAAAGACCATATTAGGGTGGGGGTAGGAGAAGAAAATGATTTGCGAGAAGTTCCAAAGATAATGATCCGTGTGGGAAAAATTAAATAGTCATCAATAAGAGCTCTAACTCAGTAAATGGAAATTCAAACAACCTTATCCATACTTTTGATGTAGAAATAGAAGCAATTAATTTTGTGACGTAAGATGTATTCCTAATTTTGGAAACTAAAGCTCATTATTTTCTTTATGGGGTTGAGTTGAATATGATATTTTCTGTTGAATGAAGCCGAAGAGGAACATCTTGTACCTCGTTGATAACCAGCCAAGTGTTCGAGAAAGACAAGTATTCCCCGAAGGATCATGCCAACATCGAATGTCTGTGTTTTGGGTTTATAACAAAAACAACTTACAAATTAATTTCGTTTATTACACTATTCAGGCCCGTAGCCAGAGGGGGAGCTGGGGGAGCGGAAGCCCCCCCCCCTGGCCAGAAATTCTTTCAAAATCATGCAGTTTTTCACCATTCTGAGAATTTTTCGCATGATTTTTAGACAAAATTATGAAAAATCTCCCCCCTGGAAAAAGCTCCCCCTCCTGGTAAAAGCTGGCTACGGGCAAGCTATTCAATAGTGTTTGTTACACAATGCAAATATCTGCATCTTAGATTAAATTTATGGTCTTGGAAATATGACAAACGTCTACTGCTTTAACTATGTGTCAAGTTTTGGACCTACATTATAAAAATGTGGTTGGCTCACGATTACATAAATGTCATGAATGTGATTTTAATTAAAATTACGCTTATCTTATCTAACCTCAACTGACTACTTAATTTCTCATTTTGTTACATTGTTACCTTGTTATGGTTGATATAATCAACCTAGCTGGATCCATACAAGAAAATAAATGCAATTTGGTATTTACTGTAAACTAAAGCATAGCAAAATCACTGAATGAAACACAATCATGATTAAAAATAGGAAAGATAACGTTTCTTTATCACTGCTACCCACCTAGTTACACAGACGTATCGTCAGTGTATCATGGCGGAACTACTTCCGGGATTTGAATTTGGTAAGATATTTTTATTTCTCGATTTACATCTACTTATAAATCACGATGTGGATTATAATTTGGCTCGAAGTTATGGGAGAGTCTAGTTTGAGAATGTGTCAATGGTTTTAGGTTTGGTATGTTAACGAAGACGCATTTCACATATTTAGTCCCTCGCTTTTGTACACTGACGATCGGCATTAATATTGCCAATATTACACTGATATTGGTCGTTCGTCAGTGTAACAAAAGCGAGGGACTAAATAAGTGAATTGTGTCTTCGTTAATATATAAAACCTTAAACCATCGACACATTCTCAAACTGGACTATCTTCCTTAACTTCGAGCCAAATTATGATCCACAACGTGACTTATAAGTAGGTGTGAATCGGGAAATAAAAAAATCTTACCGAAACCTAGTCCCGGAAGTAGTACCGCCATGATACACTGACGATACGTCTGTGTAACTAGGTGGGTAGCAGTGTTTATGTGAGTGAGACTTTTATGATTGCATTCCTGTCAGATTCCTTTAACACGTTCTGTATTAGTTGAAACATATGAGTTAGTGGAAATATATTGTTTGTGATCTTAAGTTGACCATGTATAAAAGATGCGCTAAAATCAGCATTATTATTGAAAAAACTTTTAAATGTAACGTCAACAATAAATGATATCAAAGGCAACGCGAGTATCATCACATTTGCTGTATTCATTATGTTAAAGTTATAGGATATTAGTCGAAAAAAACTGGAAAAAGAAAGAATTTGTGTACCGTCGGTTACCCATCCTTGCTGCAAGGGTATTTTACAAGTCTTTTTATAAATAATGAATATAAATACTGAATTTAAGCATAAATGAAGTCCTTTGAAGAAGGATGTCGGTTACCGGCATGAGGACCGGTTTTACTATACATAATACTGTTATAACACATGCACAACTCTAATTGCAACGAATGAGTTTTAGATCTACACTCCCCTCCATAAGTTTGGTAACCTTAGCTCCCCCATTGAACTACATGTTAAAGCATCTTTATCTTTGAATTTTTATTTACTTAACCTGCGATGTAAATATATATACTATTGATGGAAATGCAATTTGACTTTATTTCCAATACCTCCATTTTTTCAATTTCTTTCCTCAAATACAATAGGTCTAGAATTGATGATAAATTTGATGAATTTTTGAAAATCGACATTTCATGTTAACCAATGGGAAATGGTAGGTTTGCCGCAAGTCATATGACAGATTATCCACCCATCTGAGTCCTTGCAAAAATACGAGTGAGGTAGGCAATTTAATTTGCTAACTTTATTTGACACAAAATTGATACGTTCCTTCAGGTTCAACAAAGTTATAGGGTTTTAAAGTCAAAATTGTTTTACAAAAACGTCTCCCATTGAGGAGGCGAAAAATGATTTTCAAAAATGACTTTGAAGCTCTGTAACTTTAGTATTCATCAAGTAAACTAAACACTTAGTGTACAAAAAAGTTAGACAATTCAATTTTCTTTATAAGAATATTTTTTTGCTGAATCTTTTACTGGATAGATATCCTGATTTGCCCCGAACCCATCATTTCCCATTGGTTTACATGGGAATGACGATTTTCAAAAAATCATCAAATTTATCATCAATTTTCGACCTATTGTAATTGAGGAAGAAAATGGGAAAATTTGGAGGTATTGGAAATAAAATCAAATTTCACGCCCGGTGATCGTGAAAATGGGACGGAGGGGGGGGGGGGGAGCAGGCAATTTCCGCTAGAAAATTCAACAAATCTGGTAAAATCATTTTTCAAGACAGAGTTTACGATTGAATTGCAAATTGAATAAGCGCACGGTATGATAAAATATGTTAGGTATTCTAGGATTATTTTTCAACCGATACTCTTTTAAGATATAAGATCTATTAAAAAAGGCGCAACGCAACCAACGTGCAAAAGTCAAAGTTTTTGCTATAAATCAAGCAACAATGGACTACACGACCTGTAATAAATACTTGTAAGTGATGTTATCATAACTAAATTAATGTCATTGCTGAATTTATAAAATAAGTTTCCATACGTAAAATAAAAAATAATCGAAAATAATTAAAATGGGACGGAGGGGGGGGGGGGAGGGGACGGAGGGGGGGGGGGGAGTAATAATTCTATAAAGTGAAACAACTTCACACGAATTCTTGTATTTGAAAAATGAACTCATTAACTTAGTAAGAAACTGGATGATATACCCCTGGAGACTGAAAAATGGGGACATTTGGAGTAAAGGACTTAAAGTCGCGAAACATCTCTAATCATGTCTTATATACATATTGCTCCCCCCTCCGTCCCAAATTCATTATTTTCGATTATTTTTTATTTCACATATGGAAACTTATTTTATAAATTCAGCAATGACATTAATTTAGTTATGATAACATCACTTACAAGTATTTATTACAGGTCGTCCAGACCATTGTTGCTTGATTTATAGCAAAAACGTTGATTTGTGCCTGTTGATGGCCTTGCGCCTTTTTTAATAGATCTCATACCTTAGATGCGTATCGTTTCATTCTACCATACCGTGCGCCTATCCATTTAGCAATTCAATAGTAAACTTTTTCTTGAAAAAATAAATCTTCCAGATTTGTTGAATTTCCTAGCAGAAATTGCCTGCTCCCCCCCCCCTCCGTCCCATATTCACGATCACCGGGCGTGTCCATGAATATCATAAGTTATTTTATCGCGGGTTAAGTAAATAAAAATTCAAATGTAAAGAGGCTTTAACACGTAGTTCAATGGGGGAGCTAAGGTTGCCAAACTTATGGAGGGAAGTGTATATGATTGGAACTAATGAGTTTTAGATCTTTATGATTGGAACTAATGAGTCCGCAATTATGAAGAGGATCCTTTAAACACCCGACCGTAATGTTATTAATGAGTATGGAACATTCTGATTTTTCCTCTAACACTCGGGAGATCATCTAATTAATCATAAGATAATAGCATTCCTGGCCATTGAATTCTCCAAGACCATTTCTATCAAAGAAGGGATTAATTTTGGCCTTGAGAAAACCTATTCGTTCTTTCTTTTGTAAATTATATTTCATTACGCAATACTTTTACAAAGTTGTCACTTGAATAACATGGGAGACCCTGCCTTCATTTGAATGTCATACAAAGAAATTAAATAATTGTATGTTTTTAGTTGGTACCAACACATACTCTACAAGAACGCACAAGTTTAGAGTCTGATGGGTGCCACAACAACTTAGCATTAACTTCATGCGTCAATAACTGTTGCATAGTTACTCGTTCAAGAAGATATGACAATGTTGGGTTAAGCTGACTAAATAAATCAAATGTTTAAGTAGTATTCGACATTTGAAAGTAATTATCGTTGCACAAAACGTCGTGCTCAATCTCAACAATAATATTTACGATAAATTTTCAGCTAATAAAATGGCTATAAAACATGCAGAAAACAAATTAACAAAACTGAAATGAAAATAGGAGGAGAAAGAATCTTCTGCAACTGATTAATTGGAAAGTATTACATATCAATTGTTCCATATAACGTAGTTTTCTTTGATAGTATACCAAGTGCAATTAAAAATATGTGAGACATCCGCATGTTATATGAGTTTCGCTTGATTAAATGTTCGAGTATTAACCACATGACCTTGTACTCAAAGGTATGTGCGAGCATTAACCACGTAAAATATGAGATTGAACTCTATGAATTGTACGCTAATTAACACCATAAAATAATGTGATCTTATACTTCATAAAGTGGACGAACCACATACTTCATGAAATGTGCGAGTATTAATTAC